TTCAAGTCGCAAGGAAATTTCACACTTCGATGAGGTCATTGTAGAAGAAGTCGTTTGCTATTGTTGTTGGGACATGAAATTTCGATTCGTTTTAGACCAATTGTTTAAATGCTCGTAGTTAGAAAGTGTTGTGTCTGCTAAACTTGGACTAGTGGCCTATTGCGGGTTTCTCGTGGCTTGGGCGCTCCCTCCACGTTCGCTCTGAAATTAATACCGTTATGTTTTTGCAACACCAAACTTGCGCCCCAAAAGATACATAAACAAATAAGGCTGCGTGGCTATCTGCCTCTGAAAAGGTCCAATACATTTTACGTGTTAAGTGCCTGTCGGTAGTTTACTGCAATAGACACTGGGGTGTGTGACGCAAGATGAGCTACCGCAATCGAAATGGGATATTACATATAAAAACAAAATGAAACCTAATGGCCTCATATCAGGGATTTGATACTTGCACACCCATACCCATAAGTGCAGTTGGAACTTTATTAAGCAATATTATGAAAGTTCGGGTACTGCCGTAGTGTTATAGGATATTGGGTAATTTTTCCAAATAATTGTTTGAGTACCTACAGTACAAGATCCGGAATTAATACTGCAAGTGGATAATCCTGAAAATGGGCCTAAAAGAATACCTTTTATATGGTCATAATAAATTGTTGTAAGAGCCAAATGTGCATTAAAAATTTTCCCAGTTGTGGTTGTTGGCCAATTATATTCGTATTTTACTTCATTATCAGTAGACCAAGTATTTTCTGAGGTTACTTTCAAATCACCAATATTTTCAGCTTTGAGAGAATGAACCCAATCTTGACAATATAAAGAAGTTGGAGGATCGGCCATATAAGATTTAGATTTGTCATAAATCGAACCAAAAAAGAATCTAGTTGCCTGCCATTCTGTGACAGATTTTTGGCAGACATACACTGTAATATTAGTGTATGCTGAAGATAATTTATGTACCGTGGCATCGCAATAATCTACGCGGGTGATAGTATTTCGTTTACAATTTGGTGGTTCCGGTATGGCATATTCTGCTACGGGTACTTTTGGATCACAAAAATTCACTGACACTGTTGGGCTAGGGGAGTTAAAAGGAAAAGCATAAGAATATATACATACATTTACGAGAAAACTAATAATAAGCGTAATCATGCTGGCGGTTGTGGCGTGTCGTTCTGCCGGAACGCGTTGTTGTTGGCGGTTCAGGCCTGTTTAAAAACAATAACGCTGTTTCAGTATTCGGCTCAGTTGGTATTTCTAGTTCTGTTTCGATATGCGCCGGTTTTATTCTATCTATACTAACAGTTTGAGGATTACCATTAATATCTATTTTATAGTACTTTGCATGTTTTTCTAACACTTTGAATGGACCAATATAAGGCGGTATCAAAGGTTTTTTAACTGCATCAACACGTAAAAATACATGTGTGCAATCTTTTAATTCTTTAAATATGAAGGTTTTTCTATTTTCTGGTATTCTTGGGTTTGTTGGTTTTAAGTCTTGGACGAATTGTCTAAGACGCGCTATAAATTCATTAGGTGATTCTAAGTCCTGGTTTATATTGTTTGAAAAAAAATCCCCAGGTAAACGTAAGGATGATCCGTATACTAATTCCGCCGAGGATAAACTTAAATCTAATTTTATTGCAGTACGTATCCCTAACAAAACTAAACTTAAATTTTGATACCACTCATGGTTGTGTGAACATTGTGCCATAAGTGAAGCTTTAATTTGTCTAATGGGTCGTTCAGCAGTTGCATTACTACAGTGTGTGTACCAGGTTAGGGTTAGGCCATAATTTTATTCCGATTTTCCTTATTTTAGTTCTATTACGAGTTCGAGAACTGTCTGTGTTATCCAAGTGAATATAACCTCTGCCCAAAGATTTCAACCCTTTTACACAACTTGATGCAAAGTAGGCGAACAAAATTAGTTAGGTCTACCTCCATATTAGTACACACACTTCTGTAGTGCCAAAATTTGCATATCTTGCATCCTTCTAATTACCGAACGAAACGTAATAATGGCCATAAAACAATGTAAACGGAACGTTGCCAAAACCGCGAATACAAGCTTAAGCGAGAATAACAACCATACCCAAGAGTGCAGGCATTTTGCAGAGAAGGGACTTCAACTACAGTTCTAAAGCGGCAGGCAACCTTGAGCGATTTTATGACACAATCTGAAATTAACGTTGAGTATGCGTTTTTATTTTTCGTTACGACAATAGATGGGAAAATTCGAGAAATAAATTTTTCATTGTCAATAATATTGTTTTGATGTTTGAGCATTTTTATCGCAGAAATAATATTGATGCCACAGATAGTGAAAACCATATTGTACTGCGTCTTTCCATCCCTATATGTGGTATAATTTACCTTGTATTGTTTTTCTCGATGAACAGGTGCGTGTTGCCATATATAAGTTATAGCCTAGGGTTGTTAACAAGCGCCAACAAGAAATTGGGACTTTGTATTCTACTGAGCAAGACTGACTATTTACCAGGAATATAACTCGTGCATTGTTATGGTCAAATGTTCAGAGGCATGAATTGTTCGAGCAAAGCAAATGAAACATACGGTGAAATTCGGGAAACAAATAAGTGGTTTTATGCTACTATTGCCATCCATGTTATGCTTGTGTACATTACTATGACGCAAATCTGCATATTCATCGGCAAGAAACAGTACAAACTAGACATTGGAAGGATTAGCGACGTGCTAAGGGTTGATAATCTCCCGTTTTTCATGAACATCTCTTTGATTCTGTCAGGCGTGATGGGGATCTCCTTACTTTCGGTGAAGCTTTCGTTTATCATGGCGTCGTGTGAAACGAATTCTACTGTAGTTGTCATATTATATGGGGCGTTTCTATTGGCGGCCTATATGACGCTGTGGCTTCGTCAAACTATGTTTCATACTGAACCGACATTGAAGCATCTTTCCACAAAGGGTCAAAGAATTTTCAGCTATTTTCAAGGATGTTTTATCCCGTTGACTGCATTTATTTTTGGAGTTATCGCGGCAGTTGATTCATTCAGAAAAGGAGGAGATATTAATAAATGGATATTGGCTTCACTTTTATTTCTTCAAATTGAAACACAATTTGCACTTCTTGGGCTATTTTTAGTTCCAATGATGAAACATAGGAGGAATTCTAGAGATTTGCTTCAGCGCCGTGATGCCCCAAAAGTGCTAATTCAAGTAATGAAAAGATCAATTGTAGTAACTGTAATAGGAATATGTGCGGATGCAACTGCACTTGGAGTTTCATATGTAACGAAAAATACCAGTTTCTACAGCCTGAATATTCTGCTAAATTCAGTTGCTTTATTATTTTGTTTTTCCAATTGGGAAGAGCGATTGCTTCCATGTATCACCCTAATTACTAATAGACAAAGTTCAGCCGATGAGAGTGAGACCAGCTAATATGACAATCCAAGTTTATCGTAGATATTTAGTCTCATGCTGCTTGCTTTATTTCAATTTATTTACTAATTAGTTTATTATACATGTTGGCTATGTTTTTTCTATATGAATATTTATAACTTACAATTTCGTTCCTCCTATTTCCACAGTAGTTTTTTTTTTTATGTATGGACTTATAAAAGCCTGCCCTAGAGCGACCGAATGGAGTGAAACACCCCATAAGGCAACATTTCATATTATTCCCATCATGTAAAACTGGAGTTTCCAAGTTTTAAGTAAAATGCAAGGCACAAGGACTTACTTTTACACAAAGAAAATAAAGTAATTTCATACAGCGACCAGTGAAGAGCACAAAACATCAGGTGTTATACGTCCCATTACTCTTTTTATGTTCAGTCATCAATTCATAATGTATGTCATTTTCAAGTGACGCAGAACATTTTGTCTTCTGTGGCAGAACTATATGTATATTCGAGAATGAACTAGAAATATTCACTATTGGACCATTGCAGTTTTCAAACTTGCACAGAGCGTGATACTTTCGAAAATTTAGACCGTTTATTTAGCGAGATTTTACTTCATTTTTTATAATATATGTTATTAATTTTAGCATGGTTATTCAACGCGAAATAGAAATAATTCAACGTTTCATAATATTAACATGTAGATATATTTGATTAAATATGCAAGACTGATTCTTCTAATTAAATTGTGTACAACAGAGCATCAAGTTTGGAATGCCGGAGTAGTATTTCGATCCTGTCTGAAGACCTTTCCACGTCGTTGAAATTATTTCGGTACTCCTGAAGTATGCGCACCAAGATGTCGCATAACCTGAACCCTAACCAGGTACACAACCTGAGTTCAGGTTGTGCGTCATCTTGGTGCACATACTTCAAGAGGCCCATTACTTCTTTGTTTACACCTGACTCGCCGCCATAAGATTATATAAATACGTTTTCTCTGTTTTACTTGTACAACATTTGTCATGAAGTAAGATAGATTAATAAATGCGAATGTTTCAATCCCGAAGTCGGACATAAAAATTGTCTTTTAATGACTTTTTTTTTCAAGTAAGGTACTAATATGGGAAAAAGTAAACCATTAACAATTGTCATATCTCTCAACACGCAACCGTATAATAGGTCATTGCCTTTCATGGGATTAGCCCTAGAATCTAGATGGTATAAAAGGGGAATTTTTTTGAGGCTAAAATTGTTTGTCCAATCGAGTAGCAACATCAGTCTACAGGTATTGTTTAAAAATAGCCTGCTGCATCTTTTTAACTATGACTGGGAACACCCCGATTTTCAGACCTGATATCTCATGTTTTAATGTTTTTGCTCGCTCTCCAGAATTCTCCATTTTTAATCTGTGTTTATTTAACTACCTCTAAAAATCCAGAAAAATCCTAAAAGCCGTGTCCGAAAAATTTGTTGCAGGAAATTTCGTCACACAGGAAAATTCGCCGCAAGAGCATTTTGCTGTAAAACAAGTATTTGTGATAAAAGTTAGGTCTATAGGTTTAGGGTAGGCTCGCGGCGATTTTTCACTGGGAAAACAAAATATTTTTCCAAAATTTTTTTTGAATAAACTATATTCAATCTTAGTAACACAAAAGTGCAATGAATAAAGTATAAATCCTATATAGTCAAATTTGTCGTTTGATAGAACGATTCTCAATACAATTTTAAACCTCAACTATCAACTGACGGTGCTGGCACATATAATATAATAAATTTGATATTGAAATAAAGTAAGATATAACGAGTTGAAAATAAGTATAGGGTTAAGCTGTAATTGCATTTGCTTGTACGTCGTCCAAGGTGCTTCGAAACGTTTCCACAGATACCTAAACAACATAAAAATATTTAGAAAAAAAGTAGATTAAAATATGCTTTACATATTTATCCCAAGGGGGAATCCGATAAGACCAGATAATCATATGGCAAACTACTGCCTCTCGTCCTGTTGCCAGTCCATGTCAAGTATGGGATTAGTCAACCAGTTATTTGTCTTCGGAAGCATAGACTTGATAGTGGAAGAAGCCGTAACCGACCACCCTGCGTCGGCGGGGATTTCAGCAATCCTCTCGCACAAAACTATCCCCGCATGAGATTCGAATCTGCGAACCGACGCAGGGTAAGCAAAGATGCGATGGCGAGTGTATTCCTAAGCACGATATTCCTTAGCACAAATGGCATAAAATTTCGGCAATTTCGCTTTGGTCACACTATGTATTAATGCAGAAAAATATCTATTTGATCTGTAGGTTGCAGAAACAAAGACATCTGTCTGTTTTTGTAATCATATCACGGATTAACATGCGCAGTTCACATCATAACAGGATTATTGTGTGAGAGAGGTTTACTCGCAGTAATTTGTAATAGTAAGTAATATAGCTGCAGTACGTCTCTGGATACCCTGGGTTAGAGCTAAGATCCGGAACCCGAGCCCAACCCGGCCATAAATTCGGGCTGGGTAGGGTTGAGTTTAATATCCACGAGCCTTGGTCGGGCCGGGCTGGAATTTTTGGGCCCGATCTTGCCTCTACCCTGTGTGGGTTCAAAGGTTAGAATCCCATGGTAAGTTAATATGTGTGAGAGAATTGCACACCCCACCGCTTGCAGGTGGTTAACTTCATTGGTCGACGAATTGGGATGGTCACGTGGGTCTATTCTGTGTTCAAGAATCACATTGAGATAAGGCTAATCGTTCTACAGGAATAAACTTAATATAAAAAATCTTATGCTGGTTCTATTTATGTGACTGAATTTACTGTGAAAACTGTTGAAGTATATATAGTTTACATACTTCCCCTTTTCCTCTGGGATCCCTGTGTTGTGCTGCATTCCATAATTTTTCAAACATCTCAGCTGTGATTTCAACTCCGATGTTTGCAAAAATTCTTCTCAACTGAACCAAAAGATGATTCAAATTATCAACAAAATCATAAAAAGAACATTCGGAAACCATTACAAAAATCTATATATTGCAGCATTCATATTATGTATGTATGTATGTTAATTTGTCTCGTAAAAAGCAACAAAAGCGTAGATAGAATATCATTACTGAAGACGGGATGTATGCACAAGACCATACTGGCCTAAAACACAAGTGTGCTGCATGCACCCCCTTTGAAAAGTTTTAAATAGAAATAAATCGAATAATGATGGTATTTCTAAGATAATACAAATCGCCAACATAAATGGATCTGTGAAATTGATTGGTCACGCCTAATTTACAAAATAAAACTGGTAATCTGTAAATAGTTTAGGCAAGTAATGTGCTGTAGCATAACAGCTACTAATATATGCAATTGGAGTAAACTATTGGAATATTCCATTTTATAAGATTATTTTGCCATTGATACCACAAATAAGGATCCTAACCGTCTTGTGGAGTGTTGCATTTGAAGTAAAAACATTCTTTTACAAACCTCTTCTCTCGATCTAGGTTGGAAAAAGTCCGTCTCATAAACTCCTCTTTGTGAATACATGGACGGGCTGATGAGACCATATGCATCTGATTCATCGCCATAATTAGTGCGGTCACTAACTCGCCTAAAACAAGAAGTATTACCAAATAACAGAGTGCCAATATTTTGGTAGCTTATTTGAAAAGAAATCAAAAATTTTATTTTTTATAGGAACGGTATCGAGTAATTTTCCTTGACAATCATTTTATAACACTTCCCGGTAATATAAAACAAGTATAAACGTTATGGTATAATCGCTATGATGAGGCATAATCAAGTGAAAAAGTGAAAAATATTCAAATTTTAACAATTTCATATGCAACCAGGGCTATGGAGAAATAATGTACACTTGACATAGAGCCATTTAAATACATAACATAAACTATAAATTGACAGAATTTCATATTTGACACCTGCTGGAGATTGAAATAAAATTCGACTATTAATCAAGCCTCAAACTTTGAGAAAACTGAATTTCGGCCATACAAACTTTGGCACATGCAAGCCTTCTGTAATCGTCTATTGAGGATGATTGATCGAATTGATGGCATTTTTGTTTCCGCCTGATATTTAGATTCTGGCAGTTTTAATTTGCCTTCAAAGCTGAGAATTTTTGAAATATGACTCTGATTCCAATAGCAACGAAACATCCACAAATAACAATTAAGATAACAATAACAAAACGATCATATAGCATCATTGTACCCATATTGAAACCTTTCACAGATGTTTTTCAAGTTGAAATTCTTACCTTAAACTTGGCGAGGGCAGATCAGATCTGACAGTAGGGACACCATAAGTTCGATATTCTAGATTGTGCAAAGCACCTGTCGCTCCAACACCAATGAGCGAAGATGATGTTTTATGATCTGTGAGTGCTTTATCAATTTGTTTCTTGAGAGTTGGGGTTTCTGGAGGCATGGCTGGAAAAACAGAGAAAATTTTATACTTGTTAGATTATATCATAATTTAGTCTAAACGCGTCTCGCAATGAATTGAGTAGCATGAAAAATATAATCGTCAAAACAGCTGTTTTGTTACTATAATTCAGTGAAGCGTTGCGGGCCAGATTATGTTACTCCGCAGGCCGTAGGTTGCCGACCCATGCTTTGGAGGCAAAGTTTCTTGCTCTTACTTCAGAAAAACATACAGAATATCTATAAACCATTTATTTTTTTTATTCATTTATTCATAATGTAATATGCTTTTCCCTATGTTATGTTCCTCTGGAATTTACAGCCATCATAACAGAAGATGCTTGCTATTACTTCGCTGGTCACCGCAATGGTTCAATCCTTTCGTTATTGAACATGGACTAGTAACTGTACGACACTTGTGGTTTGTCATAATATTACGACTTCTTATATATTTTCCCCCCGTCCGAGATTATTGCGAAAATCCAATCCGTCACAAAACTGTAACCATAATGGTTCCTAAATTGATAACTAGTTCACAGGCTGTGATTGGCCATGCCAAAAAGTACTGACTTCGCTATTCGATAGATTAAATATGGAAAATCTAATCGGAATCAAACCTTCTTTCGTGTTGACATCCATAGCTGTTTTAGTTTGAGAAGCAGAAGATACAATTGGCATTTTGTCTTTCCAATTCAAGAAGTTTGCAAATTTTAGGTAATCAATTTTGCCTTCCTCTCCTCCACAATACGACATCAAAAGAAAAAGCATTTCATCTTCAATCGGTACGTTAAGTTGCCAACAAACATTACGGAGTTCTTCATTGTCAATAAATCCATCGTTATTCTATAAAATGAAATTGAGATTTTTTTTATTCAAATTTTGCTCAGAATAAGGCACCCATTGCTGGGAAAGAAGTGTGGTACGCTGGAAGAATAGAATCTTTCCGGTTCAGCATTGTCGAACCAATGCAGCAAGGTTACAAGGTGTGCGGTGGCAAGAGTGTTTTTTAAAATTATGTACCAATCGCCAGGCTGATAAATATATTTTGCATTAATTTAATAAAATGACAATTTTTCAAAATGATAAATATTTTATTTATCAAAATTCCGGAAAATAACATTATCATAATTCCGGTTCAACTCACTGTATCATAATGCTTGAATGCCGCTGATAAATTATCAAAATTATGATAATTAGCTTTCTTTAGATGTTGTCTAATTGCATGCATAACACCTCTCTCCCTGTCTCTACCACGTAGATAAGTATCAGGAGAACGTCCATGCAATAAATCTCCTGCTCCGTACTCGTCTGGTCGAAGTAGAACTCCAAAAGTGTGATCACTCGGCACATTGAGAGTATCTGCAATTCTGAAAAATATGGTTTAGTTTCAGATACGCTAGGGAAATTTTGATGGATGGGACGTTTAAATCAATAGATTGTCTGATATTTTGAAATTGGAGGCTGCAATACTTTTTACTTTTCAGTGTTTAGGAAGATTACAGGGTTACAGAAAATTTTGCACCCATTTAAAAATGAACTCAAACTCTATATTGATAGAAATTTTGATTCCGACACCGGTTATAAATTTTGGACTCGAACTCCAGATCCAAACTTCAAAAAAAAAAAATTGAAGAACAAAATCTTTAGCAAAAAGTCTTATTTTTCGTCTGTTGAGAATGATTAGTCAACTATGAAGTCTGAAATTCCGATTATGATGATTTCAAAATTTCAACTCAGACTAGAAAGAATTTAACAATACAACTCCAGCTCTCCTATATTAACAAGAAGAATGCCAAACTTGAAATTCACAGCGCTGGTGATTAGTGAACTCATTTTTCAAATTTGTACTCACGGATCATGGACTTTCCCAAGTTGTGGTTGATTTCGTTCTCGGAAGTCATCAACTCTTTTTGTCACTATTTTTGCTCCTCGTTCACTGAAATAATAATTGAATATCAAGTTGGCAGAATCTTAGCCAGGAATATACAGTTGTTCAAATACCACCACCATATTGTCAAACCAACCACAACACTGATTCTATATTAAATAAAGTAGTTATAATTTGATAAATCCATTCGCAGCCTAGATCATCGAATTAGTTGCTTGTGAGGATTCCAACATGAATCGAACTTTCGAATTGATCCAAATTTAAATTATATTCAATTATTTGAATTCTTGCTTCTAAAACTAATTTAGCATGATTTTATTTGAAAAATTTGACTGATTTCAAATTTATGTGATAATCTATTTTATACTATATTCGAAATAGTGAAATTATCCTATTTTGGCTAAAGTGAAATAAAATAAAAAAAAGTCGTCAATAAGATCAGATTATTTACTTACGCTTGTTTGTCGTGCAACCACGTCAGTGTTTTTCTTGTGAGTCTCCCATCATTGAAGTGAGGAGTTTCAACTCCAAATACTGAACCTCTTGATATCCGACTCCAATCATATCTAGAAATCATCATTTGTAAAAAAAAAATGATGGTGTATTATGAATTTTTTAGTGATTTACTAAAATCGATTTTTGGGTTTATTTCTGATAATTGTTGGATTTACATACAATTAATTTGGAATTTGCAACAGATGAAAGTATGATTAAAGCTTTAGACTCAACTGTGTCTGCGTTGAACATTTACTCATCTCGGACTCAAATCCCATGCCCACCAACCTCAACCAGAGTATAATAAATTGGGTAAGTAGGGTGAACCTGAAAGATACCGTTTCTTCCAATAAATAGTACATATTGTTCAATATCAGTGGTTGCTTATACAGAGCCATGTTCATAGCAAACAGCATACGCATCATAGAAAAAATGGGTTAAAAATGCTACAAGACAAATATATAACAACGAATTACATTTTAGAAAATATTTTGGATTGAAGTTAAACAGTTAATAACACAATCATTATATCATAGTATTTTTGTTTGCATTGATTTAAACTGCTTTAAGATTTGTTATCATCAGCATTAGCAGTCAGCAATGTACAGTATTTATACAATTTTAGTAGTTATTGTCGTTTGTGAACTTCCTCCTAAATGAGCTTTCTTTACCTCCGAGTGAGTGCAACGTGACACTACTTTGAGCAAATTCTTTTATAAATATTCTTTGTAAATTCAAGCAAACAAGCAACATTATATATTGAAGAAAAACAGTTTATTACAAAATATGAAAAAGCAAACCTTCTGTCATACGTTTCTCCAACATTATAATCATTATGACTGATTGTGTAGAGTTCATGAGCAACTTGAGATTCTTCAGAAACTTGATCTTGACTTTTAGGTGGATTCACAACCTCTCCTGCTTTTTCATCTGAAAAATGAGATGCATCTCATTTCCTGTAATTTACTGATAGTTTGTGAGGTTGGGCAGAATATGTTTATTACTACTCTTCGTCTTAATTTCTCAGATGCAAAGAAGTAATAATAATATGATGAATCGCCATAATTATCAAGTCTTGATAAGAGAGGGATTCCCAACTGGGGATTAGTTGGAATGGGGGGGTACAATACCAGGCGAACTTTCCCATTACAAGAAAATTATAGAAAAATATATTTAAATTTTTAATAATACCCAGAAACATAAATGAAACGACAATTACGTCGCCTTTGCCTTACCTAATTAAATCAAAATGGCCTAGAATATGCGCAAAGCGTGCGCGTATCTTTGGAATGATAGACAGGGGGACATGAGCGCTAAAAGACCCCAAAAGAAGCCATGAGTCAAGAAAGATTGGAAACCACCAACCAGAAATTCAATGCATTAGTAATGCGTAAACAAGTTTCTTACTAATACTAATTAATACATAAAAAGTTAACAAATACCACCAACAACATACTTTTCAGAGTTGCAATTCCAAATGCTGTTGTCAATCTATCAATGCTTGATGACATAAAAGGAGTGTTATCTCGTGGCTTTCCGAGTGGTTTATTGATGTGACTTTCATATAAAGATTCCTTCTTTGCTTCCAAACTGCTTTGAAATCGAGTTTTTGGTTTTGGGGTAACAAGATCTGAAGCCTGAATATTTATAATATTTTGGGAGTTTTATATGAGAGTTTTAGCAAGTTTCAGAACCATAGCCCAGGGACATGCAACTGTTTATAATAATGGACTAAACATAAAACGAGAATATCGGTCAGAGACCGAAGACTTATCGACCGAAAGTTAGGGGATCCCCCAAAACAGCGCTCTTACTCCACAGTGACACTTTGTGTCCCATCACTAATTAATTAATAACTCGCTAATTATAAGACATAATTCATCCAAAATCAATAGGCTTCTGGTCCGACATATGATGAATGCACATGCAAAATCTGGAGCAGATTCAATCTCGCTTTTGTGAGATATCGCGTGCATCTAACAGACAGACATACAGACAGATAAATACCTATCAACATATTTACCGATTAAAATCGATAAGTAATTATGGTTAATGCTGAGGGCCAAACCATCGAATAATGCAAAGGAGTGTTTTGTACAATAGGATCATGCTGCTACAGTGTTTTACGAATCAGGTTTGATTGCGTTGAACAAAGTTAAGTATTTAAAACACCTTTCAGAAAAAAACTCGATTTATTTATAATCAACCTTCACCCCTTTTGATGGTAGATATTTTAAATTTTGGAAAACTTTTTCATTCGCAAAAACAATAGTACTTCTTCATGGAACAAAATTTCATCCCAGTTTGACAAAGTCACGAATGTCGATAGGGCGATCACAAATAATAGAGTATTGACAAAGAGTGAGGCGCGAAGTTCTTAACCAGCCACACACCATGGCCCATATCTTGCAAGCCTCTGCAACAGCACCTCTGATTACACTGTGGGGAATAATTATGTGCAAAAGCATTGCTGGACTCCCCAAATTTTCACTGCCGTGGGGTGGTTCATGTAACTGCTGATCAGTTACGGCTTCCTCCCCATCAAGTCCATGCATTTGAAAACAAAATAACTGGCCAACTATTTCCCTACCCAACACAGAAAGGTAACTAAACAAGCGACTGTGGTTCACCATATGATTAAGTTGTCTTAGTGGCTCTCCTCCCCCCCGGGATAAATATGTAAATCCTATACTGTATGTTATCCACTCAAAGCCTTTTTACCTTCAATGAACCAGCCGTTGTGACACCATGGTAGAATTTTGATGCTTCATCAGCGTCATTTGCTCTTCCATGATGAATTCTTGCTGTTCCACACACTGGTCGACCTGCATCTGTATTGCTAAACTTCTGAACAACTTGTGGAACCTCTGGCTGGAATTTAAAATAATATGAAATCATACCACATGTAGGCCTATATAATCTAAGGACAATAGAAACTAACAAGAATAGAAAAAATTATTTTAGCAGAAATCCAGAATCATATATTCTAAAAGTCTGAAAAGTTGAAAAGCTTGTTTGTTAATGAGAATCTTGGTTACTTTATTATTATAAGTAATAATTTTCATTGCTCAACATATTGACATACTGACATAAGGACGCTCAGCACTACTCGCCACCCATCTTTGTACATTAGTATCTATAATATTATAGTAGAGGATGATAATTGGAAAATAATGGGTGGCCCACTAACTTACCTTACAACATTGGCTTATAATTATATCATCACATTGTTAACAATTGCGTTACCTAGTGAAATTAGAGAAGTTACCTCTGGGTCAGGCGGGTGAATACATTCGCTGGCGGTTCCTCCTTGATCAAACACTTTTCCTGCAAAAGGAATTTTCGGAGTGCTGTCCCTGTATTTTCCTATATTACTTTGCATTGTGGATCAGGAAAGCTTCTAACCTAGTAGGAGAATCGAATCCCAGTCATGAAAGAAAATCATTGCTAGTAGCAGTCGTTGCTAGGCAACAGTGATGAGACCAAGCTCCGGAACTTAATATTATAGTGCCCCTTGTGGCCAAAGGTTTGCTAATTGGAGACGCCAAACACAAAACCCAGAGACGATGTCATGTAACATTTATGCATCGCCAATGGTATTTTAGCTTGTTTTAAGGTTCGTATGTTTCAGGGTAATATCTATACACCACAAATTTTATATCATGATTTAGTTTGGAGGAAACTCTAACCTAGAATCTCTTGGCTAATGTGTGTTCGCATCAGTATGTTCCCCAGCTTTTTATTTCAGGGGGGATGTTTCGAAATTTAGGGGGTGGTAAATAATTTGCTATTAGCGATGAACTATTTGTATTCTTAAAAAAATTGTATGTATTTAAGAAACGATGTACATGAGGGGTCCCCCAAGTTGATTGACGGCGAGCCAAAGTACACAGCAGAATAAAAACTTTGAGAAATAGACACCAAAATAGGCTCTAAGCTAGACATAGCATCGCAGTTTATTATGTAATGAAATTAATAATTATAATATTTGGCTGATAGAATTCCCGAGAAATAAATAACAAGCACGGCTTTCAAGCAAGTAATTTACAACTGATAGTGATTAATGAAGTTACTTGTTCATCTAGCACATGGCATCGTATGAATGGCTACTTATGGCTTGTTTTGTTACACATTTACCATTTTTTTGGACATGTTTGTTTGACTTTTGTATGAATTAGGCAATGAATTAAATTTTGAAATACGCGCGTCAACTGATCACAATGGCGCATAATGTTGTATTCCTTCAGAACTGAAATATTTTGTTGGCAAGAAAGACAAATCGCTGAAGTTTGGTTCTTTTCAATAAAGAAATAAAAACGCTGCCATTCATCTGAAAATGTCTGTTTCCAGTGACTAGTTTTCGTTTTGTGACATCTTTAAGTTTTCTTAATATACGGCTGATATCTAAAATACTGCGGTGTGTAATCCTAATACCCAAGATATACCGGTATAATTCAATTGTTACGAAATAAACGTGCTTAAACTGCGATAATGATGTAAGGATAGACGGTATCTAAAACTCAAAAGGTACCACATGAAGTGTTAAACCAATAGTATATATTTACGGTTCAACTATTTCACTCAAGTTCGGCGGGCCATTTTAAATCGTTACGCGGGCCGTAATTGGCCCCCCTCATCTACACTGATAAATATGCCATAGTCGTTATATTTGAATACAATTATAATTGAGTTAAGAATTACGGAATAACAGCGTGGAATCGCACCTCAAATATTAGGGGGGGTGTTTGAAATTTTAGGGGGGGTGTTCACCCCCTATAGGGGGGGGGGGGGGGGGGGGTGTGTAGGGAAATCACTGGTTCGCATTTATTACACCTATTCGAAGTTTTTTTTTGTAAAAAGATGCAAAAATATTCAATAAAAACAGACTATTGACTAGCTTTTTAAAAAAATTTAGGTTATACTCTTTTATTGTGAAACAAATATAACTTTACTATAAACTGAAATTTATTACTCAAATATCAAAAGGTGAACGTGCAATGAGTTATTCCGTGCACTGATTCATTATGTAAATATACGAACATACTGATCTAGTATAAAAGACACCTAAAGCATTCATGCGCGATTAGCGAGCCTATAATTCTTATTTGCTTTATAGATAAAATGTCTAGCTATGCCGTTGTAGCAGGCACCGATTTTAGCAATAGGCTACTTAGCATCTAGCTCAGTAATAAAACGTGCAGTTTAGTATTTGATTATTCGATAAACGCGCCTTTTAGACGAAAAAGATTCGCGTGTTGCAAATGTAATTGTGTAGCCTACTTTTTTCCGGTACGTAAGCCTATGCCATATATATATTTAAATTATTATTTCGTCATTTTGGAAATTGGAAACTGTCTTATTTCAGTAACATAATAAAAAAAAGATTTGGAACAATATTCATACAAATAAATATAGGTAATAGAATGGAAGTCATCTGTGCCGGATTTCCAAAAACGGGAACCAAGTCTATAGCAAGAGCTTTGCGCCTACTTGGGTATGACATAGGTATATATATTATATTATGATTTTTTTTATTCTCAGTGCAATCAATACAATTATTGTAATTACATACCACATGGAACTTAAACAGTTAGGCTATCCATATTTTACTTTTTTTTTTTTATCTAACTGAGCATTTGCTGTAGCATAACATAACTTCTTAATATGACTGGGCGGCTACGTGGATGTGTCCTACTGAAATTCGAAGAACCAAAACATTCCTACAAGCAGGATTACAGCTTAGCTTATCAAATGCCTCACATGTATATTGAGTGAGATAAATAAATTAATAGGGTATCGGTCAGTGTTCCCTCTAAGGTGTGCGCGTGTGCTTCCAGAGGCTGCGCACATGCATAGATTCACTGCGCACAGACGTATTTCGATGTAATGTAACAATGTGCTCGGTTGGCAGGTTGAGAAAGTTTGTTGTTTGCCCACTTATTAGCCGGTTAGGACGCCAAAATTTCTTCATTGTTTTTTGCACAAATATTAGTCATTTCCAAAGAAGTGCGCACACACCAAAATTTCTGCGCACACATACTACAAAAAATTATAGGGAACATTGGACTATCGGTATATCTGTACATTATCACTTTTAATTTTATTTTATAATTTCAATTTTCAAGTAATCTTGTTATTTCAGTGTACGATTTCGAAGAGGCGATAGAACATTGATATGACGAATGGGAAGAAATTCTTCTGGACAAATCAACCGATATAAACAGAGTTCTTGATGAAATCTATGCAGAGGATGTAGAGGCAGTAGTTGATTTCCCTCATTCGTTTTTCTTCGAATATTTCTATCGCAAGTGGCCGAATGCTAAGGTAGATAACATAAGTATATTCTCAATACGGTTATTCGGTTGCTAATGTTTCAGAAAACAGTATTGATCACGACTCCCACAGCCTATATATATATTATGTCATGTCGTTTGAAACTGAGCGTTTTTAGGAATTGAATGCAATAACAAGCAACTGTTTCTTGTTAAATGTGGTTTTAGAATTTACTTAAATCTAAACGAATTACAAAAAGCCCCATTAAAGTTATTTATTGTATTATTTAATAATATCCCTACGTGAGGTTATTCTGATGATCAGAGATGAAGACAGACAATTTGCAAGTTTTAAAAATATGTTGGAAGAAGGTGATAACACATATTGGATCCAGCGCCATGTTCTGAGTTACTTTTGCAAATCTTTGAGAAAGATAGCAAACTGGAGAAACCATATGTTCATGACAACCATGGTAAAGTTTAGAAACATATTAATAAAAATTTGAAATTTCTTTAAACAATAACGTTCTCGTTGTATTAGGGTATCAATGGGGCATGTCCTTTTGCAATTTGACGGGGTATTATTCACATTTTGAATGCCCCTCACACTCACGTAATCCCTGACAGCAGGCTTTTATATGCTGTTTGAAACTTTTATGACATTTTTTAAATGTCATCAAAACCGTTGGGTTTTTATTACGGGTTGCGATATATTGTTTGCTCTAGTTTGATTGTGTTTCAGAATATAGTTACCTAAAATGCCGCAATAGATGGATTAACTGAACAGACGCCTAAACATCCATTTTATCAAAACAATTCATTTATTGATTTTAACTTATAAGCTTCTTGCGAGACTAACGCCAGTAACTTTTTGGCCGGTGGTATAGCTTTTTAGATATAAGTTGTTGTAACACAGTCAATCGAGAGAATTGGGCGAAGTTGCGTTTATTTTTTCGTATGTGCATGCATCTGATACTTTCAATAATGATGTTTAGGGCAGTTCTCATCCAAACGAACTAAAGTGGAAAGAAGCGTACAGAAGGCACAACGCTTACGTAAAATCGGCAATTCCTGAAGAAAAGCTCTTAATATACAATGTTCCTGAAGTGAGTCATTTTGGATAAATAAGAAATAAAAATAGTTGGTTGTTTTATTTGTCCATTAGAATTAAAATAGCTTCAAGACAATGGAAAACCGAAAGACGATTTCACCAGAAGTTGATGATCAAAACTATTCGCTGCCCCCATAAAGGATCACCATGAGTTCTAATTTTAAGGTTTGACATATCTTCAATATAATTTTCATTCAGGGCTGGGAGCCGATCTGTAAATTTCTGCATAAGCCAGTGCCGCTTGAAGAATTTCCATTTGAAAACAAAGCAGGATCAAAAGATAGAATTGTAGTAAAAATGATGAACAATTCTAGGGTAGTAAGAGACTTCTAAAGGGACCTGATGAATGTTTTTGTATTCTTACCTGTTGTGATTTGCACTGTGTTGGGATGTTGTTATCTAATTCTAAACTAGTCAAAGATACTATTTACAGAGAATAAAAATAACTTTTCTCAACTTCAAAAATCTTTTTTTTGTGTTTACGATTCAAAATCGCTGAAAGGTACATTTTCTATCAATCCTATGCGATCTGATAATTTACCCAAACATTGGCTGTATTATTTCTACTCATGGAACAGTTTTTCATTTAACGTTTTTAACAAGCTGTCCTGTGAGCGGCCCACAGCTACGTTACTGATACCGCAATTGATGAAAATTTTTTGTTTTTCCCTCTGTGTCTCAGTACTCTGTTACTGTAATTAATGCATTTTTGTTTTGCCGAATGCAGTTGGTTAGCGGGACCCTGATCTAACTGAATTGCAGTAGGCCTGTAAGCTACGTTTCATGATTATTTTTGTCTTGCCTTTTCACTTAAAGAGTCTCCCTAATACTGAAATATTCCTGTTAAAATCTTGATACTAAATTGACTCCACTCACTGCCCATCTCCACCAACCTTCCCATCCTCAATCCACTGTCCAACTTCCCCTTTCTCTCTCAACCCATTGCCCTATCTCCATAAACCTTCCTTCTTATCTTCGACCAACTGCCCTATATCTATCCCTAAACCTTTCTATCATAGACTCTGCCCTATATCGCTCCAACTTTCTAATCGCCGCCCCACCAACCTCTATCTTTCTATCCTCAACCTTCCTGCCCTCAGTCTTCCCAACCTGCCTTCCAGTATCCGAAACCCAATGTCATTCCCCAATCCTCCTACACTGGACTCAATGCTTAATCTTAGCGCCATTTGTACTTACTCCGTACATAAACTAAGAGTGCTTTACCAAAGTCCTGATCATCATACCCAACCTTGGAGTGGAAGCACAGATCCACCTATTTGCGAAACGGTCACCAGGAAACCCGTCTGACTACTCACACACGTGTAAAATGAAAAAAAAAAAACAGTATAAACAACAAGCAAATAAAAAATAGAATTTTGTCTCGGCAAGTCCGATTATCAAAATCGAAACGGGCTTTCTCGTCAATCACTACAATAAATGCAATGTTGTGTTTCTCTTCTTCCGTTCACTGCGCTTTCTCATTTTCATCCTTTTGGTAAATCTCCCAAAATCTGTGAAATATAACAAAATTGGCTGCAGAAATTACATTGAGGTGTTCGCTTACTTTTAGCTTAAACAAGAGTGCTATGCCCAAATATATGGGCACGTAGAGTCACATAATTTTGATGACGTCATAGCGAAAAAAAGTAATAGCCTTCTGGAGAAAATTTTTATCTTTAATTAAACACTAAAAATTTCAAAGCAATTGGTCCAGTATTCGAAGAGAAAAGCGATTTCTTCAAAACGTGTTGAAGGAGACAAATAATAACAATAACAACAAAATTTTGAAACGATCGTTATGTCCACTACGTGTCCAATGAATAAATAGCATTGTACAATTATTTTAGTGACAGTAACTTTTACTATGTCAGAACGATGATTTTGAAACATAGATATAGAAAACTTTTCTATTGTTTATACAAGTTTCTAAAACCACTAAAAAATAAAAAACATTAGTTCTTGTTAACTCAATATTCGTGATTAAAAATTGATATATACATTTATAATCCTGAGTCTATTTCACACAAAATATGCGGAAGTATTGTTAAAAAAAACGCGCATTTATACAAGAAGTCACTGTAGTTCAAATATAATTTGAGGAATAGGTTTCACGAGATTCGGGACAAACGTAAACCTAAACAGGCTTTAATGGAAGTTATTTTGTATCATTATTTTTTATTATAAGTTTCCTATTTTAAGAATCTTTTTGAGGGGTTGAAGTTTGTTTATCGAATCCTGTTATTGTACATATCGTCACACTAATAACCGAATTGCGTAAGTCATTTTTAGCAGTTTTGAGAAAAACGTAAAAAAATTTCTAATGATATTGTTATGCGATTGAGAGTCAACACTTTGCCAATGTGTCTATGACTTGAGGACATACGCAATTTGTAAACTTGACTATCCTGACTAGCCCCAGTCCTGAAAACCAAACATTCCAAAAACGAATGTAATTCTCAGTATCTACGATGTCTAATCTCCAAAATAGCTAATCTGTTTTAATTACGTCATTTTTTATGTTGAAAATATATATTTCATTAATATAACACGCTCTGCACACCCACCAAAATAGGACTAAGATTAAATATAAAGAATAAAACAGCAATGCACCCAATGTAAAAGCCAACCAAGGTGAATTGGATTCGGACAGTGAATATCACAAGTGCACGCCTCCCTATACTGTAGTATAAATTCAAATTTATACGTAATACGTACCTTGCGCTGTATATTAAATAAAAATATGTTTAAATTTAATACTTTTTATTTCATTTTCTAATGTAAATATTTGCAAACATATATACTTCACTGTAATGAGAACTAATATTGAGAAATCATCAACTAGGTCTATTAGAATGAAAACTAAGCACTTCATACTGATAATAACCGTATTACATTTTAAAATATCTCTCGCCCATATTTTTGTAAATTGCTCAATTGGTTTATACCAAAGATATGAACCACGTTTTATAGCTGGTAGAAATAAAACAATGCTAGTGCACAGTTTTATCACTTTACTGTGAAATTGTGTATGTTTCCGACCTCAAAAATGCATATTTTTCTACGACTTAATAATATAGCAATTAAAAAAGCATAATAATATAGCTGCAATGTATAACATTCATTTTCTCACCCGAGTGTTCTTTCAAATAAGCAGCAATATTGCTGAGAGGTCCAGATGCCATGGAACTAACCAATCCGTTCGCCATCACACACTTCTGTGACTGAACGAGAAAAGCGAGACGCTGCTTTGGCTTCCCGCTCAAATTAATTAAGAATAATAATTAATTTACAGTAATCAAATCGATTGACAATTGGGTTAATTTAGGCCACTCATTTCAGATATCACGCGAATAAGCCATCAGGAGTATGGGCATTGTTTTTGTTTACGTCAGTTACACGAGAATTTCAGTCAGGACAACAAATATTGTTGCATAAATCTTGACTGATATAATACACTTAATACTAATTGCGGTTATTCATTTGATCTTGAGTAAATTACTTCTTTCTCGGCCTAAAAGTGTGGGCAGGTTAATGCATCGAACTCTCAATGGTAGTTGTGGGTTTGTGACATGTCTTCAACTTCCCAAATTTATATATATATATATATGTAAATATACACATTATTGCAGTCCATCACGGCCTTCGCAACCGATGATTTGATACCAGAGCCAGAAATTGGGTAAAGTACGGGGTCGCACTTGTTTGAATTATTATTATCATAATTTTACTTAGCTTATAACTGGCATAGTATTGTGCACCAAGACCATACGGTTCATCTTTAAACGTTCAAATGCTTTACCCATCGATAAAACGTATTCTCAGAACGAATAATTCTTGGATCAGTTGATAATATTTACAGAGAATAAGTCCAGTTCTTTACAATGATAATTGTTATTTTATCATTTTGTATCATAATGTTGTATTTTATAATTGTATTTTAAGGTGTTACGTTTTCATGTTTCCATAAGCGTATTGAACTAGAGATGTACCTATGTATCGGTGTCGGCAATATCGGCCAACTGGCTTCGGTAGACCGATATTTCCAGCTTTTTTTATTGTGATCCAAAATGTTTTAAAAAATAAGTTAGAATACGAAATACGGATGTTATAATTTTTTTTTTGCTTGGCGGGATTATGTTCGTGGTATTGGCCTTGTTAACTGTGAGTCATGCTTTTTCCAACCCCCTCGAGTAGAATCGGGGAAAGGATTCTAACCTGTTTTAGCTATTTATCAGCCAAACTATTTAAACTAATTTGGCTATTTTCTCTGCTAATTTTCTACATTGACATTTTTGATATTACATGGTAATTATATGAAGAAATATATCAATCGAATATTAGTGGATTTTCCTATGTGTAAAATAAAAAATACGACGTTATATTGGCACAAAATCCTGCGTACGTAACTCAATGTATCAGAATGATAGAATAAGTAAACATTAATTTATTTTACCACCCATGGTAGCCAAACACTATGAGTTTTCTGATTAAACATTGAGATAAATAGTGTCAGTGCACAATGCATCTGAATCAATTAACGCATCTGGACACCCAACATGAATTTCCTATTACAGTATCTAGAATATCTTCTCAAATCCGAAATAATGTACACTATTAAATATTGCTTACAGACCATTGTTTTAACCCGTCTGCGTGCACACTAATAATAATAATTACATAGTATCGGAATATCGGCTTTTTGAAATATCGGAATCGGCGTTTTTTTCGTTGGTATTGATCGGTATCGGCGACAAAAGTGGTATAGAAACATCTCTATTTTGAACTACTTATCCGCTATTCAATCCCTAAATTCAGAATCTAGTTACCTAAAATACCACAATAGATGGCTTGAACAAACGCATGAACAGCCATTGTATCAGAATAGTTAATTCCATGATTCTAACTTATAAGCTTCTTGTGAGACTGATGCCAGTTTATTGTCCCAACAACTTTTCATCTCACTGTATAGCGTTTTAAACATAAGTTGTTGTATCACACTCAATCGAAATTGGGCGAAGTTGCGTTTATTTTTTCGTATGTGCATGCTTCTGATACTTTCAATAATGATGTTTAGGACAGTTCTCATCCAAACGAACTAAAGTGGAAAGAAGCGTACAGAAGGCACAACGCTTACGTAAAATCGGCAATTCCTGACGAAAAGCTCTTAGTATATACAATGTTTCTGAAGTGAGTCATTTTGGATGAATAAGAAATAAAAATAGTTGGTTGTTTTATTTGTCCATTAGAATTAAAATAGCTTTAAGACAATGGAAAACCGAAAGACGATTTCACCAGAAGTTGACGATCATAACTATTCGATGCCGCCATAAAAGATCACCGCGAGTTCTAATTTTAAGGTTTGACATATCTTCAAAGTAATTTTAATTCAGGGCTGGGAGCCGGTCTGTAAATTTCTGGATAAGCCAGTGCCACTTGAAGAATTTCCATTTGAAAACAAAGGAGGATCAAAAGATAAAATTGTAGTAAAAATGATGAACAATTCTAGGGTAGTAAGAGACTTCAAAAGGGACCTGATGAATGTTTTTGTATTCTTACCTGTTGTGATTTGTATTTTATTGTGGTGTTTTTATTTAATTCTAAACTAATCAAAGTGAATATTGAGAAAGAGAAAGGGTTATTAAAACTGACTTTTAGTAATCACAAAAATCATTTTTTGTGTGTAACTACGCACGGGATCAAGGTTCAAATTTCTAATTTCGATTACTGTATATTAGTACCATTTCGAAAAACAACAGCAAATGACTAGCATTTTAGAATTGATAAAGTGGAAGGTGGGTGGAAAGGTGGGTGACATTTGACAGGAATTTTACTAACGTAGGGATGGGAAAATTTGTTCAGCTTTTCAAACCTCGGAGGAGGGGGGGGGGGGGGGGGTGGATTTATGCGTTTAATGAAAAATAGGCAAACGGGAGAAGTGTATCAAAAAGTTAGGAACTGATGCATTAGAAGTTGGACTTTCGCCTCTACATATGTAATCATCAATACTATTAAAAAGGGCTATCGTTTAGTCATTAGTAGAAAATTTGATCAAAACCCAGATTATTATTAGACGTGTTGCATTTTGGATAATTAATGAAGCATAGAGAATGTGCTTTTATGCCTGATAGCTCAGCTCACCAACAATACCAGCTCATGTTGCATCGTTCACAATAAATTCTGTAATTTCCCTCTAATTTGGTAGAACATTCCTACCAGACAAAATCAAATTGAAATGTAGTGAAAATTCAAACGAATAACTCGTTTCATCGCATATTTCACTGGCTATAAATTCGTATTATTGGCTCCATTCGCAATTCGCATATCTATTGAGGGCTGTATGTGCAACCTGCATAGGGTGTTCAAACCAAAGTAACGAAATACAGCTGCAGAAGATATCAGTACGGTCGTTACGTACTCATATGCCGTATTTTATATTAATATTTCTGTTTTGCACACATTCAAACATTTGGACTAGTGGTTTAACCACTTAACCGCAATTCATACTCAAATGTTGTCCACCATACAGATTTCTCTCTGAGCCATTTCGGCAAGCCCGTGCGAGTTACGAATTAGTCAACCGTAGTAGTAGTACAGGGGGTATTTCGTTTCACTGTTTTATTCATTGTTCTCGTGTCTTGTATGCTTACTGACCATTGAGGAAAATAGATTGCATACATCAACATAGTATAGTAGAGTGGTTCGCTTTTCATGAAATTATATCGGAGGCTGTTAAACTTTGGCCGAATATTGGCTCTGGTTCGAAGGGGTTTAAGTAAAACATCATAAGTCTTTATTGCAAATTCAATCTAATTATAATCTTGTAACGCGGGGCAAAATTAAATGAAGCTTAGCACTTTTGTGGTCGTGGCCTCTTGTATTTGTGCAGTATAGTTTCAAACATGAGCATCAACAAATGTACATGATATTGAGAATTTCGGCATCCCTTGTTAAATACCTTACTTTCATATAGACAGATATAAATAGACAAACATAGGGCGCTACTGCTGCTATACCAGATACAAATCGAAGCCGCGCAGGTATACAGTCCCTTCAAGTAAGGCAGTAAGAGATTCTTGTATGGGCTATTATATCTTGTTGAAATTCAGTTGTTTAGTACAGTAGCTCTAGCAAGATAAAATGTCGCAATATCGGTCTTTCATGAAGTTGTAACATTTTTCATTGAAATTATTGAATATATATATACTAACGTTAGGTTTGGATATGGAACTCAAGAAGAACTCAAAGCTACAAGTTCCTTTGTGGCTGCCATGCTGGCGCAGAGTCGCTTTGCAAATTATAAACCTGTCTCAAAGACGTTTACGTGATTGTGAAAAAACAGAGACGACACTTTTATTTTATAGCAATATTGCAAAACGCATGATTCATATTCAATTCTAGCATATATATAATTGTATCAACAGAATGAAAGTAATATGTGCCGGGTTTCCCAAGACTGGAACGAAGTCTCTGGCAAGAGCGTTGCGAATACTTGGATATTGCAAAGGTAAAATATGCGATTACATTTTTCTTCGTGTTTTCCCGATTTCTGTTACTTGTTTTTTTACTGAATTTCAATATGTTTATAACCGCTAACCAGAGCCCTTCCTATAGGATCTTGTTCAGTGGGCGGCGTCAGTACCGGTTTTGCGACGTCAGCTATGTGATACAAATAGTTCGAGTGAGGTGAGGCTCGCAGCAGTAATTTCACGGTTTCGTATTTCGCACACCAGTACATTACATTCCCGATAGCCAGCATTAAGATAAATTTGACAAAAATGGCTTTCATTTGTATAGTGGAATGAATGATTTTTTGGTATCAATCTTTCCATATCTATTTCGGTATAAAACATTATTATTTCAGTATACGATTTCGAAGAGGCGATAGAATATGGACTGGAGGAATGGGGAGAAATTCTTTTGAACAAATCAACCGATATAAACAAGGTTCTTGATGAAATTTATTCCAGAGATGTAGAGGCAGTAGTTGATTTTCCTCATTCAATTTTTTTCGAACATTTCTACCGCAAGTGGCCGAATGCCAAGGTCAGTGAAATGCTTAAAAAGACCAATGCTTTATATCTCCTACGATCTAATGCTGTGGAATAGTCAGGGTCAAAGTTGGACATGTTTTCAATGGGTGTGGACTGTGGGCACCAGACCTGCCCGGGGTCGGAGTAAAAAATTAGAACTTGTAAGAGTCGGAATTTCATGCTTCCAGTGGTCACAAAAGAAGCCGAAGTTTTCTTACAGAAACCCATAACGCAATGAGTTTACCAAGTGTTCCAAACAGTCTATTAAAGCAGACTTGCTCACATACGCCAATGTTTTTGTTATCGAAAATTGATGTTCTCAGAGTTCAGAGCTGGCGTCGTAAATCGAATTTTTGAATTCCCGGAGTCTAAGTAAATTTTGTTATAACCCGGAGTGGAATTTCTGATAAGCCGGAGGCGGGAATCCATTGTAAATTGCCACCATGCTCTTGCCTAGGATTACAATATAGCCTAGTTATTTTCGTATTATATCCACGTTTTGAACTTGTATATATATAACTTATAACTATTAACTATAAAGCAAATACTTAACCTAAATTACATGTTTGCCTAGGTCATCCTAATGATAAGAGATGAGGATGATCAATTTAGAAGCTTCAAAAATATGTTAGTTGAAGCAAAATCAACTTATTGGCTGGCTAATAAGATACTGCCTTACTTTTCCAAAACCTCCAGATTTTTCCTCAGATGGAGCGACCACATGTTGATAACAGCATTGGTAAGGACTATAATCAGCTTCGTTCAAACATAACTTTTCACATAAACTCTTGAAAATTTAAAATGGGAGAAAAGTCTTCGAACTAGTTTTAAAAAATGGATAGAACCGTATTGTGATCAGTCAGCAAAGTAACATCTGTGTGTTCGGGTGAAATTTGGTTCCCCTCACAGTTTTACACTATACTTTTTTGAGCGCACTTCACATATATATATATATCATTTAGGGCAGCGAGGAACCGAATGAACTAAAATGGAAACATGCTTTCAGAAGACACAACGCTTATGTAAAGTCTGTGATTCCGGAGGAAAAACTCCTAATATATAATGTTTCCGAGGTAAGTTATTCAGGAGATCAAAAATTCTCGAAATTTTTTGTTGTTCAATTTTTATTTTTAGATTAGAGTTCCACGAGTAGACGTGTTTTCATCCCGTTTGATACAAATTCCGCAAGACACTCGTTCAAAATATATAATTGTTTCAGGTAAAAATTGTATAAATAATCTAAATTTAATCAAGGGTTGGGAGCCACTATGCAAATTCCTGGACAAAGCAGTGCCAACGAAAGAGTTTCCTTTCGAAAACAAAGCCGGGTCGAAAGACAGAATTGCAGTGAAGTTGATGACAGATTCCAAATTGATAAGAGAAATCAAAAATGACCTGTTGAACGCATGTTTAATTTTGCCGATATTATTTGCCTTCATGGCGTGGTTTTGTTATCGACTTCTGATCTAATCAGATCGGAACCTCAAGATAATTTATTTTTCATTATATTTATATCCTGAAGACATAACAATTTTGTAAATCCCGTGTGTATATACAGCATTGTTTAATTTTCTAAAGTTATTTACTCCACTTGAATAGACAAATTGCTAGTATTGTGCAAAGTTGCAGTCGATTTGAGAAGGTGCAAACAGTATTCTGGAGCCGGTGACTTGACCTCATTCATCCTTAACGACTCGATGATGATTAAATGCTATAATAAGTTTCGGAATAACTATGATTTAACGGGAGATGGAAGTTTTAATGTCATCTCACTAATATTTACATATTTACCTGCTTATACATTGGACTCAAATTGTTTTCGACTTCAAAATATCTATATTGAATGATTGGCGATATATTGTAATGTTACGACAAATATTTCGGTCACCTTTTTTAAATACCTTTCTCTTGAATAATCTTGCATCACATGCGACTACGCAACGACTATAGTCTGTGTAAATAGACAAACACAGTGCGTTACTGCTGCTATACGGTATAAAGCGAAGCCGTGTAGGTTACCGGTCCCGTCGAGTAAAGCAGCAGGCTATTCTACGGTATTCTGTAGGATGTCATTCTGCAAAATACCCTTAAGCCTTCAGGCAATAGTTTGTGCACTTTGGGTATTAACTGCAACTTTCAGTTTGAGGCATCAAAATTCAGTGGTTCAGTGCAGTAGCTCTCTATCACCCAGTAAGATATAATGTCGAAATATTGGTCTTTCACGAAGTTGTAACATTTTTCATTGTACTTATTCAATACTAAAGTTAGTTTTGAATATAGACAAGAACCAAAATCTAGAAGTTTGCTTTGTGGCAGTCTTGTTTGCACAGAGTCGTTTTGCGAATTATAAACCTGTCCCAAAGGTCCGTACAATCGATATGCCAATTCACGACGTTGCTTCGTAAGACCAGCCATTTACGTTCACGTGATTGTTGGGAAACATCAGTGACAAAATCTTCAGTTTATTGCAAATCGTATGATTCATATTCAATCTCAGCATATATATATTTAATAGTTGCATTAACGGAATGAAAGTAATATGTGCCGGATTTCCCAAGACTGGAACGAAGTCTATGGCAAGAGCGTTGCGACTACTTGGATATGGCAAAGGTAAAATATGTGATTACTTTTTGGTTCGTGTTTCCTGATATGTATTATTTGTTTCCCCCTGCATTTGGACATATTTATTACCACTAATCAGAGGCCTACTTAGTATTCCGTTCAGTGGGCGGTGTCGATATTCAGCGTCAGCTATGTGATACACCAGTTATTCTTTTCCAAATAGTTCAAGACTGCTTAGTGTTGTAGCACTTTTCGCTTCATTTATTTCAGTACAAAACATTATCAAACATTGTTACTCCAGTTTACGATTTCGAAGAGGCAATAGAATATGGACTTGAGGAATGGGGAGAAATTCTTCTGAACAAATCAACCGATATGAACAAGGTTCTCGATGAAATTTACTCAGGCGACGTGGAAGCTGTAGTTGATTTTCCGCATTCATTTTTCTTTGAACATTTCTACCGCAAGTGGCCAAATGCCAAGGTCAGTGAAATGCTTGTTACGGCCAAGGGCCGTGGAATTGTCAGGGCCAAAGTTCGGTATGCGGTCGGAGTTGTAGCCTACTTTTAACCTGACCGTGGTCGAAAATTAGAATTTGCCGTAGTCGGAATTTCATGCTTTCAGTGGTGATAATTAAAGCCAAATGTTTTCCAAGAAACCCAAAACGCGAAACCCAAAGTTTACAAAGCTTCCTAAACAGTCGAATTGAAGCAGACTTGCATACATACGCCAATGTTTTTGTTATCGAAAATTGATGTGCTTAGAGTTCAGGGCTGGCGTCGTAAATCGAATTTTCGATTTCCCCAGAGTCTTAGTCAATTTTTATGTTATAATTCGGAGTCGAAGTGAAATTATTCCCAACCGGAGGCGGGAATCGATTGTGAATTGTCACCATTCTCTTGCTTATAATTACAATATACATATATATAGTTATTTTCATGTTATAGCTACGTTTTGAACTTGTATATAACGTAGCACATAGCTATAAAGCAAAAACTTAATCCAAATTACAATTTATTCAGGTCATCCTAATGATAAGGGACGAAGATGATCAATTTAGAAGTATGAAAAATATGTTAGTTGAAGCAAAATCAACTTATTGGCTGGCGAATAAGATAATGCCTTACCTTTCCAAAACCTCCAGATTTTTCTCGAGATGGAGCGATCATATGTTTTTAACAGCAATGGTAAGAAATATATTCAGTAGTGATCTAACCTATTTTCCCCCATAAACTCTTGAAAGTAGAAAATGGGAAAAAAATCTTCGACAAAGTTTGCGGAAATAAATAGGACCGTATTGTAATTGAATAAATAGCTATCTGTAAAAAAATGAATATACTTTCATGAATATAACGATATAAAATCAGTATGAAATGGTTATATCATATGTTACGTCAGCTCGTCTGGTTATCGATTTGGGTCTGATCGTCTGTGAGATCAGCCAGCCAACAAAGCAACATTTGCGTACCGGATTTCGCTTACTATTTTTTGTGCGCACTCCACTTACTTTTCATTTATCATTTAGGGCAGCGAAGAACCTAACGAACTAAAATGGAAACAAGCTTTCAGAAGACACAACGCTTATGTAAAGTCTGTAATTCCGGAGGAAAAACTTCTAATATATAGTGTTTCCGAGGTTAGTTGTTCAGGTGATCAAAATTTCTCGAAAATGATTTGTTATTTAATTCTTAATTTTTTGATCACGGTTTCATAAGCAAACGTGTTTTAATTCTGTTGGATAAGATTTTCGAAGAACACTTGTTTAAATATATAATTGCTCCAGGTAAATCTGAAGTGGAGATAAGTAGATTTTTATAAATAATGTAAATTTAATAAAGGGTTGGGAGCCATTATGCAAGTTTCTCGACAAAGCAGTGCCATTGGAAGAGTTTCCTTTTGAAAACAAAGCCGGATCAAAAGACAGAATTGCGGTGAAGTTGATGACAGATTCTAAATTAATAAGAGGAATCAAAAAAGACCTGCTGAACATATGTTTAATTTTGCCCATATTATTTGCCTTCTTGGCGTGGTTTTGTTATCGACTTTTGATCTAATCAGATCGGAACTTTAAGATAATTTATTATGCATTATATTAATATCCTGACGACATAACGATTTTGTAAATTCCGCGTGTATATACAGCATTGTTTGGTTTTCTAAATTTATTTACTCCACTTGAATAAACATATTGCTAGTATTGCAAAGTTGCAGTCGATTTGAAAAGGTACGGACAGTAGTCTCAACAGTCGCCAGTGATTCCACTTCAGTTACTTTTTCAATGACTCGATGATGATTAAATACTATATTGACCTTGAGAATAACGTTGGGTTAAATAAGTCTTATGAAAGTCTTAGTGTCATCTCACTTATATTTAAACACTGAGGTCTCGAAATTTTTTTTTACTCCAAAACATTTATAATGAATGATTGACGATTTTATGTAATGGTACGACAAATAGGCTACAGTGTTATCGTAAAAGTTCGAAATCATGAGAGTGGCGATAATTTCATTAAGCGAATTTCTTTGAAAGCAAATTAATAAATGATTTTTTCAATACAATTAAAAAAGTTATCAAACGTTTGACCTTGTTGAACACGCTATAACGAGTGCTCCTTGGATTCAAACAAGGGAGACAGAAATCAATTAATTTTTGCAAACATAATATACATAGTATCAATGCAAGTTAGAATCCCACATTCAAGTTGTAGCAGCCAATGTTATAATACACGTACGTACCGTAGTGATGAATTTAGCAAATCAAAAAGAAAATCTTCAGTTTCAAATGCATGAAATTTATAAGGAAATGTATTCGATTGAGAAGAATCAATTTATTATCAATCTTGTTCTGATTAGTTTTGTGTTGAATGTGTTACTGTCAGGTATCAGAAATTCTATTCATTAAAAAAATGCATTAGTGTTGCGATTTCAAATAGTGTATTCGAGTATAATACTGATATCGAACATAACTCTGCGATGGTAATAAGTTAGATATTATAAAAAATAGGTTTTACTTCATAATAATAGGGTTTATCCCAAAATTTGGTTATGATTAATAAGTCAATTAATTAGTTTGAGTTCTTTGCGACGAAACATAATTGACATAAATTCGTTCTATTTAAAGAATAAATTTTCCACCTGTTAAATTGCAACATTGTTTTTTATTTTTATTTTGCCCGTATGTCAGAGAAAAGTCCATGACGGGTTGCCAACACGGCTCGTTTTGTCGTAATCACTGGCAAGATAACCTTATGTGGTCTTATGCGGTGCCATTTTTCCATTGATGTTTTCCTCTCATTCCTTGTCTCTTCAGATGAATACCCTTCTCTGAGTATCACCAGTTTGATTCAACGCCTCGTGAGTTTTTCCCCACTACCTTTTCTGCTATATTATAGCCTTCATCTTCGTCCAGACATTCCGTTCTTTCATCCATTTCAATACCAGGCCAGGTAGATTTTCGACAATGTGAAGCTGGAAGCTCGTGAAGCATTTTGCATAACTTACAAAACCCGATAGGTCTTGGTGATAAATACTTTTTTAAAGTTAATCTCAAATTTTGACTGGGTTGAGCAAAATTTTCCCAAATATTTTGTTGTACATAATCACCGTTTTTATTTAAATATTTTGTCCACTTCCGCCACTGCAAATATTCGGCATATGCTGTATCGTTCTTGTCTAAATATTTGAGGTACTTAACAAGTTCATATGTTGACTGGAAGTCCTCGATATGGATGTAAGACTTTGGTGGAAGAACAGCTTTGACATCATCCCTAAAACAGGAGCAATGCTCAAATGTATGGACACGAAGGTGATAGGACCCACAATGGCAGCATTGAAAGATTTGTATCGAATATTATGTGAAAGTGGACCATATGTCATATAAAGGCTTTGCTGTGTATCAAAAATTTGGTGCTCAATATTGAACCACGTAGGACACAAAATGAAAATTTAAGCTTCTTGTGCGATTTTACAACAACGGCCCCGACATAAACAACAATTTAGCAAAAACGATTCAACAATGTTAACTAATATAGTGTTAATAGCGCTGTGGTCACAGACCAAATTTATAGTCATTTGAGGACATGTCAGGAAGTTAACTTGATTGAAGATACACATCTTGTGAGAAATCAAAAATCTTCTACAGAGAAGGCTATTAAAAGTATGAAAATATATCCATCCCTACTTCTAACTGGTGTTCACTATATGTGTGCAATCGGGATATATCTTAAGCAATACAAACCAATCACACGAATAGTAAGTACTATATACTAAGTACTCAGATGTAAGATATGTTTCGTTTAAACGTAAAACGAATTAAGCGATGGAATATGCTCCATAGATGCTACTTGAGAAGCTCTTAACTCACTGCTCTAGATATTTACTCAATCAGTCTGGTTTGAATATACAATACAACGCAAAAGCTTGAAATGAATTAGAATTTAATATTTGATTTCAATGAAAAGGCAGACAAATGGGTACTCATTGCAATAATTCCAAAATAACTAACCTGTGTGGCCCCCAAATGACGGGAACTGCTCCACTGTACAGTGCATTATACCATAACTTTTCGGTAATATATCCACGGCAGTGAATGCTGTTTTCAAAACTCAAATAAAATTTATATCTGCAAAACAAAACGTAAAACGTAAATAACCCGAATCTATAATCGTATTTAGGTAATGTTGTTTAGATACAACAAAGTCTAATCGAATAAAGATTAATTTATGTCTCAATTGGTTCCACAACATTTGAACCCACGACAATTGCACCCGCATACTATTTCACCTATGGAATTTTTTTTTTTTTATGGATATTTGAACCCATACTAACCCTAAGATTTTAGCATCCTCATATAGATTGAAACCGCGGATATACGGCTACAAATGTATGGGTTCAAATGTGCGGTCACCGTCTCAATTGAGAGGATACTTTTGTATTGGAGTGGACACTTAGGAGACCAAATAATTTGATTTGTTAAGTGGTAATCTAGTTTTCTGAACCCGAAATGAACCTATGGATCGTTTTAGTAAATTAGTGATGAAAAACTAGCTTTTGTTTGCAAGTAAAGGACCAATTAATTTCAAATTTCCAGTACTTGAAATTCTCTAGAAGGCTACTAATTTCTAATATTTTCTCAGTCATACGCTATTAGGAGTTCGGTCTTTTATTGTTTTATCTCACTCGGGAACACTTCTATATTATATTCTCTTGCTTTTGTGTCATCATTGAAACTCACTTACTTTGATAAAAATTCAAAAAATGCTGGATCCCATCTTGACAACAGAAGCCAATTTTCATTGCAGCTACCAAACCGATCAATTGATAATCCGCTTTCTTCAATAGCATTCACAACAAAATATCTGATACGAGCACCACCAGTGTCACAGTTACTGGCTATCCAAGCAGCTAATCTGAATGAACATTTTTCAAATTTAGATATGGCCTTCTACTAGGCTGTCAATGTCGGAGTCAGAGTCGAAAATTTTGTCAACTCGACGATGGAATCGGAGTTGGGGTCAAATTTTTCTCATCCGGACGTGAGAGTCGAATAGTAGTTTGGTGTTTTGGCGTACAAATGTTAACCTGTATACTATTCTGACTGTTTGTGTATGGTGAATAATTTCGCAGACTAATCGGGATAAATCGTATGTGTACCTAAACAAAATGCTTTTTTCTTCAGATGTGCAACAGACATACTACCCGCTATATCAGTCATGTCTATACGCACTCTTTAAATTCTAATCTCTATTTTTTAAAAAGGTTGTTTATGGGTATTTGACAACGAACAAGACACACAATCACTTAGAAACGAATCGTGACAATAACAACGCGGGTCTGTCTGCACTCCTTTTTCAAATTTCGGTTGAGTCAGACGGGCTCGCGAAATTCAATCGGCGTAAGACCCAAACGGTAGCATTGTTTTCCAAAAACAGTAAAATTTGCGGTGAATGAATGAAAATATATAGAAAGTCCTTCTATAGAGAGTCCTTTGACAGTCGCTCTCTATCTTTGACCAATAATTTACAGCGATTAATCAAGTTGTTGAAAAGATTTTTAACAAGAACAATACAGCAGAATGGCTGCACACTTCACCAGTTATATTTAACCGTCTCATTTAGCGCAGAGGGCAATAGTCTCATAACCACCCAGACATATCCGTTTTACCGCAATTTATCCAGCCTATACAAGCCTGAGAAACACCATCAAGTACAACTCTATTCATTGAGTGCTTGTTAATAGCGATATTTAATACGATGATTAAGGCGATGATTTCCACGTATAAGTAAAACAGCTAAGTCAATATTTAGTATGGCTAATACACGATGTACAAATACACGTTCACCACTAATGATAAGCAAAATCTGGAAGTACATTGAGAATGACTTCGAAGGTATAATTACGTTCACTTCTTTCGGTACAGAGATTGATTTAGCTTTGTAAGCACTTGGCTGAGCCATTACATCACACAGCATTAGTAGTTATAAATGAAAGTTGCGAATGAGTAATTGTCAAAAGTTAGTTAATCTTACTTTTGTTTGCCTTTAACAAGTTGCTTTACAGCGTCTTTTGTGGGGTTCGAATCTCGTAATTTAGTTTTGCCCTTGAAATGTTTTCTTTCCAATTCGGATATATCATCTTCATCGGCTGGATATATTCCCTTTGTTTTTCTCATTTTATCCATAAAATTATGTCCGTGTTCTTTCTGCCTGTCAGAAAATAAGTAATACCGAGATAAAAATTATTCGGTTTCTTGAAATACAGCAGATTCATGATATTTATATCGCTTATACAAATTACGATACGTACCACAAAATCTTCAACGTCCATGGAAATGACCCATAAGGTGAAAGGACATTTGAGCTTGAACTTGGAGTCATTGTCCAATCAAAATATTTTCGAATGCTCTTGTCAAAGTGCAGTGTGTTGGCACTTTCTTGAGACCACCATACATACATCTGGTCCTGGTGACTGAATTGTAATTAGTTTTATTGAAATTACTCAAAGTTAAACAATACACTTATTACTCAAAAGTGAGGAAAACCATGGCCATTGTCTACTATACGAAACTTGTTATAACTTGAATATCGTGTAACGTAGGTGTGTAGCCGTTCGAATCAAAGTGGCTATCAAACAACTTAGTATAAATATTACCAGACCTCCCACGCTCTCTCGCTGTCGGGTATGGGGAGAGTTGGCCAGTTATTACAAAACGTCAGTTGGAACGTCATTTCGAAAATGTAAATTTCAATGGCCAGCAGTATTTTGTAATATACCTACAGAATGTCTGGGTAAAGCAGTGGAAAATGCCATGTTTTGCAACACATTTAAAGCCAAGACAAGACTAAATATAGTAAAATGATATGACATTTCCAGGTTTAGATGCTTATTGCTGTCAATTTTTATATTCTAATTAGAAGGAAGCTAACGATGAGAGGTTCAAACAAGGATGTGGAGAGTTTAGTATGTTTTACTGGGGTCCAAGTCGCTTTCTAAAGCACGCAGTCGGAGACAAATTTTTCTCAAGTCGGAAACGACAATCGGGATGGATGCGTAAATTGCAGAGCCCTGTGTTCCACACTATCTTCATTTTATATTTACTAAATTTCTAAATTATAGAATGACAAATTCACCAACCTTTTTGGTGGAGGTTTATTCGTAGAATTTGGATAAAATGCATGAAAGACAACAGCATCACTTCGATTTAACATTTTTCTGTCATAAGTAATTCTGCAGCTTCCACATGTAGACGTGTTCCAAGATATCCTAAAATATAATTTCGGTTATTGAAGAGAGATTCAAGATGTCTCATTGTCAATACATTAAATATATGACCGTGGAACAACTTGTAGCTGTGCTTAACTGGATGCCTCCTTTTTAAAAAAGATCCTGATCATGAATAAAAATTGGGAATTTATAATGCAACCTTCATTTTAATTTATTCATTTCAATACATTTTATAAAGAAACGTACAACCATACATGATGCTACAAAAAGTAGACCTATTGAGTTTTAGCTGGTTAAAAGTCACTGATTTATTAGAGAAATCGCAACTCTACACTGCTTAATGTATCGACTAGAAATGGATAGCAAATATAATATTAACATTTACATCTGTTGATAGACTTACACATTATGAAATATAGAACAGAGCAATTACCTTTCGAGATTGGAAGGCAGATGTCCGGTAAACAATACTTCTGGTATCATTGTCATATCATGAAAAGGAACAAACCAAATCAATATCGTCTTCTTTACATTTCCCGTTTCGTTTCTGGAGCAAGCTAATCTTCTTTTTATGGTTTTGTACATATGATTACGTGATTTTAACGCCGAATCCTCCAAGGAACGACGAAAAAACCAAGTCCATATTCCAATTGAAATAAATGTTGAAACAACTAGAAAGAGCAGCAAACGACGCAGTCGCTTTACTTTCCCGTATTCTGCCATGTACCATCTGTATATATAAGGAAATGTAAAATGTTTTCACAAAATTTGCTAAAATCTATTGTTCAGAGATTAGCTACCCCCTGGAGTTTACGGATTCAACCGAATTGCGATTCAAGTAATCTACGTCCAAATACATCGGCAAATGAAGATAAATCTATTTTGTTTCAGTTTTGAATTTTCTCGTTACTTTAACCACCGGTTATAGGCTATGGGATTCATGGTATCTTGTCTGACATCGTCAATATTTACTATGAGTAACTAAAACAAGAAGGTTATGCCCAAATATACACAAGGTAGCGGCAGTCTTAACTGAGCACGCAGTTTGCTGAAAAGATCGGCAGAACGTCACGACAGACTGCTATTTGGTGGCACAAAACATGCTAGGCTTGGGCTAAAATATATATCTATAAATGGTGAAAAATGGAAATAAAATATAAGCCTTTCAGAAACTTCTGCCTTGAAAAGCGATTTATTTTACAATAAAAACATCCACTCTAATTCCAACCTCAACCAGAACAACAATTTTGCCAAACGATCAATAATTTGCCGTCGAGTCCAATAACTCCCTAAATTTCAGTATGTGCACTATTTCCATATGCACAATACCGCCTATATATTTTGAAATGTACACTCACATTCTGAAACTATGGAAACTAGGTTGACATGTTCAAGATACTTGCTTATTTAAGTGAGGCGGATTTAACAATACAACATAAAATAACAATGCCTATACATTTTGCGCCATCTATAGAATTAATTTATGTGCCTATAAATCGCCAGTAACAATGCTGCTGACAGTTTATATCTGAACTGTTCCGTTGTTCGCAGGGCATGACCTTTCACCGATTGGTACTAATAGAAAATATAAGCTGTTCAATTTATGAGACTGAACTGAGATCAAATCAAATATACAGCCTTAGTTCGGCTTTTAAAACATATATACAAAGCGAACGACTTAAAATCATGTTGCGAACAAAGATTTGATTTGTCGGTTTCAATCTATGACAATGACAGACACAAAAAGTTCAACCGACTTGCAAATTTGAATGGTATGCGTGGAATACGTGTTGTATCATTCTTACGTAAAAACAAGTTAATTCTGCGAAAAGCTAAAGGGGAAATTAAGCCTGTTTCAGAATGGTAGCGGAGTTCTTCAATTCCATTAAAACCTTTACACTATCGCCGAAAACCCTAAACAAACGGGTGTTAAAATTTGACCTCTTTGTGACACTGCTATAGTGCCCTCGATAAGTACATGATCTAAGACCTTTGGCTTTTTTGTGAAGAATAAACTATACCCACTTGTCACAATTTGAATAAATTTAAATTTTATTGTGACTTTCTTTTCTGAATTAATTTCTATAAAGTTTTTGGGCAATGGGCAAATTTGCTACTCTGTACGTATAATTCGCTAGCACACGAACACTATAATACTCACAAGCACTTGGCTTTCATACAATGAATGCTCAGTATTATTACAAGATGCGCTGAATAATATGAGCTTACGATGACTTTTTCAAGAATAGACGCGATCAATAGATCTTGGTATGTTTCCGCTGTGACAGACATGCAAAGCAAAAGATATCCAGTAGCGCCATTTTTTTTAGGAAAAGGTTATAAACAAATTTGATAATTTCATTGGAGTTTTCTGTAATGTATTTTTATTCATATGTAAGTGATTTGAACATGGTCTTCGGTGGATATCATTAATGCGAGTTATATGAGAAATTATGATTGCGTATATATGATTGATAAGAAAATAAGTTCAATAAACAGGATTTCATCGTTCCCGAGAACTTATAAAACCATCGAAGGAGAGAAACCAAGCTGCATGCGCTATGGGAGCTTATATTAGGCCTAACATTTGATAATATGACAGCCAGCGACCTTTCCAATAGGCTAATCGATAATTTGTTCTAAGCGGAACATGGGGAATAATGTTGTAGACAAAAGCCCATTCAAGTAGCAAAATTTTACATATGAGTAATATTCAAATTCGCTAGAATGAAAATTCTCACTTGCGCTTAAAATGTATGTATACGGCACTTAAGATATACGAAGTACTATTCTAAAATGAATCGACTATCGCATACAATACTATAATGATAAATAACTGTATTAAATACAGTACTTTACAATAAAATATGTTTTTCAATATCAAAAGCACTAATGCTCACAGTCCAGGGTTGTCCAAAACGAATCGAATATTCGAATATATTCGAATATCAAGGTATTCGAATACCTTTTCGGCTGATTTTCGAATAATTCCGAATAGTAGCCACTTTTCGCCGTAAACGTGGTGTTTCGTTTTTTTTTTTTTTTACGGGAATCTTTAAACGACTTTTTAAATCGGCACTTTGATTGTTTATATTCTGTGCGACCGTACGTCGCATAGTGTTGCGACACATTTGCACGTTTGCGTGGGTGGACATTGCCGACATTCGTGTACGAGGCTTTTAATTTACAAATTCATTTCCATTACGTCGAAAAATTGAGAAAGTATGTTTCTTTTATTTCTATGTGGCCTGCTTTTTATTCGCATGAGTCTTCTCAAGCATGATTTGTGTAACCTTATATTTGGGTCTTAGGGTCTGCCAATCATGATATTTAATCGCAGGCTGGTTATCGTTACTTTAAAGAGGAACACGGCCACCAAGATAAAGTGATTTGTGACCCTTTCGTTTTGCCGATTCAGCAAAACACGACAGGGACAGGAAAACACAGCTGTGAAATAACCCGTGGACGTACAGTGTAGTACTTATCACATTCCAAAATTATTTCAACATTCGGGTTAATAGGTTGTCCAAAATGATTGCCGCTTTACAACTTAAATTTACCACTCAATTGTTAAAAATAGTTAATTCTGTGAGTATGATTCTACCAAACTAACATGATCTGGTTCTAAACATATAACATTATTAGCGAATTTTTCTACCCGTCTTATTGGAGGCCTATATGGAAAAACCCCTTTTTTGAGTGCTAAAAATAGACATCGTCCTATTTGCCATGTGGACTTATTAGCCGGGAAATACGGTATTTATAGCCGTAATTGTTACGATATCCAATAAATTGTCACAAGTTGGAAAAACAAGTCGATTTATTAGAAAATAATTTTTGGCAAATAATTCTTATAACGATAGTTAAAAGTATCGATCCTTTCCAGGATGATTTTTTATAGCGCAAAATAATCCAATCCATGACTGGTACCAGCATTTAAAATGTCATGCCGTATTAATTTAATTCTGTTCAACGTAACTCATGGTTGTATCGACAATCTGTGGACATAAAATGTGTAGTAAACTGACCGATATTATTAAATATTGATTCCTATTTTTATATTGATAAAATAATGAAAGTATTAATGCCAAATACAACGGGTATTTGTGGACATGAAATACGTGGTAAACTGCCCAATTATAATTAATTTCGGATTCGTGTTTACAAAATAATAAAACTAATAATTCTAAAATGCAACGGCGATCTGTGGCCTTCAAATGTGTGGTAAACTGCCCGATTTACCAACATTTGAGTTATGATAATAGAATTAAATTAACACGGTAAGGCATTTTAAGTAGTAGTATCGGTCATGGATTCGAATATTTTGCGCAGCACAAAATCATCCTAGTAAAAAGTCCATACTTTTAAATACAAACCAATGGCAACCATTACACAAATTAGTTCCCAAGAGTTGGATAAAATATAAATTCTTTTTCCGACTTGTGACAATTTTTCGTGAGTACGAAAATAAGAATCAAAACTAATTATATTCGGCACAATATCACGGCAATCTGTGGACATAAATTGTGTGGCAAACTCGCGATTAATATTAATTTTTGATTCCTATTTTCGTATTTACAAAATACAAGGCGATCTGTGGACTTACAATGTGTGGTAAACTACCCGATTATAAATAGTTTTTGATTCCTATTTTCATATTTATGAAATAATTAAAGTATTATTACTCAAACATACAACGGCGATCTGCGGACTTAAAATGTGTGGTAAAGTTCCCAAATATAATTAATTTTTGATTCGTATTTTTGTACTCACGAAAAAATTGTCACAAGTCGGAAAAATACCTCATACTTTATCCCGCTTTTCGACAAATGATTTGGATAATGGTTGGTATTTAAAAGTATGGGCGTTTTACTAGGGTGATTTTGTGTTGCGCAAATATTCAAATCCATCATCGATACCACTATTGTCGTATTAATTTAATTCTGTTAACATGACTCATGGTATATAAGATATATACTGCAATAATCTGCAAATATGAAATGCCTGGTAATATAGCTAGGTTGTAACTTGTAGATAGCAGTTATTGCATTGCTTATTGTATGGAAATTCCTACATACATTTAGATAAGCTTCAATTAGTGGATTTTATTTTCGAAGTATTCGAAATTTCATATTCGAAAAAAATAATTTCGAATGTATTCGAAATAGTGAACTATTCGGTATTGGCCATCCCTGGCTCACACTGAACGTCGTTGTATTTATGGTGTAGCAGTAGCACTGAATATTTGTTAGACTCGATGATTTCGAATTGTGAAAACCTAGTTAATTTAACTACAACAATTCTGATTCTAAATGCTTGGAATGAAAGTTTTTAAATGTAGTTGTGGCCAATATATTTACAACTGGTATGGTCCTCACTGATCTACGAACACGAATACTTGACATCCAGCAGGTCAACTACGTGCGGTATATACGGCAACACGTTCATTTTCTATATGTCAAAGGTTTAGCGAACTGTGAGTAAGCGAATCAATAATAAACCTAAGGTAGTCTAAGCAGACAATTCCCAGTGGATATACTAATAAATAACGATTGATTAAATTAACCAACATAGAGTTTTATTACGAAAATATGGCGCTGGCATATAAAAAATACCTATATTCACAACAAAAACAAGATACTGAAAATGGAATTTAGTCTGGCGGCGACATTTAAATTCACAGACACGTATCACAATCGGTCTTTATACATTATTTTATACTGAGCGCTATATCTAAACTGTTGAGCACAAACTTCACATTGTTTGGCGAAGTAACAATCGTACGTTTACTATTCTGTGCAGTGTGCACTAACAAACGCTTTGGAGACGCCAACGTTCTAATGAATATATAATAGATTAGACAGAAAAAGAATATTTATGTCAGGATATGAGTCAATGCTATACCGCCTTCCTTGCAGACCCACGTACACAATCACTTGTGAACGATCGAAAACCGTAATCTCAAAAACATAAGATAACATAACCCGAGTATATAGTATATCAGACATCTATGGACACAAATGTTTTGTAGGATGTAGCCGCTGATCTTACCACGCGGAATATACTTTGAATTTCCACGTTTAGTGTTACATATGTTGAGCATTATACCATTTTAATTCAATATTTATAACTGTGAATATTACTTCAAAGAAAGTTACACTTGCATGATTTTCACTGCAGACCTACCTGAATATAACTTATATCCTCGATTTTTATTCAGTTTCAATCGCTTTTCTTGGAACTAAGAACTTAGATCTTACATAAGACCTTCGCTGTAGACTTGATGACCACAAGTTTGATTTATTATAATCATTTCTTCTGGGACGAGATATAAAAGTTCGTTCGTGGAATTCTGCCACCGCGCTAGTAAATAATGCATGACTCCCGTTGAAGCATATTCATTAAAGTGCACATCGGATAAGGACGATTGAAAACTTGCGCCTGATCGAGTTTCTGGTATTTCATTAGTGCATTGTTGAATTTGCTTAATAAAAGTAAAGTCAATGTTACTACCATTTTAAAGTTATCCAATAAGCACATTTCATCTTTATATAACCTGACTTCTATATCTGATTCGTTCCGTAAGTTGCAGATAAAAATGTGACTCAACATTCTCTGAGACAAAGTGACATTCAAGTTTCACACGGCCTCTATACGAAAGCAGTTGCCGCTTGCGCTCTATTTCCGAATATCATCGCTGTTATGAGTAATAAATATAAGTAAACGATTGAAAATGGAGAAAGCTTTGAATACCCACAAATAGGCTGATAGATTCAAATTATATTTTCCCCATAAACTACTACAGTATCAAACAGTTTTCAATAAACAAAGACAATCAAGAAATAAAAATAGCATTGTGTATCTTTGCAATCAATGAATTTTAAATATCATAATTTTCAACGGCAACATTTTTAAATCATTCACACCATTAAGAATTGCATAATCAACAAGAGAAAAATTCGAGTACCGCTTTAGACTAGTTTATTTTTTAATTTCCCCACTTTCAATAGGTTTCGTTATATGATTTCCACATAAAAATTTCCTTCGACCTTCCGCCATCTCAATCGACTCTGTCTAAAAACTTGAACTGTCAGCGTCGGGGTTAGCGGGTTATACTGGTAATTTTCTATGAAAAACATAGTGGTTTTTGCTTCAAGTATATTCTAGAGTCAAGAATGAGGTGATAACGGAAGTTAAATGTGTGTTGTAAATTACTGAGAACCACCCACCTCATCTCTGCTCAATGGAAATCGACCTATTTAGTAAGCTGAAAGCAAAATCGACAGGGTACAAGATGAATTCCACGCCATCCGCCAGTACATTTGGAAGTGATGTAATTTTTTAGCACTGCATTGGTAGCCGAATACCTCCAGTTGCGGTCCTGATATATACACCGCATAGTTCGCAGAATGTATTGTGAAATTGATTCTTTTCCTGCAAGACCACCAGATCAAACATAAGCCAATACTTGCGTTAACGTATGAAACGTGATATTATTTGTTTACAATATTTGTATTTATCAAAATTCTATTTAAGCTTTCGTCGGCAGAATTATTTTTTGCTGGACTCGATTATATAATATCGTTGAAAATTCTAGCAACACCTTATTTCGCGCACATTATTCTCGAAAATGCTGAATAAATAAGATAAGGGATGAGAGTAAAAACCCTCCAGTCTAGGTTTCGAGTAAGATTGAAGCATGTACGTGTTGCAAGTTGATTTTAAATCTGGACCAACCAGAGAGAAGGGAAGAAAATGTCGTTTAGGAATAAACTTATATTCGAAAGAGCTAGAACTCACTGATGACCGAGTATACCGATGAAAAACTTATTGTGATAGACTAACTGATAAATTGTTGTACGAATTTTTAGACAATAACCAATTTTAAGTAAACATAAAACGTATAAATGAATACCTGATGAAATGTACAAATGTGATGACTATCGATTGTTTTCAAGAATGCACCACAAATGGAAATTTTTAAGAGAATCACTCACCGATGACAGTATATTAAGAAAAAATTCCACAAAGAAATCTATTCAAATTGAATATCAATCTCAGTCATTACTGCGATTAAGTGTAATATGTATAATTCTGAGAAGCAAATACATCTATGGTGGCAAGTTTTCACTTGTGATCGCTGATTAGAATCATATGGCGTCCCATACGATGAAAAATGTCCTGGAATCACGAACATTTACAGATACTAAACACTTCATTCACTCACAGTGCCTCATTAACAAGACTCTACGGTGTCAGTTTACTTAAGCCTAATAATAATTTGCCAATATAGTCCTTATATATATATATATATATATCAACAAACACGTGTGGCTGCATATTGTGGCGCCGTCCCACACAGGAATTCGCTTTATTCATTGATGCGTAACGTAAACAAAAGTGGTCCGCCAAGCGCTCCACTGGGGCGACCGCGCATTAGATTTCGAACTCAAAAAAGAGCGCAGGGTTTCGGTTGCACCCAGGAATATAGGTTTGGTGACGATTTATTGCCCGTCGTATAAGGCAAACAGCGAACGAGCCAAATTAATATGAGAATCGGCGTATTTATTGAATATCATCCTGACAATATTTGAAGCTAATTTTTATTTACAATGCAACATCGACCGTGCTTCAAGTACACTTGCTAAAAAGGAAAAGGATCATCAATCATCAACGTCTATTTTGGTTTTCACGTACACTACGAGCACAACCTTAAACTGCAATACACAGACATGAGGAAGATACTAACGTTAACCTTAACGAGGCCAAACCTTTTCTGCAGTATGACCTACCCTAACTCAAGACAATAGTTTGCCATAAAATTACCCACGTTCGAATCAATACACGAGAATTCACTTTTCTAATATTACTTACAAAACCGATTAATCGGCCAGTTAAATAAACATTACGAAATCTGAGTGCAAGCCATAACTTCTTCATACTAACTTGAAGGTATGAGTTCCGCTCATCGGCGTCGTTGTCCATTTTCGTTTGTACTGTGTCATCGAAATGATATTGGAAATGCATGCAATGTAGTTATATGAAGCAGTTTGAAATATATCAAGCCATCACGACAACTACCTATACAGAGACTACGGAACTAACTAAAACTATTCTAAACAATGTGCTGCCGATAACTTTCCAGCTCAGCAAACACGACGAATGACGTGAGCGTCGTCGAGGTGAATCGCTCCGAGTCAGTATTTATAAATATAGCATAGGCAATATGATAAAGGGTCAACTCATTGGTTGGAAATCCATTGTCTGGTGGAAAAATACACGGCGCCTATTTACTCTGCGCCATAACATTGTTTGTTTGTCGGTGAATCATGCTGATACTGTCGAATACCAGTAATATCTGTTAAAGAATATTATCGATTGATACCGTAACTTGGTTAGAATAGAACGTTGAATAAACAGTAAGTACGGCTATAAGTTTTCAAACGCGAGATCATAGATTTCATAGTTCTAACATCATTTTAATCTTATCGTATGTTCATTCTGTTGCAATATTGGCTAGTTAAAGCGCAAGTACAAAAATCAGGTGTCTCGGTACCATGAATGCCTTGATTTGGGCCCCGATCACCATTTGCCAAAAACACGGCCATCATAGCGTCACGGCGTTGTATCTAGAGCGCTGCGTCGCTTGATGGGTTTAATAGATATTCCGCGGAACGATGAAAGTTCCGATACTTTACCATGTCAAAACTGTTTTCGCACGTGGTGGGTACAAACTGGTTAAATTGTTTAGTAATCATCATTTTGATCCGAAATATGGACCTTAATCTGTATGAAAGTTTTGATAACTGATTTTACCCTAGTCTACTGCTCGTTTTCGAACTGCAACTAAACTAAAACTCATTGCAGGTTGAAATTCTGCATTAGATCATTATGTGAAGTAGGATTGCTGGAATCGTGCCCTACAATTTTTGTTGCAAGGTGCTTCACGTATTTCATGATCGATTTCGGCTTTCTCCGACTTCTGAGTTTGAGAATCTCCATGTCCTACCTGAACTTGCAATCGCGTGAGAAGCTGTGGTTCGCCAGATGTTGCGTCGTCTTATCCTAATAAATATACCTACGGAATCCAACCCATCATCAATCGATAGTTTATTCATATGGCACGCGGAATAACTCCAAAAGTATATGTTTTTATATTTATCAAATGTGTTGAGACTTTAAAATAATTTTATATGATTCAGTTATTCAAGACTACTCCAAGGCCCCAAGCTGCTCTGCTTCGTAGCTCACCGGAAAAATTTCCTCCAGAATGTTTTGTTTGACTTTCCGCCCTAGGAAATTAATAAAATGCTGTTAATTTAATAAATACAATTAAAGCCAAAATTATTAACTGGAGTTTACAGTTGAAAAGTGGAACTTTGGATAAATTCCACTCTAACTATTGTTCTCGAGGCATGGTGGGTAAGAATGTTCTGAATACTTGATATTGAATTATACTATTCTTTAATGTAGTGGATATGACAATTTTAGATTATAGTTATAATGATATATATTAGGACCTATTTTGTGCAGTTGTGACTACGTGCCCATCACATGCGATACAAGTAACCCCCATGAGATTTCAATATCGGAATATGAGACAGTTAGTACAGATATATCGATGGAGTGCGGGATTTACGTCTACCGGTTATTTATTGTGATCCGTGGTCACCTACCATAACTTATTGTATTTGCCAGAAGGATGGAGTGAACGACATATAAAATCAGAAACGGAAGAAATTGAAAAAAAACATGATGAAAGATTTCAAGGGATCCTGGAAATTTAATTTAAACTGACCAATGTCCACTTTTGCTAATCGATTTTTTTATTGGTGATGAAATATCTTATATGATTAAACAAACCATGGAATGCAATCTCATATATCGTTGAATACATTATCTTAATGTATTTTATATTGACACTCCTACTCAAAAAAATCCGATAAATGCACCCGATTTCGCCTTGAATTTTATACCATATTAAATCATAAATAGGAACCAGTGAATATATTGATTGTATTAAGATCAACGTAATCTACATAAATTTATAAGGTATCGAAAGGAAGTCCGCTATTCATTCTGGAGTTTTGTTCTATTTGTTTTCATGCAGAACCATATGTCGTAACACACAGGTACGGTACAGTACATAAACAAATAATGTACTGCACTCCTGCATTTCACGGAAATAATCGTAAGACTGCATATAAATCCACACATAGGCTATATTATATGTTGTACCTTGGTTCTTATTGATAACATCTGCTATAATTTACTAAGTTTATTTCAAAATAAATTGCGAATTGTATCTGCGCGATGATTTTACGAGTATTGTAGCTTTGTTCGAATAAATATGAAATAAGATAATATGTTGCACGTGTTAAATTCACACACACAACATAAACTGACGAGCATTTCCAATTTGCCATACTTGCATTTTCTTTAGTTTCCGGAAACATGACACAAACTTTCAAAACTACATTGAACGATTTATTATTATTCTCGTGTATTGCCTTGTGAAGGCCCTCCAAGTTCCAAATTGAACTCGCTCTCACAGGGGTTCCGGCTCGTAAAAATGATTAGCTTAAATTTGCCGTCTCTCGGACTTTAGTGACTGTACTCGAACTAGGTTACTTTACTTTTGACACAAGACCTACAAAGAAGACCTTTGCCATTGATTCGCTGATTGAAATCCGAAAACAACTGGACTCTTCGCAGTCTCTGGATCTTGAATTAGCAGTAGTTTGGTTACAGCTAAGCTCACATCTGATTGATCAATGAATTGGGATAAAATATGTGATTGGCGTTCGATAAAACCGATATATTCACTATAAACTTATTCCTCCAACCAATCTAACTCTATTGCGAAAGCAATGCAGTACTTTCAAGATTCAAGTAAAAGAAAATGTGTTTATATTTATATTGAGCACTTGTGACAGTTAAGTGACTATATTAGTTAACACATGTTAGGGCATCTATAGCAGTTGTTATTTCAACATATTGTGGTGAACATTCCGGTATTTACGATTCCCCAATTATTAAGAATTTATGTTCTTACCACCTCCATATAATAATGCATTTGCAAACAGGCTGAAAATGACGAAAAACAACATCACAAAGAAATACAACTTCGAGAACATGATATTCATCCTGAGCTGATCCAGAATTTGAAATAAAACTGTAGAATCTCTACTGGAATCGATAAATTCCTAATTTCTAAAATGAAACATATTGGAAAATAATGAGCTTTTCAACAACTTGAAATAAAAGTCTTGGTCACTTTTCCATAAAGTTATATACACGTTGACGCGAGTAGACCATATGAAATTGGAAAAACAACAATATTAGCAACAAAAAAAACTGCAACCACCATGTAATTACAGCGTACAAAATACCCATTTGAGGATGTGCTAACAAACACCAGTAATTAATAGTACTAATTGATAGTTGCTTATACGTAATACTACACGCACATATTAGATTTACAAGGTATACTGCTCCACCTCAGAGTGTATACGAGAAATGTACCGATACCACTTTTGTCGCCGATACCGATACCATCTAAAAACGCCGATACCGATACGCCGATACTACAAAAAGGCCGATATATATTACCGATGCTATTTAATTATTACTTAATCAGGTGTGCTGTGTAGGGCAGACGGGTTAAAACAATGGTCTTTGAGCGTTGTTCATAGTACACATTATTTCAGATCGAAAAAAAGATATATCACATAATATGAAATCAATGTTTGGTTATTGCTTTAACTGATTAAGATACATTGTACAGTAACGCTAGTAATCTCGGTGTTCAATTAGAAAACTCATAAGCCGGGGTGTCCAATTTGAATTTAATGTTAATATCGCGACCTTCGAATATCTTTATTCGTGTTTAAAAGAATATCGAATATCACCCACACATTCTAGCGCCGCCGTCCTACGTTCAAATTAAAAGCATTTTACAAATATTTTATTTCGTGGCTAAGCGTAACCGTCGCCGCAATAAGTCAAAGCCTATATGAAGGAATGTCAATCAGTACCGACGAAAAGAAGGCCTACCTATAACCGTCGAGGATGTTTTTTTACTTTACTATTGCTATCATATATTTTGAGACAGTCTTGGGCTAGGCGGTCATATCAATATATCTATAAAGAAATTGTGTAGTTAAACAAAATTAAAATTAATACCTGCGTAGAGGAATAATTGTGTCGCAATTTAGTCTATCGATGTCGATGGACTAAATGACACTCGTACTTCACGTCAAACAGTCAGAATTTATACCCGTGCCAGAAGTCCTTGTGCCGTTAATAAGGTCCCCAATTCCACTGTATGATTTAAAACTGGGCGCCTAGTTGCTTTTTGTTATGTGCTGTGTTGATATATTTCTTCATAATTACTATGTAATATTAATAATGTCAATATAAAAAGTTGACAGCAAAAATAGCCAAATTAGTTGAGCTAGTTTGGCTGATAAATACCTAAAAACACGTGAATCCTATTCTCTCGCGGGGGTGAGGACATGTATGGCTCATTGCTCACGATCTCTCTAGACGAAAAATAAATTGAAAAGAAGTATTCCAATTTATCTTTCAAAACATTCTTGATCATATCAAAAAGGTAAATATATCAGAAATACCGGCCTTAATCTAACCGATACCGATACATAGCCGATACCGAAAAAATGGCCGATATTGCCGATACCGATACATCTCTAGTGTATACGTCAACATTTTAGTTTGACTTTTTAAATTCTTTCCGAGAACAAGGTACAAAATTCGAAAATATAATATCTATCTCGCAGATGTTCGTTCAATTTTTTCGACCGGGGATTGAATCTTACAGACCTGTCTTTACCAAAACTGTGGGTATTGTGAAGATCGATAGATATTCAAAAGAGACGTAGGTAGTATAGACTAATAGAGCAAACATCGACTGTTTTGGTTGCAGAGATTACAAGAGACTTGCTTTTGGCTCTTCGAATGAGAACTTTTCCAGAGTAAATTTGTGAAAACTGTCGTATTGTTGAGATAAGTTATACACAGCTAGTACACTTCCTTTTCCAAACAACCGTCAAAACATCCACATATCAAGTTACTTATTGTTTCCTTTTTCGGAATAAGATATCAAATGCGGAAATAGCTTGGATAGCGTCTTATAAGGACGCTTCAACGGCTGGTGCGAAAGAAGCATTGCAAGACGATGACTGTAACATTGAAAAACGACTGAACTGGCTTCTTCTAGTTACAACCAGATAGCTGCTTCGTTATAACAAAACTAATAAGTATTGGTTGGGCAAAGTTGTCGGCACCCACGGGAACGTTACGAAGCTTTTCTAAAAGAAAAAAATGCTACAACAAACAGCATCTCTATCCTAAATATCACAATATTCATTGGCATAAAAAGCATTAGAGCAAACACACCTAATTTAGCAATAAGTAAACTGTAGTTTGTATTCTCCCGGGTAATTTTGCTTATAGGCCTACAATAAACCTATTTTCAGATGTGCTACATCAAATATAGCGATAAACTACGAATTAATTTATTTTGGTATTAGCCTATTGTATTTCTGATGGACTAAAAAAAAATTGAAAATAATCTGGCACGTACAGATTGCTTCATTTCCTTTGTGTATTCTCATCATATCATTCTAATTTTTCATCTTTGTTGTTTCTTTAGTTTTCGGAGACATGGTACAACTTGTCAGAACGGTGGCTAATTGAATGATTTATTGCTCTGTTGTTTCATAGCGCCTACTATATTGACTCTTAAAAATTCACAAGAAGATGTTCAGGTTGAACACCGAAACGAAGTTACATTCTCGCCTGACACGAATAGTATTATTTCTCCGGCAAAGACCGGCTTTACTCATTCCGAGACTTCCTCTCTAGTCAGGCATAAATGTGACTTCTTCGAGGACTAGCATACACGATACAACTGTCACAATCGCTATATCCTCAATTTCTTTAAGAAAATATCTACAATAGCAATAAAAAACGGCGTATGGAGCTTAGAATTTCGGTTGGGAAAAATCAAAATCTCTGCTGCGTTGTAACGTTAGCTGCATTTCACCCTTGATACAAACAATGAATTTGGGCAATTAGTCTACAACTACGAGTCTCATATTTTTTGCTCTATCTTATTTTCTGCATAATCAGTCTGAACGTAAATATACTACTACGGGTCTGAAGCCTGGTCAAAGTATCTATCTAATCTTACAAGTGGAGGCACAAAGTTCAAACGTGTAGACCAGGAAGGTCTCACTCAGCGTAAAAGTCGGGCAGAGCCACGCGCATATATAAAATCCCGCCATCCGCTCTGTGACCACACGGAACATCGTTGATCAATTCACAACTGCACTGCAGAAGCGGCCTATTTCGGCCCTATCGTCCAGAGAGAGACGACTGTCATGTCAGTCAACAAATTTCGTTGCCGTGCCCACAGATATATTTATATATATATAACATAAAATCAAACAAACTTGGCAACAGTTGTTTTAATATATTTGCATTGAGCATTTGTGATATTATAAATGATTCTGGTAGCCAAAGTGGAGGTTATGTCATTAATTGTTTCAAGGTTATAGTGGTCGTGCCAGGTATTGTGGGAAATAGCATTCGGACCGGCATATTCAGGCTCTCGTTTATGTTCATATATATATATATATATATATATATAAGTCTACGTTCTTACCTTTATATAATAATGCATTTGCAAACAGGCTGAAGATGGTGACAAACAACATCATAAGCATAGCCAACTTTGAGAACATGATATTTGTCGTTGGGAGGATGAAAAATGTTTGCTGGAGGTAATTCATTTTTACTCACTGATACTTAGAGTCACTTAATTAAAGTTATCGTAAAAAAAAACTATTTTCTGTATTATTAAAATCTTGGTAATTTTTGTTAAATGGAAAAGCTCCCGAAGTTATTCCAGTCATAAAAGTTAACAGAGATTTTTCCTAGCTATCCCAATTCCTAACAGACTCTAAACTTTTATGTATCGCAAGATTGACACCGGGTCTAGGAACACCACCTTGTCTGAAGCGTACAAGAAAGCACACACATTTATATTTCATAAACACGACAGTGCACACCTAGCTCAATAGTTTGTATATATGAGTAACTTTTAGGAAATTCTCCTTATTACGTATAGATGACCAAAAGCAGACTATTTCATTTTTTGCAAACACAGCACAAACTTATACAACAAATACAAAAGTGTTCTACCGCTACATATCTGGTAACTCAATAGGCAACTCATTATAAAATAAAAAAGCGTCTTTTTAAGCGTCAGTCGCGTTAAATACGCTTCAACGGATGGCGCGAAAACATTATCGTGTGTAGATGGGCCACGTGTAGCCGTTATTTTGAGGCAGAATTAAGCAAAACGAGTAGGGTGGTCATAGTGATGACATGGGCACCTCAGAAAGCGCAAATGAGGTTTTGTTTTATATTTTTTTACGTTTTCAATATTTTTTTGTCAATACGATTTTGTTGAAAAATGCTGGAACATTACTATTACATGCGCTCGCATACATTTGTCCCTCACAGAACACGGGATATTATATGCTGTAACAAACAGTTCCAAAATCATACGTCGGGTGCGAAAGTACTTATCTAAGTTATACGTAAGTGGGCAACTTAGATATTATTTGAATTAATAATTCGAACATTCAGAATAGATTAACTTATCTGGAATTAACTTTTCGGTGCTGTTATATTTTTGTATGCATGGGTACATTTTTATATACCACCTCACGGGCCACATAAAAAGCTTTCGCGGGCCGCATGCGGGCAGTGGGCTACGTCATGCAGGCTGGAGTTAGACAGCAGTATGGTGAGGACAACTGGAAGACAGCTTCTTAGCAAAATGTCACCTGCGGCAGCGTATTGGACCGAGGAAAACAAATGGGGTTGATTTGAAAGGTGCTGGTAAGGTCTAATTGACTATCTCGGTAACGTTGAGATGAAAGTATACCTTTAATGACGGGTTTATGACCAATGGCTTTCTCAATAAATTATCGATGTGTGTAAACATTTCCTAAATGCTTACATACAACTAACTGTTCTACCTCTCCTTTTGAAAACAACATGAATCTTACTAGTATAATTGTACAAAGAGAGGTGAGTACCACATGATTCGATTACGGTGGGATAGGTTTGTTATTCCAGGATAATTTTCTTGGTTTCATTTTTATTACCGTCAGTGTTCATTTGGAAATGAATTGCCACAAATACTATACGAATAATTGTAATGGCTTACACTAAATACAGCGTACTTTAAAGATATTAACGAAATATAATGTGTTAAATTGCTTGATATAGTTTGTTAAATATTGCTCTTCAACCACGTTTTTTTAAACTTATTGATGATAGACTTTTAATGTGACTTCAAATATGTTTATTGAAGAAAAACTGAAGACATATACATGTACGTAAATAAATTACATAAAACCAAAATATTCAAACATTAAGTTTGAATTAAACCATGTTTAAAATTGGCAAACCCCTTTCACTTAATTGGTTATAGTTCTGAACAATAAGTTATTACATTTAATTAAACAAATTTAATCACTAAAATTTTACTGGCATCAGTTTTCCGTTGTTAATATATTTTTTCGAAGTTTGTGCAGCCACCAAAATATAATTTTACTTGACTCCATCCACCTCCAATATCTGCTAGTTGGTTGTGGATACGAAGAATGTCCACTGGGGTTGGATGATTGTGTCTCATTGACGCCCAAACATATTTATCACCTGTACATTGATTCAAACAATCCAAATAAGAGATAAATTAGAAGTGTTTCTACAATTTGAATTGTTTGATAATTCCCACTTATGATTCGAGGCACACAACATTTTTACGGATTCAACATAATATTATCAAAAGTCAAATAACAAGGATGTTTTGATCATTCTTCATGCGGTAATAATATTCTCATGTTTTTAAAAGAATGAAATTTTTAATTTTGAAAAAGAATTGCTATGAATATTGAAAATGTCTTTTTGAGTTACATCTCCATCTTGTATAACTGGAGCGATATATGGTTAAAATGAATCATTCATTGTTTACCTGATAATGATTCTAAATGTGACATGGTTTTAACGCTATATTTTAAATTGAGCCTATCAACAAAATTGTTTATAATTATCAAATCTTAACTAGTTAAGTATACGAAATCAATACTTACCTGCAGATGAGCATTGCATGTGCAGAATATAGTTTTCATAATCAGTCACTTCACTCATAGGCAAGGAATAAAACTCGTGAACTTCTGAACATGAAATGGCAAATTAATAAATAAACTCATGTTGCAAAAGTACACCTTATCTTTTCGGAAAAGAAATGGAAAAATAAATGTTTAACTTGATATGTTACCTTTTAAAGCCTCCTCATTTGCTCCGTGGCTCTTTGCCTCGTCTATAAAGTAATGTTCTGTAGAAAAAAATCACAAATATATTAAAATAGAAAATATTACGCTTACTAGTTTTAAAAGATTCATTTTAAATACCATATTTCTCGTCAGACATTGTGATGGACGTATCTCCGTAAAACCAAGCATGCCCGGGTATAGGATCAGAAAACACTTTGCCACTGAAATTAAACATTTCATATAAAACATCGTAGAGGCTTGTTACAATAATAAATGTGTTATTATGCTTATTTTTGGTATGTGTCAACACATAGCACATATACTGAACATATTCTTAGTAGTCGTACAGTGTTTTTTGTCTGTTCCGTGGAACAACATTGTTTTTTCGTGTTTTTTTCAAATGGCGATTCTTCGAAATAAGCTGTAACATGGCTCTCCAGTGATACACAAGTTGTCAATATTTAACCAATGTAAATTGATTCGTTGAAATTAACGATCTGTGAGCGCACTGAAAATAATTTTCTAGAAATAATTCAGTCTCACTTTTCAACAGCGAGTACAATTTCTCCTGAAAGATATTCACCATCATTTGATATTCTTTTCATGTCTTTCGTTACGTAACAGGGTACTTGTTGTTCAACTGGATCTTTGGAGTTGAGTACTTGATACCAAATACCGGGAACCTAAATTTAAACACGGATAGATGTCGCAGATTTTTATTCGTATTTAAATTCCAAACCTTCCTATGTAATAAGAATATGTAAAGAAAAATGTTATCTCACTTTGCTCACGTCTATTTTTTCAAAAACTGGTAAGGTGCATTCTTTATTGGATGTTGCTTTGCTAACTGCCAAGACACCAAGGTAAGTTAAAACAGCAAGTCTTGAAATCATTTTGTTTCTTGTTTTCGCTTCTTGACACAGCTATGGTGAAATTGGACTGAACGTAGGATATATATAAACACATTTCGTGTTATGGTATAAGATGTTGGCTTGGTTCACGTAACGTAATGGGTATTGATTAATATGTGAAGGTGAAGCCTTCTTGAGATGTTTTCAGATCGGCATTACATTTATATATACATAGATGTCAAATTTTATTTATTTTCTCTTAAATATTGTGATTCTCAGCTTCATTCTAAGAACTCGAATCTAAAATAAAATATTCACTAATGTCATTTTTACTAAGACTCAAGAAGGAAAGCTTTGGCATTTAGTACATTTCATAGATTTGCCATCGTAAATCAGCCTTTTGCAATCCTAGGTAGTTTAGAACTTTTGATTACTTTTGCCTTGGATCGTTGTGCATGTCTTTCGCGGGATTGTCAAGGAGGTAATAAGCTAATTATTATATCAAAATTCGCGTTGAAAATGCTTCTTACGCACTAGTTGGTATTGCAAAATCAACTGCACGCCTTCAATCAATCCAGATTACAGGGGAAATTTGAACTTTGTCCTACCTCATAATTCTTCGTCTTCTCGCAGTATGTTTACATGATGCAGCATACTATGTACAGTCGCGAACACGTTAGATTGAATATTTGGTTTAATCATATGCTCATTTAAATTCATTGCAATAGTTATACAATGCATGACATATATATACATATGATTCAGAAATTTGCATAGGCATATACAAAATTCGCCTTAATTATGGACAAAAAGACCCAAGCTTGAACCTTGCGGAATACCACATGATATTACTGGTAATTGGGAAGTCGAGTACTAATTCTTTGGCGCAAGTAGCTCATCAACACTACAAATGCCAAACATCCATTTAAAGTACGTTACTACTTACAAAATGCTCGCTACAATGACACATTTAGATTAGTAGAATATGCGTCAGAATCTAAATAAATTCCTGGTAATCCTATACAATTATTGCATATTATTATCAAGATACACACACAAAAGTCATCTTTGCCAATTTTCTCAGTGGGTCATTATTTTAATTTATTTTTTCTGTTAGATTAGTTTTCGCTAGAATGTCACAAGCATTCGTAACAGCGACAAAATGAATGGTTCATAGTTGTGTTTGTGTTATTTGTCTTTGTGTTGGTATACAATCATAACACGGGTAGTTGGCTAAATATATAACGTTGGGATCAATTAATGCCACGTTCAAAATAAAGTAATTAGGGTTACAGTGTATTACCATTATGCAATTACGCGCGATTGAACAGCATTTCGTCACCAAAAGCAAACGAAAAGCAAGCTCTAGCACAGTGCATATCAACCATTTTAGAAATGATAAACTTTTTCAACAACCACTCAAAATCTGGTACACCCCACTCATTCTTCGTTTTTAATCGTTCAAAAAAATCATTGTTTAAAATATAGACGTAAAAGGCGAGATAGTAACCTTGTCTCTTGTGCCCCTAACATTCGTGTAACCGCATCATTGGAGTGGAAAACCATTGAGGTTTTCGTGTAAGACTTGGGTACTCAGGAATTTTTAATAGTGCCTGATGTATTGACATCTGCCTTGGAACCGAATCTGCTCTTAATTCAAGAAGTTTACCAAAATCACGCGTTTTGCTAGGAAAAATCCAGACTTAACTGCATTTCCTCGAATTAATCTGACCAAACAATCTTAAGTTTCATATATATATACGATAGGAATTGTGACGCTTGAGTTTTTTCGGAAGACTGAAAAGTCGATGATATCGAGGCTTCTCGGCCTACAAACTCCTGCAAATTCTTCCTATCTCACAAAAAGGTTATCTGTCAACATATGAACATTTTGTTCCAACAGTAATGGATCATTTCTTTTTCTCTCGGAAAATTGAGCGTCCAGAAGGAAAAACATATTGTCACGCAAACATCGGCGAGAAGTTGTGGAATATAATTATAGGAAATCCGCAACCCAAATTTTCGACTGCCCATGAAGGAAAACTAAGATTGAAAAATGTTTCAAATTTCCCGTCTCTTGTGCCGACTGCGCGACTTGTCTTTCCTCGTAAATGTAAAGTGACAAAGAAACGAATGCGAGATTTGGGTTATCGTGACGAAGCCGGAAAATGTTTAGGAGCTTCGTGACAGATAAAATATGTTATATTGACACTGTTTTGCGTGTAAAATGATAGAATGCTCACTGAAAACGATCAACAATATTTCGTGTGCAATGTAGCAATGTACTTTTTAATTCAATGTCGGTTTCAAACGAGCCAGCTTCGCATGTATACTTCCCAAAATCATGAAATGTACAAAATGCAAAAGCTTTTCTGCTTGAGTTGTTACTGGTAAGTTGTCTGTCAGCGCTAGAACCCATGATAAAGTCTTTAGTAAATGTATGCATATTTTCAACTTTTACATTTGAATTGAATAAATCAGGCAATACGCTATCACAGGATATAAACAAAGAGCCGCTTGAAAACGCTCGTAAGTATGACAGTTGACAGCTTCAAAAACATCAATATCTACTGACTTTGTCTAAACCAATCGACTAGAAAAAAATAAGAGAGAATAAAACGGCAGCAGTATGTAAACTAAATATTCAATCGAACGTGTTCTCGACTATACATTGTATGCTGCATCATGTAAACATAATGCGGGAAGACGAAGAATTGAAGGACATGAGAAGTATCAAACGTACGATAGATGCCGAACTTATTAAAGGCAAGCCATTGGTCTTACAATACCAACTAATGTATATAAGAAGCATTTTCAACGCGACGTTTAATATAATAATTAGCCCATGTACTTTTGACAATCGCGTGAAAGACATGCACAACAAACGATTCAAAGTCCCAGTACTCTAAAATACACCTACTCAATATGATTCATCATCAAGGATTGTCATTTTTGTCGCATTTTTGAGATTTTGTGAGAGAATAATTTATGAAAAAATAAATAAAATTTGACACATATAAATTTCATGCGCTCTGAAAAAATCTCAATAAGGCTTCTCCTCCACACAAATAATCAATACCCCTCATTACATTACGTAAATCAAGCCAACATGCCATACACATAAAATGTGTTTATATATAACCTACGTTGAGTCTAATTTTATCGTAGCTGTTTCAAGAGACGAAGACAAGAAACAAGATGAATTCGAGACTTGCTGTTTTAGCTTACCTTGGTGTTTTGGTAGTTAGCAAAGCAACATCCAATAAAGAATGCACCTTACCAGTTTTTGAAAAAATGGACGTTAGCAAAGTACGGTAACATCTTTCCTTAAATATTTTATTAACAGAGCTAGGATTGGAATTTAAAAATACGAATTAAAATCTGCGACATCTAACCGTGTCTTAATTTAGGTTCCAGGTATTTGGTATCAAGTACTCAACTCCAAAGATCCAGTTGAACAGCAAGTACCCTGTTTTGTAATGAAAGACACGAAAAGAATATCAAATGGTGAATATATTTCAGGAGAAATTGTACTCGCTGTTGAAAAGTAAGGCTGAATTATTTTTATGCGTTCAGAGATCGTTAATTTCAACGCATCAATAATTTACATTGGTTAAATATTGACAGCTTCTGTATCACTAGAGAGTTGATGAAAATTACAAGCCATGCTACAGCTTATTTCGAAAAATCACTATTTGAAAAAATCAAGGAAAAACAAATGTTGTTCCATTGAACACTGTACCACTACTAAGAAAATGACACATTTATTATGCGCTGTAAAATGCCTCTACGAGTCTACGATGTCTTATAAATAATGTTCAATTTCAGTGGCAAAGTGATTTCTGATCCTATACCTGGGCATGTTTGGTTTCAAGGAGATACTTCTATCGTAACATCCGACGAGAAATATGGTATTTAAAATGAATCTTTTAAGTATTGAGCGTTATATTTTCTATTGTGATATATTGAGGATTTTTTTCTACAGAACATTACTTTATAGACGAGGCAAAAAGTCACGGTGCAAATGAGGAGGCTTTAAAGGGTAACATATCAAGTTATACATATACTTCTTCACATTCTTACAAGAGCTATCAAAATTTCGACCTCAAGAATATTGTTTTACCACTGTCCAACTAATTTCGGAAAAATTGTTTTGTTTTATCCAAGTACTTTTGCGAGACTGTATTCAACTAATGAATCTTAAAATCGGTTTTCAATTTTGATGGTATCGTTTCTGTTCTGTATATATATGATGTATTTTTGCAACATGGCTTTTCTTGATAATTTTCCTTTCCATGTTCAGAAGTTCACGAGTTCCACACCTTGCCTATGAGTGAAGTGACTGATTATGAAAACTATATCCTTTTCATGCAATGCTCATCTGGAGGTAAATATTGTCTTTGTTGGTAAATAAATAAGATTTGACGCAGTTATAAACAATTTTGTTGATATGCTCAATTTAATATACAACGTTAAAACTATGTCATATTTAGAATCATTATCACGTAAACATAGAATGATTTCTTTTAACCCTATTCCGCTCAAATTATACAAGATGTAACTCAAAAAGACATTTTCAATATTCATGGCCCTTTTTTTTTCTCAAATGTAAAAATTTCATTTGTTGTAAAATCTGAGAATTTTAATACTGCATAAAGAATGACCAAAACATACTAGTTATTTGACTTTCAATAATATCATGTTGAATCGGGAGAAATGTTAGTAAGTGTGCCTAATGTGCAATTTTCGAAACAGATTCTGATTTATCTCTCATTAAATGATTAAATTGTGTAAATCCATATGTAAATACATTTGCAGGTGATAAATATGTTTGGGCGTCAATGAGACACAATCATCCAAGCCCAGAGGACATTCTTCGTATTCACAACAAACTAGCAGAGATTGGAGGTGGATGGAGTCAAGTAAAATTATATTTTGGTGGCTGCACAAACTTCGAAAAAATATATTAACAACCGAAAACTGATGCCAATAAAATTTTAGTGAATAAATTTGTTCAATTAAATGTAATAATTTATTACTCAGAACTATAACCAACTAAGGGGAAAGTGCTTTGTCATTTTTAAACATGGTTTAATTCAAACTTATTGTTCAAATATTTCAATTTTATTCAATTTATTTACGTGCATGTATAGGTCTTCCGTTTTCTTCAATAAACATATTCAGAGTCACATTGAAAAATCTATAATTAATAGGTGGAAAAACCTCTGTTAAAGAGCAAAATTTAATGCATTATATCAAGCAATTAAACACTTTGTATCTCATTCATTAACGTCAGCTCAGCTCAGCTCATTCAGTGCATGCGATCACAAATTTCGTATATTATTTGTGACAATTCATTTCCAAATGAACACTGACGGTAATAACTACCGAAACCCAAGAAAATTATCCTGGAATAACCAGTCCTATTCTACCGTAACGTGATCACGTGGTGCTCGCCGCATTTTGTACTAATAACGGTTGGTGTCACGTAGTTTTCAAAAGAAGAGATAGACCAGTTAGATGTGTATAAGCACAAATCTAAAAAAGCTCAATAATTTTCTGCTCTAAAAGGCAAAGATGCGGTTACACGAATGTTGGGGGACAATGTTATTACCTCGATTTTTAAAAATGTCTGGTGAAACACAAGAACAACGTGTATATCTTTAAAACATTGATTTTTTCGGCCGATTAAATATGAAGGAAGAGTGGGGTGTACAAGATTTGAGTGGATGTTAAATTTCCATTACCATTTTCAAAAATGGTTGATGAGCACTGTGCTAGAAAGATCATTTTCTAAATGCCTATGTCCGTGGCGCCCTTTAAAATATTAAAACTTGATATCAATAGCTTTTATTTATCATTATTGTAATATGTTTGATGAAATGTTATAACGAATAGCCATCTATAAATATCTATCAATAGCTTTTATTTATCATTATTGTAACATGTTTGATGAAATATTATAACGAATAGCCATCTATAAATTAATAAATTTGTCTGCTTCTTGGCTTGCTTAAAAAATTTTCTTCCAAATCTTCTTGCTCGATCTCACCATTACGTCCTTAAAAAATAAAATTTTCTGACTTAAAAAGTACAAAATAAATGAAGCATCGCAACATAGGCTAAATATTTTCCAAAATGCAATATCGAGATGTTTCGAAATCGGGTGACACTGAATTGTTCCAACACTTTATTTTATATTTTAAATTATAGATAATACATTAAGACGAGTTCGTTATTCGTGACTACTCACTCAGTCCAATTAAGTATGCATTCGCAAGCAGGCTCAAATTGATCACAATAATCATAGTCGAAAGCAGTAACTTTGAAAACATTTTTGCAGGTGTTTTGTCAAAATATCTGAAGAATTTAATGTATTTGTACGATAACTTGTTGTGTGTAGAGCACAGACACCTGAAAAATTTTACATGTTTGTTGACAAAAAAAAAGAAGATCGATGTTGAAATATTGTTACGAGAACTAAAGACTTCATACATCAGAGTCATTTCAATCAATATATTATCGCAATGTTTACAAAGTGTTACAGTGCATGACGGGAAAGCCTGACTATATCGCAGTCGGAGATGGACATTACATTGCAAAGAAAAATTGTTGGTCTCTATTTTATTAACCAAACATATTTTTTTGGTGAATTTTGTGGGCAGAAAAATATCATCCATCCACAAAAAGTTTCAAGTAGTGAAAAAATTTATACATGGTTTAATATGAAATCTTCACATCGCGATATCTTAATAATCTTGCCTAATTTTTTCAAATTGATTGCCACTTGATCAGTTCAATCATATTTGGTAACCTCAGCAACTATAAAATTTTCATAACGTAAATCATTTTTTTAGATCATTGCCCATCGTCTTTTGGGATTTGTCAAATACGACTCGAGTTAATCGGCAGTGACCTTGTACTGAAAATCTACTTATGTCCTTCATCACGTATCTTGCGAATCGGTAGATTTTCTACGTGTTAGTCTTTTTGAATCATTCGCGGTTGTTTTGTATATATTTTTTTTACTACTACTATATATTATGAGTTTGCTTTAGGGGTATCTCCTTAATACTCCCTGTTCTTATTAAACATAACTTTGACGAGTGGTTTTGCGTTGTTCTGGCAATAATGAGTATGGAAATATTTCGACAAGTCTCCGTCAACAAATGCAACAATAAGAATCGCGATACTTATCATAATTTGTCTTACTGCCTTATGAAAACTATAGCTTCACCCCTCTTACAAAAAAAGCGTAGAAACTGAAACCAAAATACTTGATTTGTATCTGTGTTTCTGTTTTTATTTGAATTGTTGATTTTTTCTTTGCTCGTCCCTTGTCACGAATAATTAGTCTTGTTTGCTCTTCACGTTCACATGTGACTTTGACAAAGTCGAATATGGCGTTCTTTCGTTTTTTTCTTTGATCAATCATTCATAAAGATTTGTTCTTTTGTTGTATTGGCAGTTGGCACGCGCAACTGATATTGATTTGCAAAACTTAAGTTTCTCATGCGCTGTCTGAATTCTATACCGATGTCTGAAGGCAGTGGATTTTTCAACTTTTCTCTCTCTCTCTCTCAATATTATATATATATATATTACCTATGAAATAGATGTTTTGATAAATTTTATTATTCCCACCAAAGAAATTAGATTTCCTATACTTTATTTTATTCATATTTCAGAATTTACAGACAAAGTGAAAGGTATTTATTTATTCTCTCTCCAGTTTTCACTATCACTCGGCGTATGTGTGGAGTGTATCTGCATTGCACCGCTTGTGCCTTTAACGCGCTAATATTTTTTAGCTACGTATTTGGCTATTATAAGTGCTGCATACCGAACGTACAGTATTTGAACTCCTTGTATTTTAATCCCTTGAATCATGCTCAAAAATTCAAGTACTGTTCTGGAGGATTTTTTATTGACCACCCCCCCCCCCCCCCCAAATATATAAATAAATACTCGCCTGCAAGCCGATAGGCATACTCGGTATATTTCGGGTAATCCAAGGTTGTCGGCCTCGGGGACCACATTATTACTTTTTGTACTTTTGCGGGCCACAATAGTGCCAGGAGTAGGTAATAAAGGCCATAAGGAGAAAATGCCGGTTGGGATTGTCATCGACACAACTTGCTGACATATCAACCATGCATTGTGGTATATTATCTCCTACATCCAGTCAAAATATGTTTACATATGTTTGGGCTGCTTTCTTTTCAACTCATGTTTACACGATAAATTACAAATAACTACAATCAGCGTTGCTTCAGATAATCATAACACTAGTCAATTAAGTGACATTAGTGATGTAACAACATGTCAGAAAGTTTTCTGGGTATTTTTATGACGAAACAACACGACCCTGTTTACCCTCCCTCAAATGCGACGCGAACCACAGATCATGAAGCTTGGGTTTGGTCCACCCTGGTATAGGCAATGCCGAACATAAAAGATTCCAACCTTAACAAAAGTAGCACCTCCTTACGTATCAGTGGAAGCTCGTAAAATATGTCTTGTAAAATTGAAAGATAGCATACTGATGTCAGTGTTATTGTAGATATTAATATCGGATGACTTGGCTTGATTACCCAACTGTCTGATAATTTATTGCAATGTGCTATACGTTGGCAAAATAGGCGCAAGAGTAATCGGTTGTCAAAACAAAATATTGCAGTCGATTACAGACATCATTTTGCGAATTAGAGATAAATGGTTTTATAAATCAAATCACATTTCAAGTTTGTGCCATCATCTCACGAAACTGTGAATGACTGATTTAACTTGGACGTTTTGAGGTGATATTTTGCCAGAGTATAATCTGTAACGGTTCAGCAACAGTACATTTTTATTCATATATTTTTGCACTGCGCTCTTCTTGCGTTCATCAAACGCTTGTCCAATCGACTTTCCCCCCTTTCCTATTGTTTGTACTCGACTGTGGCGGACTTGTATTATAAATTTCTAGTGCAGGGTTTTATTTGAGTCATTTTGTAATCTGGATGAAAAATAATAAATAAATTGTGCAGAGCATACATAAACTAGTAACAGCAAGTCGACTCTCACACTTGGTACAGGAAATTACCTGAAACAACATATGATGGTCTTGAAATGCAAGCCATTACCATTAGCGCATTTAAAATGAGGCTACAAAACATAAATGAACTTTAACAAAAATGTATGATCAACATACACTTCTAATATAATATCAGGCAGAAAGTATATAAAATTCTGTTTGTTCATGTATTTTTCGGCAATGAATACACTGATGGAAATTTAAGATTGATTAATTTCGTCACGTGATGTTCCTTAAATGATTATTTTTTTGAATACTTGACCCATCATTTCAAGATAATTAATTTGAGCGATTATGTTCAGTCTGTCAAAAGATAAATTAGGCTTATAGAAAACAAAGTTTTATCCCATACTTTAGCATGGTTTTTGATGATTATATTTAGAAAGTACAGAATGTGATACAGATAAAATTTAAAGGCGGTTAGTGCAAGGAAGTACCTTCACTGTAAGCTTGACCTTTGGAAAACATCGGACATATATAATTTACTTGAAAGATCGTAATGGCAATTTTTTCTAATTTATGCCAAATTTATTAAAAAACAGAAAATACTTTTAACAAAACACTTTGATGAAGAGTGTCGTCTGATTCAACAACCCAATTTTACACCATGCCAAACACCATGCCATATACTGCTGGTGCTACAAACTGAAAAATTGTGTTGATTCAATGGTTCTCAACCACGGCGCAAACTTCAGTTATCAATCCACGAATTTATATAATTGAGGGTTAAAATTAAATCTAATTTGATACTTATCCATAATCCGACCACGCAAATAAAACAAAATGTGATTAAAATACTCCCTGCTATTCTGTTAATTTATGAAAAAAATACCATATCAAAATTGTAAAATGCAAGATAGAAGTCTTAATATTATGAAAACCTATCGTAGAATCCAATATGAAAAAATTGTTTCTAATTTAAAATATCTCATACAATAGCTGAAAATTTGAATTTAGAAAAAAAAGAGAAAAAATCCAAGAAGATTGTTGATTCCAACGTTTTTCATAACTTTGAGGAATGTTTTCGCATTCAATAAAGTATAGTAATTATTTCTTGCGCTGTATTGAGGGAAATTCTAAAGAAAGTTTATGGATTGGCATTTGATATTTTCTCGGGTCTATATTGCTTAACTTATTTTTCCAACAATGTTCATAAACATGAAAATAAATTAAAATTACAACTACATTTCACTAATGTGAAGTGAATGAAATAATAATAAACACAAAATATCATAAGGAGATTAACGGCAGATCTGTCTAACCTCGAAAACAACGTCTTTATATATAATAAAAATGCTCCTGATACAGCTACATTTTAATGACAGAATAAATCAGGATGAATCATCTAAATTTGTTCGTTTGGCCTCAACATCTTCGAGGATCACTTCACTTGGAACGGGTAGAACGCGTCAATAAAATTTCGATCTTTTTGCCGTTTTGATATTTAATCCGCGAGTATGGACTTCACTTGTACAAATCAATGATACGCCGTTGCATGAAGTATTACTGTCATAATTGGGCTGGTGGTGCGATGATCATACTAAATCTAATAGGACGAATATAAGAAAAATAACCAAATGGGATGATTGGCTCCCAATTGGCGTTAGAAGTTCGAACTTTTCCCATCGACAAAATGCTTGGTCTCTGAGTCTCTTATTTCACAATATTATAATAGATTGCGTTCTTCGGAACTAGTTCCATGTTTTCAGATGTGCTCTGTTAGCTGTTAGTGTTAATCGGTTTACCCACCGCGTACAACATTCTAGCAAACTTTCCTAAAAAATAGGAATATATATTAAATATATTCCTATTATAAGGCTTTTTCCAACAAGGCGAACAAGTTTGGGATTCAGATATGCCCGAACATGTGCCATGCTGCTAAGTGTGTGTTGTCATGTTATAACGTTTCTTAATTCTAGCTTAATTTTTAAATGTAGATTGCTAAAAGTCTTTTTAATTCAATTTCAATGCTATTGTTTGTATTTTCAAAATTTGAACGAAAAGAAATATCGCACGAACAAAAGATCATCGAAAAGAGATGAGAGCAAATTCTTGTACACAATCATTCAGTGCGATACGCCCTTAAAATCATGCAATAAGTTATTTGTTTTAAGGGGTAGAACGAAACCGAAGAGTGGATTTTGAACGTCAAGTTATAAGCTAACCAAATATATATTAAATGCAGACTATCTATTGCTGTAAATTTGGCCGCAAACACGACGTTGCACTATTTTTGAACATTTTCTAAAAAACATAGCGATACACCGATTTGACGCGCATTATGCCGGCGCAACAAATATGCAAGGTCTTAAGGTCTTCTGGCACAGCTTGGAACTGAGCAAGTTGGTATTTTGATGCTTTACAGTCGAAAAATGTCATCTTGAAAATAAAAACGCTACTTGAAGCTCCCATTGTCAAAACTTATTTATGACGATTAGAATGGCCAGTTCTTACTTCGGATGCAATTTAGCATGGGTATACCGGCTTTAGAGACAATTCAATGCTCCTTGAAGACGCGACTATTATCAGAAATTAAAAGTATTCGATCTCGTTCTAGCTATAGGAGACCCTTACTATTATTCGTTCTGTCTGTCTGCTTGTCTGTCCGTCTACGTGTGTGACTGGCTGTAGCGTCTAAATTAGGGTGTACAATCCAAATGAGGATATGTGCCAAAGTTTTTAAAATATTCTTGTCGAACGCCACCTTCGAATAATTGTTGGTATTGTAAATGAACTTCCGTAAAACACATAACAAAAAACGTCAATAAAACACATGATAACGTATAACTATTTATTGAAACAATTTAATATTCTGAAAAATTATAGCTTTGAAGAAATTTGATGGACCAAAATATTTGGATTCAAAAGAGAAATATCGTTCATGACATAGAAATTGTATCATCGTGATTGTCAGCATCATCTTTGAGAATTGCTATTTCTGCCGCAACAAGAGCAGATACAAGACAGAGTCCGCCAGAAATGCAACCAAGTCTGAAACTATATCCTAGTGAGCTGTGCTTTACATATCCTCTCAATACAACGTATATTGATAGTCCCGACAAGATAAAAATAGCTGGAAAGTATAATAAACATTTGTATTAAAGTTGTAGATATAAGCAATGCCAACTGGGTTTGTTTCATTCCAGGTAGGCTCTCTTTTATGGAACTTTGGTTTTAGTGTGTATTCATGCGTATATTTCTCAGTGTTCCAATTGAACGAATTATCAGAACAGCAATATTACCAATGTTTGATAACTCGGGCCGGTGACTTCAGTCGCGAATTGCAGGGACATCAGGGTCTTTAGTCAGTTGCAAGTTTAGTAAATTTGAAATACGATTTAAATCACTATGAAATTGAAAAAATATTGTTTTAAGGTACATATCGTCACGCTAATAACCGAATTGCGCAAGTCATTTTTAGCAGTTTTAAGAAAAACGCAAAAAACTTCCTAATGATATTGCTATGCATTTGAGAGTCAATAATTTGCCATAGTTCAATTTTTTGATTGTAGCCGGATTTAAGTTAATTTGTATGACGCAGTCATGTGACGTCATAATGGCGCACTGTGAATTAGGCCGAAATGTGTCTATGACTTGGGGACATACGCAATTTCGCAACTTGACCATATGCACCAGTCCTGAAAACCAAACAATCCGAAACGAATGTAATTCCCAGTATCTGCGATGTCTAATCCCTAAAATAGCTAATCTGTTTCAATTACATTATTTTTTATGTTTAAAAATATATATTTTATTAATATAACACGCTCTGCACACCCACCGAAATAAGACTAAGATTAAATATAAAGAATAAAACAGCAATGTACCCTTATAAAAAGACCAGCCGAGGTGAATTGGACTCAGACAATTAATATCACAAGTGCACGCCTTCCTATACTGTAGTATAAATTCAAATTTACAAGCGCTAAGCTAGAATCTGAGATGCAAAAACTCGAAAATCCTCCGCCGAGGTTATTTTGCATTTGTGACGTCACAATAGTCTTGCGATAACCAGAATAATTCATTATGACGAAACAATTGAAGAAATTTGCATGTCATATAAAATTTCCATTTTTATAGGTTTCGGAATTCCCAAAATAAAATCGGAGTTAACAGACTTGTGCGCAGCATTACATAAGTACCTATTTTATTAAAAACTCAAAACCGCCAGAAATGACTTACGCAATTCGGTTATTAGCCTGACGATATGCTATATATAGGCATCAGCAATGTGAGACAGGAGTAGATACTTAAAAATCAAACTTCATTTCACGAGCCCAGTCTACTGCTGATACTTCTAATTGAGTGACCGGTGAAAATATCTGTAGGCCTATATATAGTTGCTCTTCATTTTTGGTGTAATTTTCTATGTTGAATGTGATGAGTGAATATATTAGATTTAACGTATTTCTTATTTGACGAGGAAAATTAATCTATAAAAAGTCGTTTTAAACGGTATCAATATCAACTTACCAGAAGCAATACATAACCGGATAGTCAATATAATATGGTCCTTTTTTCCAATCATTGTCCGAATAGTGAGTGTAATTGCGCAACAAAGTGAAATCGCAGAAAAGGCAAGAAGAACAGAAGTAAATATTTCGACAACTGTGAGTGCTAGAAAGATATCATATGAAATTGAAAGATTTTTGGGTACAATGCGGAATCGTGATAGTCAGCGGACCGCTTTATTTCATCACTTACAATATGTAGACGAAAACTGAGTGCTTAAATCAGAAAAAAGCTTCTTTAACGTATATATTCTGTATTGTTTCTTACTTATGATGCAAAATCAAGTAATCGTTTACATAATCTTTTATACGGCGTTGTATTCACTCTTTACTTCAAGTGAAGCCCAAGAATCCAACACTATAGCAAGGAGATGTATATAATTCGGAAAAAGCGCAGCAACGTCCTTTCAATACCGCCGTCTCAATTTATTACGCCTCGACTGATGGACATTAGAAATAAACCACTGTTATTTAATCAGCGATCCCAACATAACTATGTTTAATACGTTTAACAATTATACCAAAATTGACGAAAATGTCGTTAAAAACTCTTACCTTTTCCGTAATAAATCTCTCTAACATAAGTCAAGAAGATTCCATCCATCCACGTCGTTATTCCATTTGCATCGATTGACGTAACCAACCAGCCTGGTGTTGCTAACGCTGCGACATTCAAAACCAAGGCCAATGATGAAACAAAAATTAGAAGATTATCGTAAAATTTATTCATATTTTCTTTTATTGTCACAGATATGATATAGTTTCTAAAAATTGGAAAAGTTTATTTGTATAATTTCGGCTTTATTAACATACTCGGAGTTTTATAACTGATATCCAAAGAAGCAATAACGGCATTCATAAAATTCGACAACAGTAGCGTTCATTTAAATATGACATTATCCATAAGTTGTAATAGATAATGCCATATTTTAACTACCTCCTTGTTGCCACATTTTGTCACTACTTTAATAATATGTTTGTTAAATTTGTGGGGGTCCATAAATAATAGTTAAATAAGTAGGAATTTCAAGGTAACGCCAAGATACATATTGTATCAAATATGAGAAGGTTATAAGAAAAGAAATATTATAATTTGAACAAGCATTTAAAAACATGTGCAGTGCAATAAAGAAAATGAAAACATTAATGCACTGGAAAAAATAGCATTATACGATGAATAGGGATACATCAATAAAATAATGATAATATAATAATTCTATACAAAGGGAACATTTTCAAATTCTACACGCGATTTGTCTTTGTCTACTGCAATTACAATACAATAAAGTAAATTAAATGTATACCACAATAAACTAAACTTAAAGCCATTGGTTAAAACAGAACCTAAATAGTTTGTGATCATAGTTTATTGCTCAAGTTCACTCTCCACTACAGACTCTCTTTTATCGAGTGTAGACTCATTATTTTCTTCAATCACAGAAGTCTCCTGAGTGGCCACACTGTTTTTGCTCCATTTGTAAATATTAGCTGTGCTTTCGGTGGTGCTCGGAGTCTCATCATTCGAATTACTACTGCTATTTACGACATACTTTTTGCCTTGTTTAATTACCTGAAGTAAAAAAGTATATGATAAATAAGAAGCTACCGAGCATATGAAAAATAGAGAAAGCTGAAAAGAGTGTAAAATAGAGAGAAAAAAATGGAAAAAAGAATAAGAGAACGAGACAATTGAATGAATGCGAGTAAAACGAGAGAAGTAGAAACAGTAATATTAAAAACTTTCTCTCACTTTCATCTTGCTGGTCATGTCGAATGAAAGTGGGGTGAAATGTGATTTCAATGACTCGTAAATTTTCTCACGTAATTCAGCTCTTCGAATCATTGTGAATATGAAAAGAATGAATCCCTGTTTGACGAAACAGAAAGAAATTACTTTAATCTCAAAGTTAAACAAAATTGTTTGATTTAAACCAATGTTTCTCCGTTCTGTCCAATCCGAAAATTTAAGGATTTACATTGATATATATTTCTATGACAGATTATTATATAGACAGTATTGAATTACTGTTCGCCATATCTCAAACTATACCTGCATCACATTTGTGATAGTGAAAAGCCACGCCAGCACAGCTCGATATATTTCATCAGTACTGGCCAACATAAGATATCCAAATATCCATGTTAATCCGAGGGTAGTTGCCATGGAAGCGGCAGCAGTCATCTCACGAGCATTACTACGACGATTGGTATGGGCTCTCATCTTATAAATATAAAAGTACTTATCATTCGTAAATCATATAACACAAAAGCAAAGAGCAAATACTCGGACACATATGTACAATGAATAACTAAAATAGCTTGTATGGCCTGCTCAAAAATCTGTTATCAGATCGTTCGCAAATCAAGTCTCGTCGCTGCTGCCTTTTACATCGGTACCGTTAATGCCTTATCTGGGCACCGCGTTTGTCAAAAAGATGGCGTGGCGCAACCGACAATAACAACAATGTTGCAAAACGATCTACATGTACATTTTGTGTTTAAAAATTTAAAACAGTAATTTCTTACCCTTTGACGTCGAGTAGCGAGGGAATAAATGACGAAAGTAAAGAAAATGTAGTTCATTAACAACAGGATGCCAGCTGGAACCAGGAATCCGAATTTGAGAGAATTTCCGGTTATCCAACACATATTTTTAGATCTGTAAGATGCGAGATTTTGCCCAATGCCTTGATCTTGTCGCTGCGGGCCTAAATCAACAAAAAACATAATGTTGCATATTTAATTTTCTCCAACATTTTACTGCGGAATCGTCAAAATGTGAACAAACAACCATTATAACTACCTTCTCCGTCACAGTAATTGCTTCCAGTCGGTTCAGTCTGCTTCGTTGTAAGATTTGAGAACAAGGTTACTAACACAGCAACAAGAGGTAAACCATATGCAAACACTGATGATTTTTTCAGGAAATTTCGATCGAATTCCGTAGACACCTAAAGCGTAAAATATTTCATTATGTATAATATATTAATGTTGTTCAAGGCAAGTACTGTGCGTAGTTTTCTAAGCATATGTATCTTTTTATGTAACAATTTCACAAATATTAATTCAGATACATATTTGTTCTATATATTCATTTCCTGAATTCTTAGACTTTTGTATGGCCTTTCATATAAATAGGAAAAACAAAATACGATAATATGATTTTTTAAATATTTTGTTTTAATTTAAGTTGACAAGCGTATCATTATTAAAAAATCTTTAATAAAATTATATTCGTCATAATAAGCAATTTATTTCGGTATTTGAGATTAATGGTGCACATCACTTGTAGATATAACCATGATTTCACACTCACCACTGCCAATGATCTATACATGACGTAGCTATACACTGTTGTCCAACACCAGGTTGTAAGTAGTAGATAATGCAACAAAGCAGATACTGCAGTACAGGCATCACGATTTTCTGTTCTCGGTACGCCGACTAGGAATACCAGATAGACTGCCAATAATGTGATGCAAATATGTATGAATACTATTATGGTTCGTTGTCTACTTGTTCGCGCTCCGGTTTTCCTAAATAAAAATGATAAAATCGTAACTATTTATGATGATTAGTATGATATAGTAGCTTCAATTTTTAAATTATTCAGGCAATTATTCCCAGTGTGCAAGTAAATAAATTCTCGTTTGCGATAAACTGTTTGTTTTGGTTAGAAACTATACCTATGGATCGTTTCGACAAATTGTTGTTGGTATTCATGTTGTTACTGAGACAAAAATGCCAACTTCGAAAACTACGTCTTGTCTCATCGCTTTGGGATTCAAATTTAGAAATTCAAAAGTTAAAAATAAATATTTTCATTAAAATTCCATTGTATTATTTTCGACTAAATTTGTCGTGTCCTCCCTGAGTTCAAGACCAATATTTAACCTGAATTTTGCTGTGAGTTTTGTCGTTGTTTTTCCTTTTAATTTCAGTTATGGATTACGCCGAGTAAGTGTTTCACAAACTGGCCAATACCTTCTTGTTAATATATTAATACGTTATTCTATCTCTCTGACTGTTAGATCCTTCGGAGAAACATCTGATCTTCTTACTATTGTTTTTAAAACTGAATACTCACTTGTCTGTCAAATTCAACCCAACCGTAATAATTAATCCAATAACAGATATAACGCATCCTGTTGTGGTTACGACAGATAATACAATATCATCGTCAACGACTTCGTGTTCCTGAATGAAAATCGTACAAAAATTAAAAAAAATTATCACATTTTTATATCTTTTTTCTACTTTGTGTTATTTTTTTTATCTCTGTAATAAGACTCACCATTAATATGGCAAAACTAGTCATGTGATCACATCGACATGTTGGATGAGTCAAGTTTCCTACTAAGCAACATCCTTCTGTGGAAAATGTAAGATTTTTCGGAACGTAGAAGGTACATTTCGGATACGATTTCAGCGACTGAAATAAATATAGAGGTTTACATGTCTAAATTTTACGATAATTTTAGCGAAATAGCCAATGTGGAAGCCGTCTTTAATATCGACTTTTATAGATTATTGGTGATTTAGAATTATATTCACTACTATGGAAAGCTCCATTTTGTATCCTTGCCTTGGCCACCGACCATTTTAGTAAACACGGTGTTCATATAAGACATTGTAATTACATTCAAATATTGAATAATTTCACGATTATTTTGCCAACTTACCTGAGTTTTTCCCGGAATTGGAATCGTCGTTCCTACTTCTGAATTTGTTTTCGTAGAAGAAAATTTCAGAGGTGTTTTGAGATCTTTCACTTTGACATTCACACCGAGTTCGACAGTGATAACCTATAAAACACGAAATAAAACAACAAGGTCTCAGTTTTAGATGAAGAATCTTGCTACCCCAAAAAAAATTTTTTTTATGAAAAATCGATTCGAAAAATATGAAACTTGTATAGGCTGAAGTTATTAAAAAAAATTCATTTTCAATATTAATCACCCGATCGATTTTCTCTGAGGTTTGAAACAAAGTGTTTCCTGTATATTCCAATACAACAAGCCTGTCTTTAGAAGTTTGAGATTTAGCCTGATCTATTGCTTCCTTTGGAACAGATAGTTTGACATGTTCTGACGAATAGTGATATTCCAGTTTATCAGCTGGAAGATTGGTCGTTACCTTGGAAATAAAATATTTTTCTATATTTAAAATAATTTTTTTTTATCGATTAGGTATATTGCCATGGACTGGTAACCGTAGGCGGGGCCGTGGTTTTCCTTATGATTTAGTCTTCTTATCGGCTTTCTTCTTCTCGGAAGAAATATAAAAATCTTATTTTATTACAATAAAAAGCGTATTCCTAGTTATTTAATACCAAGCTTACAATCTATTAGATGAGTTTTACTTGCTAAATAAGAATTAATTTGAAAACAATTTGGCAGACTTACCTCAGCCCGGATATTCGTTGTTTCAACAACCACCGAGCTATTGGACAAAGAAACCTTTGCAGCAAAGACGTGCAAAGCCTCAGTCATAACTTGTGCTTCTTGAACCAAAGTTCGGTTTATTTTTGTTTTCGGAGCTGCTTGTTCTTGGGCCACTTTGAAGGATTCAGCAATCGAGTTGGCTGCGACTACAATTTCTCTGAGCGTTTGAACCGTCACCTGTATAGATTGAGCATAATCAATTCATTTGTTTAGTATTAATATACCATAAGATTGTTCAACTTTAGGTTTAGGTCAAGAAATTTTTTCCAGTGAAGCATTTATTATACAGATATCGCTTTAGACATTATTTGTCGAACTTTTCGATCTTTGTTCTCAAAACAGATTTTACGTCGTTTCACTAGATTAAGAATTTTTCACGCACTCGGGGTACGACAACCTTTCTCGGTGGAAGCTACAATGCAGAACTGTCAAGATTGGTTACAAAATACATGGCCCTCACGGACATAGCGCAATTTATTTGCAATGATAGCAAAAAAGAGCCTTCATTAGCGACTCTTTAAACAAGTACGTATGAGTGTAATTTAATTATTCGTGGACACATTAGTGGACATAACGATCGTTTTGGTATTTTGTTGTTGTTCTTGTTCTTTAACATAGTTATTAAAGTCGCTTTTTTCTTTGATTACTGGACCAATTGCTTTGAAATTTTCAGTGGTTAAAGATGGAATTTTTTTCCAGAGGGCTTAAACTTTTATTTATTTTTAAATTTCCTATAAATCCTATGAGAACTGTTATTTCATTCAAAATTTCATTGTATCAATTTTTACGCATGGGAACACTGTTTTAGCACTTATTTCAAGCGGTTCCGCCAAGCGTGACGATTGATTCTGAAAATCCTTGCTACTGGAAGTTTTTTGAGGGTATCGGTAACATTAAAGTACTGCTTCGCTCTGGTCTACGTGTCCATATATTTGAGCATTGCTCTCTTGTTTTCTAATGTACTAACAATTTGATTTTAAGTATTGTGTTATATTAATAGTAGATACGCGAACAACATTAAAAATAATTCAATGGTTCTACTATTTACACATCAGAACAACGTTATTTTTCAGCAATTTCGAGGAGTGGGAAAAACGACTGATTTTTAAAAAAAAAAACTGCACTGGATTGGCCGTTTTTCTTCTGGACTTAAATTGTTGCCAATTGCTGACAGACTACAACTTAAATTATACTAGAAAACACAAATTTCTATACTTTTCAAAAGTTGTCAATTTACCACATCTGTTTTGTTGGCAAGAGATGAAGAGGATATGTTAATGATCTTTATAAATGCTGTACGATCTTCTGCTGCAAGACTTTCACCAGATGAAACCAACACATTCAGTTTAGAAACGCCTTCTTCAAGAACTCTCGCTTCTGCTGTTTCCCAATTCACCTTAAAACCAAAATGAAGGCCTTTTTCGCAAAAATTGATAATACGATTTTCAATACTTAAAAGACGAAAAAGGTCTTTTTTTAAATTACCAATTTTACCATTTATTTTATATTTTTTTCTGCGGAGCCTTACACCTCTCTTCAAATTATGCTGCTTTCACTTAATTCAATAACATGCCTTCATATGACATTCGTTACAGTCCATGTAACGTTTGACTAAAATTTTGCTGGCATTGCGGTTACCACATGGGTAATTTAAGATTCGTGTCCATAATCTCCAGCATGGCTCTTTTATTGTTTTGTTAGATATGCAATCACATCATATGTTAAAGTCATGGTAGTCTAACAATTACTAATTTTGTTCAGGTGCAATAATAATTTTCTTAAAGCAAAATACGAACCTGCGCTGCAACAGAAGACAAAGTTTCATTGCAAGGTACCAGATGGAAAGAGGTTTCATTGAAGCTAAATTTTTCGTTCTCTTTGCTACATGTAATCGATGCTTTTGCTCGTCCTGTGTGAAAACATGGACGTTTACCTTACAAATTTACGTAAATTTGACGAAGATGATGCTATTCAGGATGTAAGACATTAATGATCGATTTTCAAAATTTACCTTTTCCGCACAAAGATACAGTGTGAAATATGCAACTGGTAATACCATTAACACAACAATCTCTCTTATGTTGTTGATAATATGCGAAATGTGAAAACATAAACTTATCCTATAGTTCTTTCGAAACAAATCAACGATAAGGCATAACTCTCAGCTGAATTTCAAACACGAAATATGCTAAAAATGATCGAATTTAGATGTTTAATCTTGACACATACTGGAATCTGTAGGATGTGATAAATGTAGGCAAATTGTTGTCCCTCAGTGTGAAAACAATGACCAAGTCAAAATGGCACAAGTTAATTGTGCTTCCTGTTTATTTACCCGAAGAACATTTCTCATTTGAAAATACGATATTTCCCAACGAACTTCCATTGAAAGTGTAATCTTCGCCCTCAACAGTCAATAAGGTAGTTTCACAAAATCCTGAAATATTTCGTCGAAAAATACACGATAAAGCATCTGACGTAAATATTTTGATATATATATATATACTTCACTCCAAGCAAGGCCCTGTACAGGCTTCTATTTACAGAACTTACTATTTTTTAGACCAGAATTGTTTCGGCCTGATATTGCCTGTAAAATTGATCAAACCTCATGTGAGGTGGTGGGCATGTTATTATAATATAGGACCTTTCATTCCAAACTTCAAATACTAGACAATCGTGCCAACAAAAGACATAAAACTATGTAGACTCCTATCTGAACGGCAAAATAATGGATTCAATATTCTAAATATTTGTCTCGCTTTAACTCACCTATACAATCAAGATTTCCAGAAAATCCAGGTTTGCAGCTGCAATGAAAAGTTCCGTCGTTCACAGAACAGTCAGAGTTTGGACCACACGGGTTTAAATTTTCACACGATTTGACTGTTAGAGACATGCAGTAGAAAAAATTTGAAAAAAATTAAATTAACGTGTAATAGAGTATAGACAATTTCCTCGCACATATTATTCCTATCTGTTTACAGGTTAGAATTTTGGTCAATTGCTTTTTTTGAATAATCATCGTTTTAGGTTTTGATACAATAATGAATACATAAGTTGGGAATTTTACATACTTAACACACTTTCACTAGAGCAATAAAAACATTTGTGCAATGTTTTAATTGTGTATTTACGAGAAATAAAACAAATTTATTGTAAAATGTGGGCACGAGTAAAAGTGTAGAATATGAGTGCTCAGAAAAATCATGCCTTTTTCTGTAAATGATAATGATCTTAAAAGTCTCTTTAGCTCACCTTCACAAAAAACTCCGTTTCCTAGATACATCGAGTTACATTTGCATGAGTACGAGCCTTCCGAATTAACGCAAGTAGCATTGGCATGGCAGTTGTGAACATCAGAGGTATATATACATTCGTTTATATCTGTAACAAACAGTCAGTGATTAGACCTGTATGCGGTTGTGGTTGTGTGGTCTCAGTGATTTTAGTTAGGCTTAGGAACGAATTCTATGAGCATGTCTTTATGAGATTAGTTAAGCTTGTTACCTAACTTTCTTAGTGAGTTATTTTAATCTAGCGACTGTGTCCCATCTACGTAAGTTTACATCTGTAGATGCATAATAACATTAAGTTTTTTTAATCCAGCGTGAATTTTGACGCCAGGTGTCAATCCCAGCTTTTTTGAGGACTACAATAATGGTTTAAAAATTTTACATGTAAATTTCGTAATGAGCACGAAAGGGCCCGGTTGAATTTTTGTTATCATTATGAGCGTTTTTTATAGAAGTTCAGGTCAAAAAGATTCATTTTTCATGAAAGTTTACGAGCTAGCTTCGACGGATTATCGTAATGAATACTATATCCCAGCTTTACAAATTACTAATTGTCCGAAGTCGAAGTTAGCTTCTACATGTTACAATTGCAGATTTTGTTAATTTTAGAAACCAAACTATAAAAGGTGCTACGAGTTTCATGTATATATTTTAGTTTACCTGTACAAGCAAGTCCTCCTGTAAATCCATCTTTGCACGAGCAGTGAAAACTTTCATCTTTTATAGAACATTCAGAATTTGGACCACATGGTTTTGAGTTTTCGCATGTTTTTTCTGTAGTACATTTCATAGACAGATTGATGAATAATTAGAATATTTTACTGAACAAATACAAATGATTACGGAATAGTCTTGTGCACGTTTTTGGAATAGATTATTGTAATATTAGTATTCAAGCATGAAAACAAGGCACATATCAATTACTATATCGTTATTACTATGTCAGTTATCCATGGCAATCATCTTCTTTGAAAGCGACAAGGGAAGTTATTTGAAAATTGCATTGTTCAGATAGCCAACTACTATTTCCGAGAATGGTCCAATAAAACTGGACAAGCTGGCTATCTTAAACATATCACATAGTTGGTTCTAATTATTGGACACGGAGTGGACATATGGACCGTTTTGTTATTATGTTGTTGTTGTTCTTTGTCACAGAAAAAAATCGCTTTTCTCTTTGAATATTGGACCAATTGCTTTGAAATTTTCAGTCCGTGAAGATTAAATTTTTTGCTAGAAAGCTATTACTTTTATTTATTTCAAATATTCCGGTGATCTGTATGGAATTCGTTTTTTGTGTGTGCTATGACGTCATCAAAATTTGCCACCACGTGGCGATTCCATAAACACATAATAGCGCATCACGTGATCAGCGACAATGCGGGTACTGGTAGCATCGCTCTCTTGTTTTAATCTTCGATATTATTGTGATGTCCAATTTAAATTTTAAGAATTTTTTTCCAATTATATGTGCTTCAAAATCCAAAAGATGTAATAATGTAACTCTATCTTTAATCTGGTTTATCATTATTTTTAGCTTACCTTCGCAATGAGTTCCGTTACCAAAATACATCGAATTACATGTGCATGAGTACGATCCCACTGTATTTGTGCACGTAGCATTAGCATGACACGTGTGAGTATTGGAAGCACACTCGTCTAAATCTGAATAAAGATTTAAATACAGAAGCTTCAATGTAAATATTTTTCAGTGTTTTCCAGTATCAAGAAGATGAGATAGAAGCAATCGTTTCGTTAATAATATGTTGGCTTCGATTTTTCATTTTGGTAGTTTCAAATTTTAATATGAACAGATCGAAACAAAGCATCGTCCGGATTGTTACGATTATGGAGACTTTGATTGTTATACTAGTTCACTCTTTACCTGTACAAGCTAACCCTCCTGTAAAACCAGTTTGGCAAGCGCAGTGAAAAGATCCCTTAATAATGGAGCAATCGGAATTCGTTCCACATGGCTTGGAGTTTTCACACGTTTTTTCTAAAGAAACGAATTGTGTACTTTTTAGTGTTAAATCGTGCATATAGAGGAACTATTTTTACAAAACTTATAACTCCGACATTGAAATCACATTGCATAGAATAGTATACTCAATTGATAGCGCTGTATACCATAGAATCATATATATATATAATTAAATGGTGGTTTCAACTAAGGATGTTTCGTTGGCTTGACAACAATTTTTCTATCGCCAGTCCGTGGTTCTAGTTTTGTCATCTCAACAAAAAATATTTTTACCGAACATCCAATAATACCCAAGCAAGTTAGCTCATAACATATACATAAAGTTATGCAATTCACATTTGTAAAAAGACTGGACTCGGAGAGTTAAACTTTTTCTTTGGTGTCTTAAGGTTTCTGCGGGTTCAAAGGTTGCTTTGGGGGAAAATAAATGTGTCACGACGAAGACTCTCCAGTGATGACAAAAAATAAATTTGGAGACAATCTTCAGCTTACCTTTACAAAAAGTTCCATTTCCTAGATACATCGAGTTACATATACACGAGTACGAGCCTTCTGAATTAACGCAAGTAGCATTGGCATGACAGTTGTGAACATTAGTGGTACACTCGTTAATATCTGCGATAGAATATCAGTCGTTCGATTTGTCAATAATTTGGTTAAATCGAGTACATCGTAAAATAACGTGGTTACAATATCGGAAAAAAATGCTTCGGAAGAAATGTCGGGTTTGGTGTAGTTTAGTACCACATGTACTTCCACTTGCCCTGGCTCAACAATTTTTACATATTATGTCATCCCTAACTCCCACCTGACTACGGCATCCAAAAATCACTACGACATCAATGTGACGTGTAAGGCCCTCCAAATTATACGGATGGTCGTCTAAAACGATTATCCGAGCTGGAGCAAGCTATTTTTCTCGTCGCTACGATCCCGATATGAAAGCGATCGCTGGCGCCAGTGAGTTCGTTTTCGTCGGTGCAGAGGCCATTTCGGGCGATCGAAGCTATACTTTGGTAAGCTCAATGGCGTAATTGTGACGTGGTAGGGAAGTCATTTTTAGGTGACATAATCAGGTAGAGGTTAGGAATAACAGATGCATAAAAATAGGTATGCTACGCCCTCTAGAAGTACTTGTGGTACTAAATTACACTAGACTCAAAATGTCTTGCGCGAAGTGCAGTATGTACGTTTTTGTTATGGCTAAGATGTTCACAGATAAAATTCAATTACTCATATTTCATTCTACGTTGCCTAAGTAAAAAAATTAGCTACAAAATGCAAGCCAACCTTCACAAAAAGTTCCGTTTCCTTGATAGCCAGGTTTACATGAGCATGTATATGATCCTTCTGTGTTTGTGCACAAGCCTTTCTGATGACAGTTGTTCGAGGAAGCATCACTACATTCGTCCACATCTAAAATGAAGTGTTATTTATTTCATGAGAGAATACATAAAAAAAAATTTATACAGATAAAACCACTCTTCTTGAAACTCGATCTATATGCCTAATTTTCAAACTGAGATATTATCGTCACCATAGTTTTTAGTTAGTTTACGTAGTTTTATATTGACTTCGTTCTTTACCTGCACACGCTAACCCTCCTGTAAAACCAGCTTTGCACGCACAATGGAATGAACCGTTAATGATGGAGCAAATGGAATTTGGTCCACATGGTTTGGAGTTTTCACATGTCTTTGCTGAAAAAAACAGGACGCACATGGAACATATATCTGAAGATTAGTTTTGCGTAATGTAGCAAAGTAAAATATAAAGTATGCCTGGGCTTAAATACGCTTGAATTTTCTCAATAGAGGTAATCGGAGGATGATTATGTGGTAATATACGGACTTTATAATAAACGCATCGTCCGTTTTGCCTATGATCCCCGACAACTGCATTCTGTCATCGCTACCAAAAAGTGTGAAATTGTCCAGAAAATTCTGTTCTAAAAAGTTTTCAGTTGCCGGGGTTCAACTGATTGCTCTTAAGGAGTATTGTATGTGTACATCTACATTATAAAACACTACATAAAAGTAACCTACGTTTGTAATTACCGAATAATGTTGTCCGGTAATGACTAGGCGTTGAGTCATCGCTAAATCTATGTCGGTATAAAATGCAAATAAATGTACATCTTACCCTCGCAATATGTCCCATTTCCTAAGTACATTGAGTTGCATATACATGAATAGGATCCTTGTGTATTAGAGCAAGTTGCGTTTTCGTGACAGTTATCCAAGTCCAAGGCGCATTCATCCACATCTGGTAAATAGAATGCGTTTTGACGAATAGCAAAGTTTAGCGTAAGGCAGAGTATAGTACCGATTTGACAATAAAAAAATATCGTTTTTATGACCGTTTTCGGTTTAAATATCAACGGCGTAATAAACAAAAGGAAATGATTTTACATCCTGTGTTTTATTACATACAAAACATCGGATATTAATTTACATTAACAATAATAAAAATGCTGAATATTATACTATAATTTTACGGCTTCCAAAATGAACAAGTTCGTTCATTTTCTCTGATTTTCTTTTATTTTTTCTGATTTATACAACAATTGTCCATCGACGATCGATCGAACGGGAAAAATTCCAATAAAACTCATAAAAAAGTCTAACGTAGGAGTGCTTGATACTGCTACTGAAATATTATTTTCGAAAAGTCTAATTACCAGTACAAGCAAGTCCTCCTGTATATCCAGATGTACAGCTACAGTGAAAAGATCCATTTTGTAAAGAGCAAACAGAGTTTGGACCGCACGGTTTTGAATTTTCACACGTTTTGGCTGAAAAGATTGGAATGATTAAATAATTATTATGTATGTTGAAAACAACACATTCTTTTTCATACTCAAGCAGCGCTAAAATAAAGAATGCATTAGATGGAACATGTCCGATATCAACAAGTTTTCAGTATCGATATAGAGCCTTCTGAGCCAGTCCATACGATGATCAAATCTAGCCCACCCGATAGGACATTTTAGAACTACTATGCGTGATGGACGTGTTCAATTGCTCCATTTAATGTATATTCTGTGCCATATAAGCCTGTTTCACTTGGTTTGGCAACAATAATTTAATAATTAGGTTGACTATGATAACAATTCATCAAAAATATGAGTGGGAGAAACGACCTGTGTCGCGTAAACATTAAATTAGTACAGTAATAACGTAGGCGAGGTGATTTTGTTTTGTATGCGTTACTTCCATCGAGCAAGACATTGCAAAGGAAAGCATGAATGAGAACTCAAATCTATTTAATAGTTGACATAATTCACCATCAACAAATACTAAAATAAAGTACCAAAGTCGTGGGAATGGTGGTTTCCTACAATAAAAATAAAAGGAGTTTTTAGACTTCAAAACTACCGTGACCTAACTGTTAAGTTGATCAAATTAGAAGAGAACAAATTGATTGATCTATTTAATTAAAATTCATCTTTTCAAATTGAAAATATGAATTGATTTTTTCAGGTTAGACAACTGAACCTGACTTTAACAAAATTTGCAGGAGACAGAACAGATAATGGAATCGGGTACAAGTTCAATGGTGCTATTTGTAATATCTCTTCTAACAAATGGAAACAACATACTCATTTGATGAAAATAAAATATAAAGACATTTTGAGCAGTACCTTCACAATAAGTGCCGTTTCCCAAAAACATTGTGTTGCAAACACACATATATGAGCCTTCAGTATTGGAGCATGTCGCATTTTGGTGACACTGGTACGTAGATGGTGAAGCACATTCATTAAGGTCTGTATGTAACGCAGAACGTTAGTTGGTGGGAAAAGTATCAGCAGTATTTTCTGATGTTGAAATTCATAATGAGACATTTCTGTACACGAAGTCGTAATATGGATCGGTTTTCTAAATCGTCGTTGTTTTTAGTCTCGTTTAGTGCGGGAAAAATACGCTTTTATATGTGTAACAAATGGAGCAATCTATTTTAAATTTAAAGTATTTAAAAAGTGGCGTAGTAGTCTCCAAAATGCTATTTCTTTTATTCCTCGTTTTCTGTGCTCAGCCACATTGCAGTATAAGTCACATAGGCTACTGAAGACAGTTCAAAGTAGTGTATTAGTGTCTATACACCACGATGGGTCAGTTATTGGACCTTCATGTTTATATATTTGAGCATTGCTTTCTTGTCCTAATTTGGGTATTTGCTTCTCTACCAAATAAAATTTATCAAAACAAGAAAATTAAATTTGAAATTTGAAACCTAATAAGTTTAGCTCGCGCTGTATTTCAAGGCGGTATGTATGTATTATTTTCGTTGGCATATTAGATTTACGGTTATTGGATATGATATAACTGATGAGTAAACAATATCAAGCAAATAAGCAAGAAAACCGGATTAAGAATTATTGACAGCGTCAAAAATTCTTTTCCAACCAAAGTACTTGTGATAAACCGAGAAAAAAGTCTTTCACCTATACAATGATATCCGTCTCCGCTATATCCAGATTTACAGGTGCACTTCATATTGGTTGGAGCAATGGTGGTACAGATTGCGTTTTTATGACATGGATTTGCATTGTCACAAGTCATCGCTTGGAAGAATACAATCAAAACTAGTTTATTACAAACAATTTGACCCTAATTATCATTTTTATTTTGACGAAACAAGGAACATTCGCGGATAAAAGACGGTTCAGCTAATAGTTCAACTAATGAACGATTTTAATTTATTAGTAATCTATTATATTCTATCTTCGATATATTCTTTACCTTCACAAAACGTTCCATTTCCAATGTATCCAGAATTGCATTGACAATATTTGGGCTTCGGGTCTGTACTTCTCGAATCTTGACATTTTGCGTTTGCGTGGCATTCCGTGCATGTGGACACGTACACTAAAAAGTTCAAAATAATTGATTTTATTTTCTACAACACGTACTTCTAATTTATTAAACTGCGCCTAGAAGTTCTATTCCAAAAATACTCGAAATCTTGTTTTGTGTTTGGCTCGACGTTGTGGCGGATCGTACTGAGCGTCAAGAATACACTCGTCCCACACCCCTTATTACCCTGTGTGGGTTCGCATGTTCCAATCCCTTGGGGATAATTAAGTGCGAGAGGATTGCTAGACTCTTTGTCGCGGAAGGGTGGTTCCTGTTACCGCCACCAAGTTCATTCATCTCAAACAAATAACTGACTAACAAATCTTAACGACATTCCTCTCCCCCGGGATAAATATGTAAATTCTATCCTATACAAACAATTGAAATGTATAATAGTAATCTGCTACAAGAAATATAATAAAAAGCTACTGAACGTTCAAAACAGAAATATGATAACGTTACCAAGATTTCAAGCGCACGATCTGGACTGCATAAAACATTGGTGTATGAATGTAGCTACAAAAAACTATAATTTGGCCAATTACACTAATACATATATTTTAGTTTTCTACTAGTTTTACCTATGGCATCCACAGACTGGTGCAAGATGCAAAGCAACGCAGCTATCAGTGGTAGATAGCGCATGGCTAAACGTTTTTAGCACAGAAAGTCCCGGTGTGAGCTATATCATAAACCTAACGTCTTCAACAGGAAATAATTCACACAAAATTAAAACAAAAACTGACCAGGAGCATGCTTTATAGACAAATTTATAGCCTGTTAGCTGATGACGTAAATATCCCACACAGGATAATATTGCTTAATTCCAACGTACATGAAAAAACAATGATTTTTGTTTCAGACTACGTCACAAAATTAAAATATTAAGGAATTATGATTGGTGTTTCTGCCTTCATTTTAGCGTCATTGTTAGAACACTGTAAGCATGTCGTAATATATTTTAGTACATCAAGCAACTGAATCAAATATCATTATAATATAAAAAGAAAAGATCGGGCGAAATGTTTCCTTGTGATTCGATTTTTGTTTTTATAAACCAAAGATATGATCAAGCATAAAACTGTAATTATCGATCAAGGAAGTAAATTGAGTTGTATTTTTTAACATCAAAAATTGAATCACTGGTATGATATAAGGCAAAGTAATACTACCACGCGTACGAGTTGTCTCTGAGTCAGACAAAACATGGAATGCACTCCTACCAAATCAATTATCCTACTCGAAACTACCTATTTACCTTTTATAGTTGCAAAAAACACTGGTTAATACTATACCAGTCCCATTCAGTCAAGCTACCTGAATATGTAATTCCTAAAAAATATAAATACGATATCAGGCATTTTTGAATATATACCTGATGATATCAGAATCGAATCGAAAATACTTGGAATATATATAAATATATGTACCGTAATTGTAAGTGACTGTAAGACACAAAAAAATATTATTCTATTAACAATTCTATTATTTTACATTCAACAAGATTCAGATGGCGTCTAAAAAATAAAGAAAACAAATCAGACCGATCCTCCGCCGCAGTGACACTAGGACAAGATGAAATTATATCGTTGGCATATGAGGATATGATTTATATTCATCCCGGGGACAAGGAATTAGTTCGCATTTTTACCCAGTTATTATTTCAGATGAATGGACTCAAATAACTACTAGCTTTATACAACTGTTTTTGGGAGGATTGACCTTTGACAGCAGGTAGCCAAATGATAAAGATCGTCTTTATTACTCTCCTTTCCCATTCTAATCACATCGTATTTGATTAAATTAAAATTATAATAAATTGCCTCGAATATCAGAAAAAACCTTTGCCTAGAAACTAAAGATATTTCAGAGCAATCATCGCGATAACCACACATATCCGTTACAAAATAGCCATTGATGCTGGACGTCATGGTATTTATGGAATCGAAGGGGTTACAAATTTACACCGGAGAAGTTTGAAATTGAACTTTGTTTTATCCAGAGATGAATCCCACCCTGACTGTTCACATAAATCCTTCCTCAACCCCCTGGGTAACAAATAAACAGATAGTGTTTTGTAAAAATATATTGATCAGCACCATTGGTAAAAATTAATAATAAAGGAATTACTAAATGATAGATAGTTAATTAAAAAACTCCACAATATGATAATACAAAAAAAATTAAAAATGGAGATTTTTGAATAGCGAGCAAAATTTTTAAAAAAGTTTAAAACATGATGAGTATCATGTTCCCGCTCACCAACACGCATTCACAACAAAAAACACAAATCTTGTTAAACAAGGCTTGGGCCAAAACTAAACACACACAAAAATACGCAAATGTAATAATCTTTCGGGCTGTTGTATACTTTTAAAATACTCAAGCCAATAAGGACTGATACAAAGACACAACGTGTGTAGGTGTAATGTGATAAGGTGGCGAGAAGGGTCAAAAAACCATGAAAACTTGATTGATTTGGCATTGGTGAAAATGTGATACAGTGAATCAATTTACATACAAACAAATCAAAACAATGCTGGTAAATTCTGCGCTCAGGCAATTATGAAAACACTAACTGACTAATCATTCGTAAATATGTAGGCTCATGTAATCAATGAAGCCAATGTTCTTAAAAACAATTAAAACACACAAAACAAAAACAATAATACGCCATGAAATGAATATGTAAAAACATTATAATTGGTATGGTTATATCAGATCGTTCAAATGCTCATTTAGTCTGTTATCAAAGTCATTGTGGAGAAAATTAGTACACATGTGATTATGAAGTATTCTGATATATCTGTCCCCGGGAACATCTAATAAGTTGATAATCCTACACCGTCACCTTTGTAATTCCAGAAGCAAACTTGTGTTCCGTTAACCTCCAGTCTTTACCAAAAAATTAGCACTTTATCACCAAATATTTCTTTCAGCACCAATTTTTGTATCCAGGTATCATAGAATGCATGAGACATCATCAATTTACCAGTTTCAATCCATTTATTTGGGCTGAAGATCTTTAAACTAAAATTTCTACAATGCACGCACACTATACAGATCGAGCAGCGAAAAACAGGTCCGACCCAGACGGCAGTCGGACGCTTCATAGTGGGCATTCCGTAGATTGAAAAATAAGACTGTAAGTTTTAGGAATACATAATTGCCACCGAGAATCTTCATAATTTAGCTGAATTGAATATGACTTTCGTGCAGCAAATTTAAAAACTGCTTTGCACCCTATGAGAAAAATAAATCGCCAAAACAAAAATTACATATTAATTACCATGAGTGTTCTCAGATCATTTCCAATACAAGTTACCCAGGATATGTAGACAATAAAAGAATCAATGTTAGAAATACATTGTAGTATTAACATATTTCAGCAATTTCTCACATGCATTTAGATATTGCATTAAGCTGAATGATCGTAACCTTTGTTTTCAAGTATATTAAAGTATTTAAAATCGACACAAACTCCTTTGGGTGCAATGCCAGCTCCTGCACCTTCAACTGATGATGGTCGACAACACATTATTCCAGCTGTAACTGGACCTAAAAAAGGAAAGTAAATAAAATACACAGAATAGATATGGCATTTTATTGTCCTAGATTCCTGGTAACATAAGCATGTTCCAATAGAGAAAATATGAGGGAGTGCTCTACTGGGATTTCACTATAGATTTGACCCAGTTTACAGCAAACCACTATGTGAAATCAAACTACCTAGTTTTGTGGGGCATGCAATCAGTTTCACGGGGGTGCGATGGCATAGTTGGGTAAACTGTTGAACATATCGATGACAACATCTCATTCTCGAGTTCAAATTTCATGGCGACCACTTTCCTAGGGTGTAATAAGTTGGGTAGCACAATACAGAAGCAGACAGACTCTGATTTTTTCAAAAATATATCCGCTTCTTCATCACAAATTGCTAGTATGTGTACAAGGCTATTTTCAGTGCGTCTCATAGAGAATAGACTCAATTAAAGCTTTAAATAAATCAATTACACGTCAGTAGTCAGAACAGTAAGCACATCAAAGTTCGATGAGAGTACATGCTGAAAAGTTTTATTAGCCATGGGTCAGCCGAGTATGGGTAATTTAAATTAAATGACTCGAGTCTTTGATAAATCATGAATTATGTCGATTTCTACACGTTATCTAGCCAGATGCTCACCTGTGGTAGGCATATGGGCAATCCGAACAAAATCATAACTCTTTCCGTCATTGTCACTTACTTCAATAACATAGCTGCATCCCTGCCTAGAAATTTGAATCATAATGTAAAGCAAACTAACATGATTAGTTATAGAAAGCAATAAACAGGAACATATATCAAAACTTAAGCATGGTGTCTAAGGGTGAAATAAGAAATACAGTTTTTATAGATATTGCCACAAGTATATTTATCACCAAAATTACCTACCTATATACTTTAAGGCAGATATCAGTATTATCGGGCCATGGTAACCTTGCTTTTGACCAATCAGAGTAATCATTTCTTGTTACAACAACACTTTGCCATGTCTTGCCGTCCACAAGTTCAACACCAGCTTTCAACCATGTGGTGTGATCCACTCCAATAAAAATACCAGCGTGGTCAAATTTGATCTAAATCAGAAATAGGAACAAAGATGAATGTTAATAACAGTACCCCCACTGTTCGCATACAGAGATTAGAGTTAGTAACAATGCATGTGTGTTTATTTCCTTCAAAATACATCAGCATCTGCATAATAAATATAGATCAGGGTGGTCCGAACTGCAGCCCGCATTATACATGTACAAGACTATAGTAGTTTAGGAATGCTACATTATAATTTGACAATATATATGGAATTACAAAATTATACAAGTAGAACCGTTGAAGAATGCACCAGACAAAGATACAATACAACAACGGTATTTTATTAATAGACATCAATAATGACACACCCATGTCTTAATAGATAGCTAATTAACAATATTTCCCAACAACCTCACAAAGGCATTTATTCAAGTTTACCAAGTTTAGGAAGGAACTAAAGAAGCTCAACTATCTTACTGATAATCCAGGTATCAGCTTTGTTAATGATGTTGACTTCAAATATGCTACGCGAAGCTATTATAATATTTAAACCGGGAAAATTCAATAAATACCAGGTCTTCAATGTAATTATGTCTACAAATAAACTACAGTGATTTGTTTTGCAAAAATTCACTAATCTTTACATCTAAAAATTCAGTTTGCTATTTTTTCTCTGGATAAAAATGTGAAATTAAAATACTCATGTCTTCACCGATGCATTAAAGGCAAATCTGGTTTCTGCAACAAAGTTTTGTTCGGACATTCCCAGACCAAGAACATGACCATTGTATGCTTGTAATACAGGTTCATAATAGGTGTTTCTCCAAAAGTCTGTTTTATAGTTTGGTTCAATCTGTAGACTAAAAAAATAATCTATTTGAATATATGATGTACATAAATGGCTCAATAACATAGCTCTCACCTTCATGGGTATATACAAATATAAAAGAGACCATTGTTGCTAGACAGCATGTCCATTGCCAACGTTTGAATATTAACATGCAAATGTGCCCTTTTGTTTTATTAAATCTTGTATTAGATTTTGATGGGGCAAAATTCAGAATTCTTTTGGGGGATAGAGCTTACTCCCACAACCAACAAACTTTATCAAAATGTAATAGAAATGTCCGATTTCAATGGGAAAATTTATGTGTATTTGTAGTGGTATGCTCTTTCAGTAATGTAAGAATGTTGTAAACATTATTTTAGGGTTTGAATGCTGCATTAAGGGTGGGCCATGTTTGCTTGTTGACTAAAAGAGATTTTCTCATCAAACTAATCATATTTTGTCAAATTAATTGATTGATTGACATATTAGGAGGGAGTCACAGAGCTATGACACTTTATCTGCCTATGACAGTATGATAAATTGTCATTTTCAAAATGATTCACATATTTATTCCGGGGAAAGAAACGCAGATGATACCGCGTAATCATATCGCGAACAATACCCTCTTGTCCAGTTACCGGTACCGTACCAGTTCATGGGTATGAGATTAGTTAGCCAGGTGTTCGATTCAGATGCATGGAAAGGATAGGATTTACATATTTATCCCGGGGGAGAGGAAAGCCAATAAGACGGCTTATCCATATGGCGAACCACGGCCTCTCGTCCGGTTACCATTTCATGCCGGGTATGGGATTAGTTATATTGTTTGTTTTCGGAAGCATGGACTTGGTGGTGGAGGAAGCCGTAACCGACCAGCGGTTACGTGAACCACCCAACGACGGCGAGGAGTCCAGCAATACTCTCGCACATAACCATCCCTGCATGAGATTCGAACCTGCGAACCCACGCAGAGTAATTAGAGGTGCAGTGGCGAGCGTATTTCTACGCTTAGACCGTTGAGCCACACCGCTGCGCCAAAAAGTGAAAAATAATGGTTTTATAGACTAGGCCAGGGCTACTCAACTATTTTCACCAAAGGTCCGTTTGGAAAACTTCAATGTTACTGGGGGTTCGGACATTTCAGAAAATTTATTTCAATAATTAAACGAAACCTCAAATGCAATATTAAATTAAATACAAGACTGCAAGAGCAATGAATGGCTTGCAAATATAGACACAAATGTCGCACATCGGTAGACACAAATGTCGCACATCGGTACCAATACGACAAACTGTATAGCTGTGTATTTAAATTGTGTCAAAATCATCTAAAACTATTGAACATGCTAATGCTGCCAAAATAAATAAGCAGATGCGGTCCAAATTAAACGGTCGAAAGGTCCGGATTCGGACCGCCAGTTGAGTAGCCCTGGGCTAGGCTATAGATACACAGGTAAAAAAGCAAAAAGATACCGGTATGGGGTGTGGAGCATTGTTATTTAGATGTTACAATTGGGCAATACGACTGCACGGGCTGACGAATCAAATACCTTCACGTTTTAAATAAAGAACCGAGCATAATACAGTAAAAGCACAAGCTGGTATACAGCTACATACCGGTAACACTGTAACTATCTTCTGTTACTGTGTCATGCCAAAATTTGAAAATCTGAACAGCGATAAATCAATTGCCGTATTACGGTACCGGTACATTACCTTCCAGTTTGGACTTTCACCCCATCTGGCTTTTCGCCAATTTTCCATGACAGAAAATCAGGTATTTTATCACCTTCGAAATTGCAGCTGAAGAATGACATGCTTTTGGGTAGTTTTCAGTGCAACATTATTGCCGCAGTCCTCTACTTGCAAATTGCTGTATAAATGGATGCAAAACGATGCAAAAGCAGTGCATGACCCTTGACCTCGTAATATTTTTCTCGTACTTCATCATTGAATATTTCTTACAATGTCAGCGCGTTCAAACGGCTACGAGTGTTCAAGGCACAATTTTTCCCAAACGCCACAATTTATCTCGGTCTATCTTGTGCTTGTCGCTTGGCTTTACCAGCCATTGAGAACCAAATACAACTTTCCATTGTACATCGTGCTGATCGTTAAGAAAATGACATCTTAAATATACAGTAGTCATAGTCAACTAACATGGGAACATGGCACCAGGCTGATTATCAAAATCTTGCTTTGTTCAATAATAAATGCTATTGTACTGTCTGCGCAAAATGCACTGTGGTCTTTATAAATGGACATATATATATATATGCTCATTGGTTCGAATAATATTTTTTCACAACTCTATAAAATTCCGGCAGTGCACAAAGGTTGAACACTTTAGAATGAAAGTCACAATAATTTGTGTCTGGCTAAAAGTGGTTTCACTGTATGCTTGAATTTCTGCCTCAAATCAATCGCTACAGATATGGAACACATAAAAACCTGTCTATAAATGTGGTCTACATACTAAAATTGAATACATTTGTATTATAAAATACTTTACTATATAAAACTATAAGTACAGAGGATTCTAAAGCATGCAAAAATATATTGTAATTCAAGCCTTCACCGATAACCGTACCTCGTTCCATGAAATAAACTAAGTAAAAAATGATGATTATTATTAAAAATATCTGTGCGGCTTGAAGACCAATGTAACTGGCTCTATCTGCCACTGATGCATACAATAGATTTGGAATTTCCCTAACCTTATGATTTAATAATTGTCAACCCCATTTTATAATACTTTAGAGGAGAAAATTGAGTCCGAGTTCGAAAACTTCTTTTTTTCTATTAAAACCTACTGAAGCCAGCTTTCAGGGTAAATTCCAGGCATGAAAAGTTTTTTTTGTTGGGTAAAAGCTGAGGAGTTGTAATTTTTCGTCCACAAATCTGGCGCATTTGAGTAGGCTTTGAAATGAAAATGAGGTTACACTAAAAATGGTATACTAATAAAAGTCACAACAGACCACTGACATAGTGAAAGCTATATATACGTTAACACTTGTAATACAAATATAGCAGGTGACACAAATGTAGAAGAGCTGATATTCAATTGAACATTCCAGAACCCAGTTATGATATGATACAAAACAAAAACAAAGTTTTAAAGATCGCACAATGTTCCATCGTATCAGACGTCATCAACCTCCAAGTACCAAAATGGTATGAAAAAAAGAATAAAGCGGAAGCTGGTAAGTACACCACACCGATCCGACACGATGTAGAATTGTTTTATCGTCCTCGCTAGAGGATTCCAAAACAACATTCCATCCTTATCTACCAGAAATCATCACCACTGGACTGAGATTTCTTCTCTCTGTGAAAAAAAAAACAATTTCATAATTATTTTGAAGAGAAAAAATGATAAGGTGGCTTATTTACATGGAGAATTTTAAAATTTTATCCAGTTAACAGTCCTGGCCGGCTATGGTAGTCGCTGAGGCACATATGTGTATAAAGGAGCCATCAAGAGCCATGAAGTTTGTGAAAATTACCAGTCAAAATCATGGATCTGTCCTATTCAAGAAACGCACACCTGATTAATAATGCGTCATAGTATGAGTTGAACACACTGTAGAAAAAAACGAAGAAATTCTATTCAACCATAAAAAAGTCGTCTGAAATACAAACCCACCCCCTGCTACCAGCATCAATGGAATCAGAAGATTGCGATTCCTCGAAAACATCAACTACATTCTGGTTTTCCTTTTGGCGATTCTCTGATATTCTCGGTGACTGTACTTGCTGTTTTGCGTGATCGAAACCAGCAAATTCTCCTGATGATTATACAATTTTTAGATTTTGCGATTCGAAAGAAAAAATTCAACAGAATTCAATTTTTCATATTTAATACCGGTAGACTGGAAGGAGGTGAATACTTAACCATATAGGACTATTTCATTAATTTATTATTCCCTGATTATATTTATTTTTTGATTGATACCTCAACTCTGAATACGGCTCTAAACAATGAGCAATTATTTCTAAAAAAAACATCTTTCCTGTTGAATACTGTCCAACCTAGACTGTTCTATATTAATTCAGCAGGTAGGTAGATCAATGAAACACAACCATTGGATATGTGGATAAAAAGTTAAACATATGATCAACCCCACCAAGACTGATTATGAATCTTTGTATGGCTAATGTAATGAGATCAAAATTTTAAGAATGAATGATTTTATTAAAAGTCTAACCTGACTTATCCAGTTGTAAAGTTGACCAATTTGCGTCAGCACCAGACTTATCTTCATCATTGCTTTGTTGCATTCCTGTGACCTGGATTATGAAATAAATTTGGTTAGAGCATTTATGTATTGCACTATTGTGGACATTCTCATAAATACTGATGTGAGCGAGCCAGTAATCAATCTAAAGCGCTATTGAGTCAAGAAAAGTTCAGACCAAATTATGAACCATTCAAAAAACTCAACAAAACAAAATTTTGATTCCGACAAAGCTCGCTGACTCAAGATTGAAGAAAATTTCAATTCAGAAACCAGCTCCTAACTGCGAGGAACTAAACTTTGACCCCAAAAACATTGAGAACTGCTTGGTCTACTTAATGCTTTTTCAGTTTTGGTCAGAAAGTTTTAATTCCAATTACAACCATTATACTATGGGATTCTGTAGTGATTTACAAATTTAGCCATTTAAAAGTAACTTGAAATCAGCGAAGTTCAAAAATACAACTCAAATATCAAGAAAAACAAGTCAGACTAGCTGTTCAAGTCATATATCATTCACAGCAATGAAACAATGCTCAATAAAAAGGGTAGTCTCTATGTTAAGTAACTAACTGCACAACTGTAGCTGCTGGAGCTTGTTTGAATTATGAAGTCATATCTCTCACCTTATCATCTATGTGTGGAATTGAAGTTGAGGAAGGTTCAAAATCAGACATTGTTTTGACTTCCGAAGCTGTTTTTGAATCTGTTGAAGACAAAAATTCATCTGAATAGTCATTTGATTTATCGCTCAACAAATTCGGATCTCTTTCTGATGAAGATTTAGATTCTTTATCAGCTTTCTTTATCTTATCTCCAACATTTCTTGATAAGCTGTCTTCATCTGCACTATACATCGTTTGTGATGTAACAACTGGTTGTTTCTGTTGGCTTTGTGACATCAGAGGAAAACCAAGATCTTTTTGTGATGTCACTGACGCTTTTGGTTCCACTTGGTTGAGCAATTCGGCGAGTCCTCGGTCAGTCTCACAATCTAAGCTGCGAGCGCTGCTTTTATCAATACTTTGCAAAAGGTTTTCAATGTCACCAACGTTACGAAAATCTAAGCCAAGGTTTAAGTCGCGCTTCGGTGATTGAACGTCATGCTTATCTGGTTCTTCATGGTCTAATGACTTTACGTCATGCTTCGGTAGTTCCAATGAATCAAAAATTCCACCAACATGTTGCAGTTCCTCTCTCTTTTTCTCAAGAAGTGACGAACGTTCGAATGGAGATTTTACTTCTAATGATGACCTTCGTAATGGGTCACTCATTTCCGATGAAGTTGATGACAGTAACTCTTCGCTTATTGAATCTGATTGGCTGTTCACTGTAGCTTCAGGTTGTGACATCATAAAAGATCTTGGTTTGAGTTCCGGAAGCATTGTTTGTGAAGAAACAATAGGCTTAGATTTTTCCTTCTCCGATTCACCAGTCAGAAGGTCAGATACAGCAAGAGGAGATGACTCCCCGTCTTGGGGAGATATTGGGGGTAATTTCGTGGGTGGAGTTGTAATCGGGTGTAAAGTGGATTGTCGCACAGTGGGTTTGGGTTTCAGTATGTCGCTGAGGGGTTTGGGGTCTTCAGACAAACTAGGCGTGTTTGAATCTGAATGTTTTTTACCTTTTTGGGAAGAGAAGCTTTCTAATTTGTCTTTGAATGGTATTTGCTGTTGCTCGGGGTGAGACAATGCTAATTTCTCCTCTTCTGCATTGAAAGAACGTTCATTGTTGTTCGCAGATACACTTGAAGCTATGCTAGATTCTGACGAATCGTGCTTCTTTTCCAAGTTTATGAGTGGTATAGGACCTTGGCTTTGATTGATATCGTCTGTATTTTCATTCAAGGTAATTGGTGATGTTTTTTCCATTTCCAATGGTTTTGTATGTATTGTTCCAGTTGGTTTTGATTGGTATTCTGGTATGGTAGTTGGATTTGATTTGGTTTGTGGTTTATTGGCCGGCTTGTTGCTGGTCCGAGAGACTGAAAGTTGTCATAACGAGTTAGTTTCACAGAGGTCAATCGAGGTAGTAAAAGTGATTCGTGATTTCAGTAAAATTCAACCATGCAACAAAAAATCAAATTCAGTACAGATTTTAGACAACAGCTGGATCAAAAAATAATAATCTTCGTAATGATTTTCCTATATTGAACTCGCCCAAAAGAAGGTGTGTAAGACGGCCTGAATTATAGGAAAAACAGAGCTCTTGTGCATTTTAATTTGTTCATGTGATACCAGTAAACCGTCGCAAAAGCATGGACATAAATAATGGAAGACGTCGTAATTGACCAGAGGTTTGAAAGATTCAGAAATTATATTTACACAATGCTCTTGTTAATATTTGAAACGCTCAAACCTGATTTAGCGGCTGTTGAGCTTCGAGGCTTCTCTCTGTGAGATGTTTTCAAGTCATGCCTTGGTAACAACTGCCTTTGACTGTATCCTAAAAATACAAAGAAGCAGTGTTTAAATGTGTGAAATTTATTTGACAAAAACAACAGTAATATGGTTGTCTGAAACATTTCTTTGTATACCCGGTTAACAATCAGTTTGAATTGATAAATAAATGGAAATTGAGGTAAGATTGATTTGGTTAGTTTTTATTCTTTCCCATTTTAGAAAATAGATTACCATCATACTATAAAACTTTGATTGCTTCAAATGATTATTTTTCGAATTCAGATTTAAAATATTGAATATATAAATTTCAAATCAATTCAAAAATCCCATTTTTTAGGACTATGTAAATCCAACAGTTTTTGACATTTGGCATTAAGGAATCAATATTTTGGCATACGAGAACTCACCAGGTACATCAGGAGATATATGCTTATAATTTGACTGGATATATCTCTTATACATTTGTTCCAAGTCTTCAGATTCTTTCTCAAGGGTTCGAAATCTAAAATAACGAGTTATAATATAGAAAAAAAAAAATTGCAAATGCAAAAGAAAAGTCTTTTTCTCATTTTATCTCAGGGAGGGGAAAAAGCTTTTCGACGCAATATCAGACCTAACTGCCCAGCTTACTTGTTCTGTATATCCTGTCTCAGTCCTGATGTTGAGAGATCACCAGAGGAGGTGGTTGTGCTAGAGTCATCAAAGTCTAGATTTGAGTTTCCTGTAGTATTATGGGATGAATAACGCGGACTCCGACCACCTGAAATATAATGATTGCATAACTTATAATGAAGAACCAACACCCTATGAAGATATCAAGAATATAGATAAAATTATGCAATTTCATTTTAAAATCAATTCATATATGGAAATGTACTGCTCTGTTATAAACTTTTTAAACCTCGAATTCGGATTACTGAGGAAAATGAAGTCATAATATTTTACCTAACTTGCATTGGAACTAAATTCTATGACCCTATCTATTCTGTTCATTAAGCACTACTTACCCTCAGTTAATCTAGGTTGCACAGAGTATGGCATCTCATCTGCCCATCTCACATGACCTGGATGTACGGGGTCATAGTCACGGATGGATGGCTCCTTTGTGACGTCATCCATAAGAATTCGAAGACTTTTTGAAGCAGGTTCATTGAAGCGAGGAGAGGCAGAATCTAAATTTTTAAAAATATATCAAGTCATAGCTAGCATGTAAGTGAGGTTGGTAACCAACAAGCATGAGGCTGATTAAGTTCGGGCCATATAAGGGCAGTCTAAAAAACACAAAAAATCAACAATAAGCTGACCATATAAAATGCCTTAAGGAAATCAAGAAGAAAGTTTTATCACTCCATACATCCAGGGTGTCAAAAGTAAAGTTTGCAAACACATAACAGACTCTTTCAAAAAAGCGATAAGAAAAACTTGTTATGTATCATTCATGAAAATCCTTACATGGTTTGGAAAGAGACACCAATGATTCAGCACCAAAGAAGTCCTCAAAAATTTTTTCAATTTTTTCCACAAAGTTTATGGAATTGCTCCATATTCAAGTATTGCAAAAATGTTTATGCTTAACAAACATATTAAATGTAAACAGGGTGCAAAGGCTAATACTTTACCATTCTCCCAAAATCACGCTTCGTACAACAAGTATCACATTTTATCTAATTTAATAGATACAAAAAATCACCAGATTCCCTACCAACCACAATAGCCAAAGATATTTGATCATTGCAGTGTTTCCTTTCTTACTGAATAGTAGTGCATAGTCTTGTTCTGAGCAATATAAATCATATAAAAATCATCTAGGATGTTTATTCATAGGTAAAAATCACCTTTGGTTCGGAATTGATTCTAGTTTGAATTCTCGATGTCATTTGCTCAAGTTGTCTCTGTTTTTCATCTAATTTATCACGAGCATCAGAAAGTTTTGAAACTTCAGTTTTCTGAAAAATGGGATTTGTAAATCACTGGCTCAAATTGGAGAAAAATTCTTCCTTAAATTCTACTATTCAGCAAATTTTGGTTTTCTACTTATGTATAGTTTGTTTATAATCTAGCAATAAGTTGGCAAGTTTTTGTTGAAAATTAGTCTGAGCCACCAAGGTCGTGTCAGAGTCGTATTTTTATACTCTACAGCAGGGGTCGGGAACCCATGGCTCGCGAGCCATATATGGCTCTTTTGGTGACGGCATATGGCTCTCGGAAAAATCTAATATCCCAAGACTAAGCTTACTATTGTTATGAGATTTCAAACTCTTTTATAGCCAAATTTGCAGGAAATTCCCAATACGTTTGGAGAACGCGCGTCCAGCCATGTCTATGTTATGTAAGATAATTTACCAGACAGGCATTGTGACAAACAAGGGATTCTGGAAATATATTGTGACATCACAGAGCGATAGAGTTTTAAAAAACACTGCGGAGATGCCTAAACGAAAAAGGGTGATGAGTATCGTAGATTTCAACTTGGGCTGCATTGTGAAGCAAACCGTTCAAGGCCCGCAGCGACTACATGCGGCATCAGAAATCACATTAAATGTATATAGACATTGTATGTGTTGACTTTTGAGTGAACATTTCAGGCCTGATTAAGTGAAGAAATGTTATATGGCTCGCACGGAAATGCAATTGAAAATATGTATATTTTATGGCTCTCTTGACCAAAAAGGTTCCCGACCCCTGCTCTACAGCAGGGGTCGCCAAACTACGGCCCGGGTCGTCATTTTATCCGGCCCGCAATAACACGCAAAAATGGCCAAATTTTTTTCCAATATAAATTTTCGCGAACATCGTCTTCCTTGTTTATTTCGTAACATTGGCCAATCAGCAAGATGCAAAAATGTGACGTAATAATGGGCCTTCCCACATCCGCTCAGACACTTTCGTCACCCCGACAGATTTTCAGTCGTGATTGTAAACAATACTTCGTTCTTGCGATTTTGAATGCTATTCGTTAGTTTCTGGTTGTGATTGGGAAATTTAAGCATGAATCAAATGAGTCAATCATCATTTGCCTCTTTATGAGTTGTAGTTTTAATAGTAGTAATGAAAAATTAGTCTAGAAAGAGCTGTGACAAAATAGGCTAAAATTCTCTACCGGGAGGCAACGTTTTCTGCGAAAGATGCACTCGTGGCGAGCGCATTCGACAAAACTGTTTACGTCTTTGTGCTAAATGAACGTCGAATGTGCATTTTGTGCTAACAGTACTGTTATCCCTCGCGTACTGCTCCAAAGTCACACTAATTTTTGTACTGCTTGAATGCGAATATTCATGCAGGTAAGTTACAAAAAAATTAAAGTTCATTCAATTTGAAAAACGGCAGTGAATAGATCTGAGTGAAAATAAAAAAGCAATACCCAGTTTATTAAAAACGGTCAAGAAATTACGGAATTTTAGTACGGCCCGACAGACCAATTGTATAACTTTTTTGATAAGAACTGTAATAAATATGAAAAAGAACACATATCAATCTCTAATCTTTCGATCTGCGTCACATGGAATATTGAGAATATTTCAGGATTTTATTCTGGCCGTTAAAGGTCTTGACACCGCCAAAAGATCGTCGCAAATAAACGCTGGAGTTGTGCATGTTAGTTTGACAGTGGTTCATTGTGGGTAATAATTAACGATGTTCTGATTGTACAAACTTCATAAAAATTGGTAAGTATCAAGTTAGGAAAGAAGTGCACACGTCCACATAAATTTTATTGGTGTCCATAGACAATATTATTGATTTGCACCACGTATAACTTGGGCGTAATTTCAAAAGCTCCGAATGTTGAGAAATTTATGCGCTAATGAATGAAAATCAAATCCAGATAATAGTTGTTTATTTCATCTGAATTGTGTCAAAATTTCATAGAATTCCATGTCACAGCAGGCAATCAGTAGTCGTTTGTATGAGCTGTATTCCGACACGGCGTAAAGGTACTTAGCAGACGTGATGCGCACATTTTTGACGCAAAAAAGCGGATTTTGCAACATTCCTAATTCATGACGGCAACGTTTTGATAACAGCTAAACTCAGGATATAGAAATCTTGATATTTGTTTCCCTAGGATGTTCTCGATCTATATTCTGCGACATATATAGAATTTAATATTTAAGTCTTCAGAAATGTAGAATATATATTGTGAATTTAATGTATTGCATTGACAAAAATATTTGTCCGGCCCGTTTCACCACAGTTTGAGTCATACCCGGCCCGCGGTCAAAAAAGTTTGGTGACCCCTGCTCTACAGAGTCAAAAATTGGGACCGAAGTTGAATTTTGGAATGCTAATAAATTCAGATTTCGAAAGGTGATAAATGAAAACTACAAAAGTAATGAGCTAAGTAAGCGTACTCAACAAAGAATCAAGGAAAGATTACAATTTAAGCTTTTGTTAAGGTGAGAGACAATCGAAATCAGAATTTTTGTCAAACAAAAGTCTTACCCATCTTCCAATCTCATTCTGTATATTGGCTTCTTTTTCAGCTCTATCCTGTTTCTTCCAGTCATTCAGTTGTCTGCAAAAGAAAGGAAATAATGAATAGTAGGAGAAAAAGACTGATATTTTTTTCGAAGTTTTTGTCACATCGGTACTGAAGAATAATCTAAGCAAGCTCCAACTTATTACACTGTAAGGCAATAAAATTCAAACTTATGATTTTTTATCCAAGATGCCAACTTAGTTAGGGAAAGTATCATCAGTTATTTTCATGAAAAGCCAGAAAATTAGCAGACCTGCCAATTGCCAAAAAATAACCTTATGGGCTTGATGCAGTCTTCAAGCCATATATTGGTATCTAATGCACTAGAACACTGCAACCTAAAAGCCGCAAAAATGTTACACCCAGTTAGAAATTAGAAAACAATCACCATCCAGGTGTATTTCAATATTCAAATTGCAGTAAGGCATATTCTAACCTGCTTAAATCATCCAATCTTTTTCTTAAAGATGAATCATTCTCATTGCTAGTTCTGGGTGAAATCTCATTCCGTTGTCTTGGAGACGGTTTTGGTTCAGTTATTTTCCGAACATGACTCTAAAAATATATGCATAAGAGGCTTGTCCAAACTTTTTTTAAGGGGAGCACTTCATTTATTCCGGTGTATATATTAAGGGGGAACACTTCATTTAATCTGGTGTATTTATATACAGCCAATATAATTTACCTTAGTTTCAGTTAATTCTCCTTTCAGTGTTTCAAGTTCTCTCCTTAACATTTCTGCTTCACCAGAACGAGAGTCTAATTCTCTCAAAACTTCATCCAGTTGACGACCTGTTAGTGGAAAAAATATTTTTATTCAAGTTTACTCAAGTAAGGTCTAATCTAAGTGAATATTGCTAAGTGAGTGAATACCATCCTGCTTAGAGTTCTATGTATTTTCGTAAATTTTGCAATCAAACGCAGATAAGACGACACTACACATCCTAAAATATCAGAGAAAACGCACTTTCTCTGCCTGTCAAAGATTTCCGCAATGATTCCGCACATGATGACACAACAGAATCCCTCCGAGTTCTTTCCGGAGTTGGAACTTTGACCCCTGTTGTTTGACCTATGACATTTGACCTTTGTTGGTTCAAAACATCTGATTTCATCAAATCCAATTCCTTGAGTTTGACAGATTCCTACAATACATAAAAATGAAGATTTGGACAAAAAAATGAAGTTGCAATATAAATATAATTATGTTGGTGCGAGAAAAAGGACAGAAGGCTTACAGTCCAGATCAGTTAATGTAGCTGTTACCTAACCATTTTACCTTTACATGGACTTGAATGGCAAAGAAAGATGCAATTAAATACTTGAGTGAACCCACATTGCCACATAATATAATCAATAGTGCGATCATAGCCATCGACAAAAAGATGGGTCAATAATCAGACAAAAAAGTTATTTGAAATTGCTCTTACAAAAACAAACTACATTTTTGAATCCCATACCATGTCACGCATCATTAGTTCTCTCTCTTGTAAATTTTTCTCTCTCATTCTGATTTGCTCCAGTTCACACAGAAGTAATTGACGTTGTTGATAAAGATCTTTCTCTAAAGACTGAATAATTGAAATAAATTATTTTTTGCTCGTCAATGGCGCATTGTGCTAACATGCTTTTTATTGCATTACTCATTATCTTGTTATTTTATAGGTTTTCGATTTGCTGATAATTATTGACGAGAAATTGCTGAAGTATTCGTTGTAGCAGACTGCTCCAAACCTATGCATATGAAACAACAACTATATTCTACTATGTCTAAACTGGTCACCATATGGAAGGCTATGGATCACAATATGATTAAGCTGCCATATTGGCTTTCTTCTCTCTTATTATAAATATGGAAATCCTATCTTAATATTATTCCATTTTATTTGAAAAAAATCTAAAAAAATACTGGCGAATCCCTGATAACTACTATTCCGAAAACATTTTCAGATATGGAATAGAAAATATATTTTGCAATCGGTCCGATTCAACAAAAAGCATACATGAATCAGTGTGTGTTTATAAAGATTGATTTGACAAAGTAGAAAATTTGGAATGAAAATTATTTCACTGACGTTTCCTTTTTACAGTTTTTCTAAAGTTCAATGAGTGGTTATGTTGTAAATGAACTTGCTTTGCCTATGGTTTTGAATACAAGTACCCGAATCCCGAGTCCAGATTTCAAGCCAACTTAGAGTCACTGAGTTAAGACTGAGTCATTTCGACTCTTGAATAGTGTCCAACGAAGTAGAGTCCCCAAAACTGCTTTGAACATGTCAAGTGCTCAAAATCGCAAATTTTTACTTTGGTAAATTTTATCCTATTCAAACCTCTTTCTGTATGCTCAATCTTTCAATCGCATTCTTTTCTCTTGAAACCAAAGCTTCCTTTCGTTGTGAATAATCATTCTCAAGTTCTCTAGTTTTACTGAGGATCTGTTGAAAAAATGTGAAATAACACCAGACCCCTTGACTCGTAACTCAGGCCATTTGGAAAATAATCACAGCTTAAAACTATAAAAAAAAATTGGACGTCAAAAATCTCCTATGAAAATTTCAACACATGCTGAACTATAACCTCTCGTGTGGATACCAGTCCACATTGGGTGGTTCTGCAGTTATATTTATTTCAGATGCATGCATGGATATTTTGAAAAAAAAAATTGAATAAATAAATAAAAAATTACTAACCTGTTCTCTAGCTTTCTCTGATTCTGAAACTCTCATGGCAACGAGCTCTACTTTCTTCCACTGTTCAAATGATTCTCTCGCTCGTTTATCTGCAACTTCCTCAGCCCTTCTGGTGGCACTAGCAAGAGTAGCAACAGATTGACAATAATCAATGTCACCTTGACGTCGCTCTCGTAGTGTATAATCCATTTCAGTATCAACAGCTTGCAGCTTGTCAGCTAAATAAAAACAAATGATATCAATTCCCGTCATTAGACCCCTTCCCACCAACTTACTCAGAAGTTAGAAATTGGGTGGGCAATGTCAAAACAAAAAGATTTGGGGGTTTCCTTACATAAACGTGAATGCTTCAAAAAAAACTTGTGTAGAGTGATTGCGTGAAAATATCAAATAAAAAGATAAATAAACTTATTAAAATATTTGAATCAAAATTGATTGCAAATTATAATTATAAAATACCAAACTATTAAATTTTCGTTTTAGATAATAAGACTTTGGAAGTAGAAGAAATCTTTACATTCTTACCAAGAGACATAGGTTTCGGATTTTGCTTCATTTCCTTTAACGAATCTTGATTTAATTTTGTAGAAAGATTTTGTGCTGACGACACTCTTGAGAGAAGTTTCCACATGAGTGATTTTGAACCATTGTCTGCGGCAACAGGAGTGGAACTTGAATTTGGTGATGGAAATGATTGGTTGTTTTCTTTGTCGTTATGGTTACGCAGAAGATCAGGAGACGCTCCCAGTCGTAAAAGAAGTTCTTCAGTCAATGCCTCCTATAAATTTAAAACGAGGTAAATATTTGGGGGATTAGAAAATAAAATTTTGTGATTTTTCTAATTAGTTAATTTTCAAATTTTCTCAAAATAGGAATCCAAGTCTGAACTGAAGAAGGATTGTGAACGAAAGTGGGCCATAATAAAAATTCTGTTCTCTTAAGAGTTGATCCTGAGCCAGAGTCAATTTTTTTTATAAAAGGAGTTGGAAGTGCAATTTGAATCATACATTTATGTGAAGTAAATTGATTTTGTTTGTTTGTTGGCATTTTATTATTAAAAGTGGTAAATAAAATAATTGATGAACATCCGTTGAAAGAAGAATAGCTTTTTCATTAAAAGAGCAAGAAGTAGACCATCGATCAAAATTCCTAACTTCACTCAAAAAACTTACGTCATATTCATCTATCCCTGATTCTTGTTGAAATAACGAGAGAGAATAAAGATAACGACTCTGTTTCAGATGATGAAGAATTAGATTGTCAACAACTTTCTGATTCCATGTGGATTCGGCTGAAATAGAATAATTAAGTGATAATGCTAAAGGATAATTTTTTAGAGGTCGCACATCTACAATCTGCAAAAGCAGCTGATGATATGTTCGGAAATATTATTATCTTAGGATCAGGATTGGTTGGTTACAACATCCATACATTTATTAAAATTTCTCTTAATCCTTTCATCCAGTTACTAGTCCATGTTGGGTATGAGAACACATAACCACTTAATTTTCACAGATGAAGGAACAAAAAAAAGGAGCTGTCAGGTGCAAGGATTGTGTTTTTCCTATCTTATTCAGTTTGTTTTTGCAGCAAATCACTTCCCAATTTTCAAAAATTGAAAATAGAAAAATCTGGGAAAGGTCTACTATTTTATTAGCCCACAATTTTTTCTGATCTAATTGTTTTACCATTTTTCTTCATTGTTGCTGCTAACAGATCAAGATCATTCTCAGCCCGGCTTCCCTGATGTTTTCCTCTCAATTCATTTATTACACTTTGTCGAAGATATCCCTAAAAAAAGCAGTAATAGCAGTGGTAATAGTTATATTGATTGCTATATTGAATTCATCACATAGAGAGAAAAGATGCAGGACCTAATCACATATAAAAACAACACATCTCACATCTATTTGTGTTCCATGTGGTTCCTGGGTTCGGTGTTGTGCAACACTTTTGAAAATATCCGTACCTGTTATTACCCTGTGTGGGTTCGAATCATGTGGGGATAACTATTTGCAAGAAGATTACTGGACTCCTAGCCACCGGAGGGTGGTTCATGTAACCACTACCGGTACCGTACTCGGTTACGGCTTTCTTCACCGCCAAGTCCATACAGTCGAAACAAATAACTGGCTCTTTCATCTCCACCAGTATAAAAGTAAATTTTTATTTATGTTGAAATAGATTTCAGAATTTTCAATAACTGAATACCCTAGCTAGGATAAGATAGGAATTACAAATTTATCCCGGTGGAAAGGAAAGTCGATAAGATGGCTTAACCATATGGCGAACCGCGGCCTCTTGTCCGGTGGCCATTCCATGTCGGGTATGGGATTAGTTAGCTATTTGTTTTCGGAAGCACAGAACAGCAGAAGCATGTCTTGATGGTGGAGGAAGCCGTAATTGACCAGCGGTTACAGGGTTACGTGAACCACCCTACCACGACGAGGAGTCCAGCAATCCTCGCGCACATACCGTAACCATCCCTGCATGGGATTAGAACCCGTGAACCCACCCAGAGGAATCAGAGGTACCGGTACCATGGCGAGCGTATTCCTAACGCTTAGCACGATGAGCCACACCCGCCGTGCCACAATATCGGAAACTAATAGCCTACTAATACCATAATTCTGGCATATGGTCTATTCCAGTACCTTACTTACCTTCAAGTTGTTAAGAACACCCGCTGATTGAAGTGACTGGTACATTTGCCTTTTTAAATCTTCGGCACTCATTCCTGGTTCTTTCTTTTTCGATCGGGACATTTTCGTTATTTTGTCTCGTACAAATCTTTCCTACTTTATCAATAACGGTACTTGTGACAAACAAAAAATCCTAGTAAATAATCAGAAATCTTCATTCGCAAACTGCCCAAGGATTTGTTTATTTTGATTCTGACATTTAAATTGGTAACTGACACCTTGCGCAGCGACCCATAACGCCGGTTTGTTAATCCGAATTTACCTCATAAATCGAACAGAAAGCTTAAAAATGAAACAAAAAGAAATAAACATAAAGCAAATTTTATTGAAGAGTTTGAAACGGGAAACAAGAACATTGTCGTTTCAATTGACAAACAGCGATGTCACTAATCCAGTCGTGTTTGCAAACATAGTTGGAGGCTACATTTAAAAAACTTCTTTGTCATTATATAATATCTTTGAGGACCAAACTAAGCAAAAATTAGCTATCAGTACCGGTACTTGTAAGCAGCACGTGGTTAATAATTTTCATATGAAAATGATGGTTTTAAAGATGTAAACCAGTTTGTAAAACTTTTGCAATAGTAAAGTATGAGGAGAATTTTTCTGTGGTCAAGGGTTGGGGAAACCAAAGTGACTACAAACCAAGTGGAGACAACGAGTGCAATGATGCATATCGGACGTCATTTTGTGTCCAGCGAGTCGGGGGAACGCGGCAGCGTCGGTTTATTTTAGCTTCGTCAGAAGGTCTCGTTCGTCAATTTGTTTGAAGATTTTTTACTGTTTTGCATTTTATTCGGGTAATTTCATTATTTTTCTTTTGCTATTTGCCTCGTGGAATCATACTGGTATCGTGCGGTTTCGTGAAAGTTGCGATAGTTATCTTATAATCCCGTGTGAGTTATGCAACTTTAAAACCTCATATCTCACGAACCTTATATTATATGCAGATAAGTTTTATATTGTTTGAAAGACAATCTAGGAGAATAATTATAATTATGGGATGGAGATAAAATGTCGCAATTATCATACAAAAAATCGGCAAAATTGAAAAGCGTGAAAGCGTTCATCGAAGCATGTACTTTATCAGGTACAAAATTTAAAAACCAGCCGCCGCGACTGGTGTTGCAGCTCTTATCAACTTATTATTGGCAGGATATTTCGATTCTTTTGCGTCGATAAATGTAAAATATTTACTAGGTGATCTAGCGACGCCATCATGTCTTTTACGTACTCGTTGATAAAACTAAATTGTAATTTTATCGATATTCAACAGTGAAAAATTAGCCTTGATGTTTTCGGAGGAACCCTATAAACCACGGGGGTTTAAATTGTTTGTTTGTTTCTATGGAAAGTGTCAATCCCGATGAAGGCCCACAATCGTTACTAACTCTTTTTAGGTCTTACACACCCGATAAATATTTGAAAATTGATAGTTTTTTTTACCCAATATTTATGCCACCCATCCAAAAACGCAATCGTATTTTTGCGCGAAGTATAAACTATATTTCGCGCAAATATTAATGCCGTTCATAATATATGTTCGCCTGTTACTTTTCTGACAGATAAAGTTGCTTGAAATATAATTTCCCATCTTGCCACAATATCGCTTTTAAAATTTTGAAACGTTTTCTCAATTTAAGGTTTAATATTCACGCAAAAGAGGAGACAAAAAAAATTATTGAAAAACGGTATGATAGTGTAGGCCGTAGGGCTTCCCAAACTAGGGGCCGCGAAACGAATTTTAGGGGCCGCAAAGAGAGCACCAAATTTACACAATTCAGACTCTTGATTTGAAATACAATTATTAAAACAAGGGTAAAACAAAACACCCATTACCCTGAATAATTGAGTAGGCCTAATGTTAATTTGAGTAAATATGTGCTTGTTTTTTGTTATTGAGTAGGCCTACTAAAAGTTGAGAATGAGCTGTGTCAATAAAATTTTAAAAAGGCATATTTTGAACTGTATAGTCTTATTAACGTGAACAAGGGCCGCGAAAAATTTTAATATATTAAAAGGGGGCCGCGAGCTCAAAAGTTTGGGAAGTCCTGTGCTAGTGGACCTGCGGAGAGCTCAAGTCAAATAAATAATATATTATTTTATACACTCCAGATTATTATATGTTCTTGTAAACTTGGTATACGCCGTTATCCTTCATTCCATGCATGTAGTATATTTTTTGGATATTATTTTGGCAATGTACACCTTGTTGAAAATTTGCGATACGCATATTTCAATATCATGGCATGTACCGCAAAAATAGTGCAAGTTTCTGTAGTATAATTTGTATTGTAGTTCTGTCAGTTTGCTAAAATAGGTTCTGTGCAAGTAGCGATACTTACACCATGAATTTTATAATAATTTAATAATAAAATGTGTATCTTTTTGTTTAATATTTTGGTCTTATTGGGTTGTTGATTTATCGAGTGAAGTTGGATGACTTTAACCTTAACTGCGTATATGCTGACCATACCGCCGAGCCGAGTTATCTGAGAAACATCTGCGGACAAATAAATTTTTTCAGAAGAATGTTCATTCTTTTCGCCGCTGCGAAAGTTTGGTCCGAATTATTGAGCATCGATTTCTATAATCAGCTGTTTCACGATCGCAGGTTTAAAGCACTTAGTTAGGATCATGCAGCGATAGAACTCTGGACACAAAATGGTTGGTGTGACGTCACACGAGCGCTTATAACGTTAGCAATGCATGTCCTCACTTGGTTTACAGTCACTTTGGGGGAAACTGAACCATATCTAAGGCAGCGCACACGATCGACCTAGATGAACGCCTTCCATTCATGGCATAAATAACCTACTTCGAATCAACGCAGTATATTTAATGTTTTTTGGGGGTAATTAGCCTCGCTGAAGGCTGCCAAGCGTGACGTTGCTAATTAAGTAAGATTCTTATTAACCCAACCCTCGTCAGTAGCGGTAGCTCAGGGGAAGCGTGGAAACATGGTCAATCATCAGGCCAGGTGTGAAATGGGTTCGAACCCTGGGAGGTAGACCAAATTGCAGGAAAAGCACAGCGGAGAAGTTGTGTAAAAGGTAAGATCAAACGTTGTAGAGGACGCCTAGCATAAGAGTTGTAGAGCAGACCAGATAAAAGGGGCTGTAGGGAAGGGCCAGTGGAGGAGTTGGAGAGAAGACGAAGAAAGGGAACAGACGGGGCAAAACGGATATAGTGAGCACAAGGATGGGGTGGAAATGCAGCGGCAGGCAGACAATGTAATAAAATAGAAAGAAAGAAACAAAGGCTTGAGTGGAGTGCAAATAGGACGCAGCGAGGACAGGCGGGCAAAACGGCCAGGAGCCAGGGTGAGCCCGGAGACAACAGGCAGGCGGAAAGCTAAAGTCGAGACGCCCAAGCAAGAGGAAAGAAGAAAGTAAAAATGTAGAGAGGAAGCCCGGAATTAAGAATAAAGTGAAAAAGAATGATAAGAATCCCCTAGCGAGTTGAAGAGGAGTAGAGAGGTCCCCGGGAAACAGAAGAAAGTGGAGAATAGCAGATGCAGCGCACCAGATCAATCAAGTTTCTCAGGAAATTCTATAGCGGCCTGGGCAAGCAAGCCAGCAAGCAGCGAGACGAGCAGGAAAATGGAACTAGCTGCAAGCCGGTGTTCCTCCAGCAAAGAACGATGAGGAGAAATGCCAGTACCACCAATAAATAATCAATCAAGGAGAAGATAGAGCTGAGGAGATGCAGCGCACCAGTTCAACAAACTTCTCAAGAAATAAAGTAATTAAATAAATAAAGCGGCCTGGGCCAAGGAAGAAAATGAGGAGAAATGCCAACGAAATCACGACAGTTCAACAAACTTCTCAAGAAATAAAGTAATTAAATAAATAAAGCGGCCTGGGCCAAGGAAGAAAATGAGGAGAAATGCCAACGAAATCACGACTAAGATTGAGAAAAAAATATCAGCGGGTGGAAGAGGACAAGGTTCCCAGTAAGTAAAAATAAAAAAAATAAAAGAAGAACGGCAGCCGAGACAAGACAATCAGAAAAGTGCAATAGAGAGCTCGAAACCTGCAAGCGAAAAATATATATAAAGATGAGGGATCCAGCGCGCCAAGTCAATCAAACTTCCCAGGAAACAAAAGTCTGTCTATAATACAAAATAAATAAAGATGAAAACAAAAGCGGCCTGGGCAAGGAAGCAGCAGGTTGTGAGATCAAGCAGCGAAGACAAGCAGGAAAATGGAATAGAGAGAGAGAGCTGCGAGGTTCCTCCAGCAAAAAAAGACATAAAGAAAGATGAAGACTATTTACGATAGTAAGATTGCCCGATCGTATTAATTGCACGCGAACGTGTTTTTCTATTCTGTATATATATAAGTTTGGAATGCTAAATATTTTTTCATAATATTCAAAATAAAAATAATATTTTAGAATGCATCTATCATTTTACCTCAAGCGGCTTCCGGCTAGCTAGGCACATTTGTTGGGAAGTTGGTAGCAGCATTCGTAGGCGGAGGAGGGACCTTCAAAAGTCATTGAATGTTTAAGTAGCATCGCCGTAACCTCAATACTTTTAAAAGCGATTGGTTTAACGGTACTAAACAATTTTGACCGTTAACTGTAATCTCAGATAGGGTATGTTGTCAGATTTCGGCTCGCGAATGTTCTATCTATGGCATAGGGGAGAGTGGGGCACGGTGGCCCATGGGGCACAGTGGTCCAATCCACTCACTAGCGACACCGGTGGTCGTACCGGGCACGTGACCAAACTGAAAAAAGTCACGGTCAAGCCTGTCCTTTAGGAAATTTATTTGCGCCGGTAGGTCGTATTGGAAAAAGTTAGGAGACTTTCGTTGTTTTTAGGGGGCCAAAGTAAAAATAAATTGCCGGAGTTTTTTTCTTCTAAACTGCAGCCCGCATGACTTTTGTCGCCCATATTGGCATGCCAGGTAGGTGCCCCACAGTGGCTTATGACGGGGTATAAGATAGATCGGCACTCTAGCCTACTTGTCGTGAGAGGGTCATTATCCCAAAATGGTGGGCTTGGGCACAGTGGGACATCAACCACGAGTACACACTGGGACGTGTCCCACTGAACCCCTCCACAGCTCTGTAGGGTTTGAGGGACCTAGAGTAGCCTACCTTCTGTCCCCGCTCCTGCTTGCTAGTTGCAATGTTGGATTGTCTTCCTATTTCAGAGCAATCCTAATTGATTTAAATAAACAACTAGCAAAATGCCACGTAAAAGGAAAAGAAAAACCTCCATAGGACAGATCGATCCATTGGTAAT